AGGAAGTAGGCAATTAAACGCGTTACTGTCCGGGTATTTTGGCATGTCCGGTTTTTTTGGCACCAACTCTTTAGAGTTGGCCCCCTGAGTGGAACCAAAGCTCGAGCCAACAGGTAAGCCCCGCTTCCCCACACATTTCGAACGTCGTTGGCGACATGCCGCTGCTGCGTCAAACATCCAAACTTGAGGCCAACAAACCAAGGTAGCTTATCTAGGTGGGTAGTGCATACTCTATATACAACACTCTCGCCGACGCTGCCTCGGATACCTACTTGGGCCGTACAATACAACACATGCCTACGTACGGCTGGCAATGCTCGCAATGCCCTTTCTTACCCTGCACTTCGCGCTTAACCTTCACCTGCATCAGAAATGAGAACGAGGACCCGGACCTGTCGTTGGTCCCTGTGCTCAGTCTGCTGAACATGGTCAGCAATACGCTGTGTGACACCAAACCCGGCTATGTATGCCCAAACGGCGAGCCGTCTGTGGAGCGCCAACGCGGCTCGATTCGATCCGTCCTCTTTGCAACTTCCGAATCGGCATATTGATTCGTCTATCCGACAATTATCCGCGACTGGAGGGAAGAGCGCAGGTACTTGGCTGTACACACTACAGCTCTTTAAGCGCTATGTACATATCCTTTCCTTGAATCGGGATGGTAGGCGAGGTGCTTGTCGAGCGCGCCGACTGCTACCCCAGATTAGGTATGTCCTCTGTAGTGCATTGTCGCCGAGGTGCCCAGGGAGGGTTGAGGCCGACCAACGGCTGGGTCTTCGCCCCACCGCTGCGACCCCGTTCCGAGCCATTACCACCTCAAATCCCGGATCAACGATTTAGGCCGAGCGGCGATGCGAGAGCCTGGAGCTAATGTCGCTGATGTCAAGCGGCCCATGTAACGATTACTGTAAGGTGCGGCAGAAGAGCCATCTACAAGACCGTCTTATTGGGCACCGTGGCTTGGCTTACAGCTCGCATCTTTTGTCTATGCATGGCAGGCCGACTTCATGTACGAGGTGATGGGCTGCTAATCCCATCACCCATCTAGGTACTTTTATGCCTGGGTCTTCTTCAACCAACCATCCCCCGTGATGCACCCAACTCATGCACCGACAAAGCAAACGTGGAGGAAACATGACGAGAGTCTCCATTTGAAGCCTGCCCCATTCAATGAGAAGCTCGATAGCCCGCTCGAAGGATCTCACTTCGAGATGCTGCAGGTTTTGGTCGTGTGTGTGCCTCTCTGCCCGCCAGCCTGGATCGCCTGTCAAGGTAGACGTCAGAAACATAACACTTAGGTCTGGCAGTGCCAGCTAAGGAGCATCCGATGGTATATACAGCCACACCCTACCCGCCAGGTTCGGGATTAGTGTACCGGCCTGCCTTCTCGGATGCATTCCGGTTGTGTCGGCTGTGGCATTCGTCAATATTCTCCGGCTCCAGCCGCTGTCACGATGGCAATTGCCTGGTCTAGACAATGTCCACTAGCTGGGCAAGTTTTGGCAGGTTAAACGGGCTGATCCGGGGACACCCTGACACTGGGTTAAACCGAGTATGGGGTGCCCTTGAACATCAGCCAGCATACAGTGGTAGCAAACCGTTGCCAATCGGCAACAGAAGCCAGACAATATATAAGGTATGTAAGGCACCTTGTTAAAATGATGCAATGACTACCTACCAAGCACGACGACTTGAGCAGATGCTTCTCTCTCCCCGCTTCGTTGCTCTTCCCTTGCAATTATCCTGCCCTTTTGGGCCCCCATCCTGGTGTTGCCAATAGGCTAATTTATACCCCATGTTACATTCAAGTTTCTCGTCGCGGACCCTTAGTTCCAGTGTTGGTCCATTCGAGGCTCGATTGTCAAACGCGAGGAATCTAGCGTATCCGTACAACGTAGACGGGTGCAGATGCCAACTCAAGATGTACGATGAGTCCAGCATGATTACAGACACGCGGACAACTTCCCCGGTCCATTTTATCGTTACATGTATTCTCTCCTTCGTCTGTCTCATGGTAGCGGTTCTATCTGCAGCCCTTTGACAGCTCTATTCATCCGTGTGGACCATTCTCACACATGTCCACAAGCACCCGAGCACCAAGTACATACCGATTCTAAGGCTTTAAATGGTCTGGATCACAAGGAACATGCCGAAATCAACGAGTGAGATATGTGACGGGAACAAAGGCATCCTCTTGTCTTAATTCGGCGCGATTTTCTCAAGTTGATATATCCAATACTCCAAAGTGTCGTCGCGGAAGGGGTTTTTGCCCCCTTTGCCTTCCTCTTCTTCCATCTTCCTGGCTTGCTCTCTGACAGGCCTCTTCTCTTCTCGTACTTTAGACTGAGGCTCATGCCACACCACTCCAATCTCTTCGGCTGCCCGTTTCTCGCCATCTGACAAATCACCACCCTCGAGGTATTCTAGTGTCTCACAAACCCGGTCAACCCAAGTTTGTTTCCAGAAGTGAACGATACCAGGAATGGCTTGGTCTGTATCTTGGAGAATGGTGCGCACGTTCCCTTCGAACTCACGCACCAACTCTTCGAAAACTTCTAGCTCATGGGCATGCTCGTCCTCGATCTCGTCCGAGTCTTGGCAATTTCGTGCCTGGGAGTCCTCTCTGAACAGCACAACAGCGTCGTAGCAGGTACATGTATGGGGAAGGGCTAGCGCCTCGAACGTGAAGTGTCGAACTGCCTCGGCATGGTGTCTGGCTTCATAATGAGCCGAGAAATTCTCGAGGTATTTGGCACATATCAAGCCTAATTCGGTCACATCGTCTCTATCGGGCGGTGTAGAGAAAAAGTTTCGCAACCCCAGGTACAGATACTTCAGCGGGGTGCATCCTCCAAGCGAGCACCTGCATTTACAGGCGTCAGCCATGTCAGCGCGGAGCACCACGGCATGAAGCTCCCTTATCCAGCTGCAGATGGCGGTGTTTGGAAGCCGTAGTGGAGAGGCCTTGTTGGTCCAGTCGGTCAAGCTCTCGCCGATTCTTGAGAATGTAGCATGAGCGGCAAACCAGCCCCGGCCTGAGCCAAAGGACCTGAGCTTGTGAGAGATGAAATCTGCTCCATGCTCAGCAAGCCAATGCATGTATTCCATAGCGCTCCCCGGCAGTGGACCTAAAGTCCCCGGTACATCATCCAACGAGTCTGTAGGGAAGTACAGGTGGGCATGCTGCAAGATATCTGTGTCCCGGAAACCGAGACGCAAGAAAAGCTCAGCGTCGAGGACATCGTTGAGCTCTTCATAGACGGACCGAGGAACTGACGTATTTCCAATGGGGCTCGCACCAGGAGCTGGGGTTGTAGACGAGGCAACGGACGTTGATTGGGGAGACGGGTCTGGGATGTCGACCAGTAGGCTCGCTGGGACGTGAATACCACGTTGTTGCAGGAGGCGGACAACTTGTGGCGCAAAAGAATCCAAAACTCGTTGATCCAAAAGGCCCAATTCCCGAGACTCGGCTGTTGAGAGGTTGGCAAGACCAAGTCGCTTGAGCCTTTCTCGCCTGTTTTTCATGTGACGTATGTACCTTAGCTTGCACAGATAAGAAGCTTCGGCCAAGACAGATCGCGGAAGCATGGGGACGGCGCAGTCAGCCTGGAGAAGGATAGTCACACTCCGGGCACACCTGCAGCCTCGGCATCTTTGGCGGCGCCGCCCATTTCGACAATGCGACCCCGAGAGCCTCAGGGCCATCTCTAAGGCAGACCAGCCATTCGGGCCACGCTCGTTGAGCAGTGCTCCATAGCCGGATGAGTCTCGTACTAGGAGAGATAAGCATAAAGGTTTTGGTACTGCAACATGTAGGGGTGCATGACCCAATATATTTCGCTCGTTTATGACGGCTGGGTGATGTTTCAACAAGTGTTCGACTTGCCCCAGGTCATGGGCTAGGATTGCCGAAGTCAAAGGGCCGCATCCGTACGCTGTTGTAAGACAAGGTAAGGTACGTCAGTTGTCTAGCATCTACCGACATCTAGCCGCTACTTACGAGTGTAGGATTGGAGGAATAGGAAAGACAACCAACCTTCTGCAACTTTGGCCGAGCGACTCATGACCTTCACCAAGTTGCCAACATTTCGTATCGGACGCGGACGAGAGGAGCCGGGTGGTGCAGGACCTAGGTTGAGAGCCGCCGGACCGATATCTTTGCTCGACTGAAGAAGGATATCTGCAACGACGACGCATCTTCCAGGCGAGTCGTCGGTGACTGCGACGAGCGGTGTGCTGCGTGTTGAGTTAGTGGTTGTGCCGAAGTGCTTTGTGAGTGGAAAGAGCGGCTGGGCCAGGTGGGAGACTCACTTTCCAGCCAAATCATAGTCGTGTGCTGGAGCCCCATAGGCAACCAAGCAATTCAGGACTTCGAGCAGAATCTCCCAATTTCTCGTATCTGGCCCTATCCTGCATATCTGGAACGATATCAGCATTGCAAAGTACTACCATACTCAAGCAGTTCATCATATCATCTCCAGGACGTTAAAACTGAAACACAGTATGGGAGGTTTGAACCAACAATATTAGTCATGTAGTGCACCAAGGACCGGTTCCTGGAGTCAACGGCCAGGGGAGACGCTTTGCGAGACTGGAATAACACTACCAGCTTCGCCACTGCTGAAGCGGCTAGGGTAGTCATCCACTGGTCCGGAATTTCGCCAAGTCTCCAGTTCATCACTGTCGCATACCGTAACCACTCTAAGATCCGAAATGCCGGCGCGCTATGTTCATCCACGGTGGGATAGTAGGTGAAGTCTGGGCTGATACTCCACCCTCCGGCGCCAGATTTTGCTGCAAATGACAACTGAACAGCCACGTTGAGTAGGCGCCTTAATCCGGTGAACTCGACGCGAAGGTGTTGCTTTCGATCTTTGTCTATCGCCCCAGCGAAAGGGCATCCGGGTGAATGTTCGTGTGCGCTTGTCTCGAAGTGGACGGCCAATGAACCCCAGACGATGTCCTTGCGTTGGCGCAGGGTGAGTGGCCAGCAGGAACAACCGAAGCGGCCTCCGGTGAGCGACGACACGATATTGCGAAACTGCTCTCTCCCACGAGTGATTGGGAACGTCAGACCGCTGCAGCTGGGGTTCGGCACCCTAGCAGTATCGCAGAACTTCCTCAGGACATCCGGCTTTCTAACTAATCGGCCAGTGATCTCGTTTGAGTAGAGCTGGAAATCACCAAGTAAGCTTGGAGTCATCCCCGTGAGGTCTCCTGGGCAACACACATATTGGGCAGCTTCTGCTGAAGGCCGCTGAGCATCAGCGACCAGCTGCCTGAGGAGAGACTCCATGGTATCAAGCTGTGTTTGCAGAGAGGGAAGACCGTCATGGAGGTTTTGTAGAGGCATGCTCATTGCCGTGACCTTGGAGTCCAAGGTGACAAGAGTGGAGGAGATGGCGTAAGAAGTCGACTGGAGGGATTGCGTCGTAGTCCTGCCACATGTCAAACCATAAGTTATCATGCCAGATGAAGGGGAATGGCCGTAGGGTCCTATACATGCTAAGAGCCTGTAGAGCGAGCTGAAGAGCGGTATTGGACTCGCGCAGCCGCTCCGCCAGCTGCTCGATCTTCTGACGTCTGAACGGATAAAGGAGTCTCGTGCCATGGCGTTTGACTCTGGCCACCGGAGTGCCAGTGGCGGGGGCGGGCTGGTCAGAACCAGCAAGCTTGACGACAAGAGCATTCAGAGCGTTCAACTGCCTCTTGCATGTGTCGAGAGAAGCCTGCACTGCTGCGGTCGATGCTTGATGTTCGGGCAGAATTCGGGATATCGCCTCTCCAACCACGCGTAATACCTGGTCCAAAGAGGCATTCTGCTGTCGCACAGAGGCGATGTCTTCCTCGCGGCATTCCAACGCGTCGAGATACTTTACGATGCCCCCGGACGCCTGCAGGCCCAGCGACACCAGGCCTGCGGTCAGGCCAACTAAGCTTATGGGGTCAGCCATAACAGGTCGGTAGAATCTTGGAGCTGTCAAGAGAGCATGTGTTGAGTCTGGTCATGACCTGAGCAAAGAATGGATGGGAGGGAGGGGACGAGTGTTGTAGCCTTGGAGCGAGGACCGGTTGAGAATCAAGATGGCTGCCTCTCGGCATGTTGGGCGGCTGGACCAATGAAACCCCCTTTCCTGCGTCGAGAGTATCTGCAGATGAAACTGCAGGGCATTGCATGAGGTGTCAAGGCTGGCCTAACAACGGACGCAGAATGCTCTGTGGAAGCCGGAGGCGTTCGAGGACCAGGGCGAGATCGCCTCGATTGTAATACCGCATTTTCTGGGTCCTACCTCCGACAACAGGAGACAGAAAGTACTGTACATTCCATCACCCAGTTGGCCCGGAACTCGGTGACATAAGCCCTGATCTGTTCTTATTCAAGTTGCCGTTTCGAACCGTTGGCGCCATCTCATACGGCGGTAGACCCTAGCCCAGAGGCCACTCCACGTAGTGCTACTAAGTAGTAGTACTTGCCCTTAGTATCAGCCGTCAGTTTCGGTTTCCTTTTCGCTTCTTGTTTGGAGTTCCTTCACCTCTGGCCATGCAGTAAGAGTCGGCGCTTATGTACGTTGCCGCTGAGTGAGCGGGATTCATCCTTACGTGACATTGGTTCAGTGGTATTGCCACAATTGTCCACCCTAGCTTAGAATCCCTACAAATCTACAAAGCGCCAAGCTGACCAATTGGACTCTACTTGTTCCGACGCCAAGGTTTGGGCCATGTATCCATATTTGTACAGAGTATCTAAGTACAGTCAAAGGTTGTCTATGTGCTCAGCTTGGGCGGAAAAGACTGTGAAAGTAAAGTGCTTTCAATAAGTTCAATAATATACCTATGGGAGCTTTATGGTCAAAGTGCTAATATAAGCCAACTCAGTTGTAGTTCTTGAAAGACAATGGAGCTAATTTGTGTAGTCTGCCTAGCTACCTGACCTTACCTTGATAACCCGCAAGGTACGGAGTACTGTACGTTTATGTCCCTACTACTCAGGCTGCCAGGGAGAGAAAGAGGTAGCTTTCGCTGACACAACTGTTCCTCGATCGCGACAATGGACTTGAGTTGGCAAGGCAAGAAAGTAGAACATCGAGTAATATCTCAAGTCAGCGTATTCTTCTAAGGTTACTCCGAGTCTCCTGTATATGAAAGGAGTGGTTGTTTGAGCCCGAGTCTTGACTTCTAAGGTTGACTCTGTCTCCAGGTTGAGCGCCAACAAGCGAACCAGAGAGGGAGGGATTGTAATGTTCGTAGCGTGTAATCTGTGGAGCCATCGTTTGTCATTCTCAGTGAGTGCTCAACTACTCCTGGGAAGGGATTTGAGAGCAATCATGCACATTCTTATCGAGATTCATGAACGCATTGGTATTGTACCTAAGTACTTCGTACGACTACTAGTATACTGACGAACTCCATCCCGCAACGCCCGTGTCTTCGCACAGAAGTTAGAACTCTCCGACTACTACGAAGTAGGATGCACTGGTCTTCGATTAATGAGCTCGAGCACCAAGTTAATTCTTGGCTGCCGTCTAACCGGCACAGTTCTAGAACAAGACAGCCATTACAACAGGTAATGCCATTCGTCCCTGCTCACCCTCTATCGATATAAACCGGAACACCATAGATCACCACCGCCGCCGCCGTAACAAATCGGAATTTACAATCCGCCTTAGCCTCCCTAACTGCTTGCACCAACGACATCTTCTCACTTCCTTCTTCACCTTTCTCCGTCCTCGTGACACTCCCTCGAGGCAGAACGCCCCACCGCTCCAAGCAACCGCCCGCAAACCGATCAATATCCCGGTCCGTCACGTCCCACAGCGTCCCCACCACGGCTGGGCAGCCAGCAAGCATGTAATTCCAGACTGGCCCGCTAGGTTCGAACTCTCCGGCCTCAACCAGCGCAGCACTGGAGCACCCCATGAGTAAAACGGTGGCTTTGCAGCGCGGAGACAGGTGGCGGATGGTGCGGGAACGGATATACTGCGCGCCCGAGCCGTGGCCGAAGTAGAGCAGAATGTCCGAACCGGTGAGGGCGTTAGAGAACTCGTCTTCGCTTGGTGCACGGCCAGTGATACGTTTCCATTGTGCTTGTTCATCCCGTCCGCACGAGGACGAACATGGCGGGGGCACGTGAGTTTCGAGCGGCTGGGAGAAGGTGGATTGCGTTGAAGTGAGGTCTCCAGAAGGGTTGAGTATGTAAGTGCCTCGGGACAGGGATATGTGATGGCCTTCTTGTGATACCCCAGAATTGGCCTCATCCTCCTCGCAGGTCTTGCTGTTGTTTACCAAGGTCTGTTGTTGTTGTTGTTGTTGTTGTTGTTGTTGGTCGAGAATGAGACGACGGAGGCAAGCTAGCGAGGGCATGCGCGAGATGGCGAGCCCTTGCATACAAGGAAGGGATTCCCAAGGGAAAGCGTGCAGCGCCTTGTCCAAAAGTAACACGGTGTGGAATCTAGAGCAGGATGAGTTATCGGTTGTTTTGGCCGCCGAGTGGTAGGCCTGCAGAGCGTCGAACGTCTCAACCACCATCGAATCGAAGTCAATCTCGTCATATGCGTTGCGCTCGCCATGGAACTGTAGAATATCCACCACAAAGTAAAGAAGGTCGTTCAGCTCATCATCAAAGTCGGAATCCGGCTTGGTGGCATCGCCCAAACCGATAAAGAGATCCAAGATGTTGGTGTCGAGAGTTGCTCTCAGATTCGGCGCCGCCTTGCTCTTTTTTCCCCGAACTTGTCGACGTGAAGGGAGATGCTTATCCAGAATGGCCAAGAAATCCTTGTGGAACTTTCCCAGCAGATCTTGCTGTCGGACGTGCTGCGAGAAAATTCCGCGGAAACCGCCCAGCCAGATTTGCTCGACATTTTCCAACAACGCCCTCAGCCGCTCATCTAGCGCTTCTCGCTCGGCCCACCATGCACTTTTGGCCCCCTTGACGCTCATGTCCCTGGAGTCGTGGCATGTCTTGTTGATCTGCTTAACAATATCAAGCAGCTCAGAGCGACCTTGCTCAAAATCAAAGACGTCGCTGTCTGCATCGCGGGAACTCGCTCGCTCCAGTGGCAGGCGGAGGACGAAGGGCGTCTGTCCAGCCTGGAGTTTGGTTATGCACAGATCGTGATTGCCCTCGCTGAGAGAAATGGAAATCACGTTCCAGTCTTTGGGTACGATGTCAATGTAATCCCTCTGAACCTTGTGCAAGTCAAGCGTGAACCCCAAACTTGACCTCCTCGATGCAGCCGAACTAAAAGCTGGCGGCCATTCTGTCCCGTCATTTTTGATTGCGTTCTTTTCCTGGAGAATCGCTTTCCGCTCTCGGTGCCAAATAAGATTCCGTGCTAACTCGACACAATAAGACGTTTGGGCGGAGTGGGTGGTCGTTTTTGACTTTGTCGAAACAGCCGTAAGGAAAAGTCCTACGTTCTGGAGCATGCCGGATATCTTGTGAATGTAACTGGCATCGCCACTCGAGGCTGCTACCGAGTGTGCCTGAAGGAGGTAATCATGAGCCTCACGTAAGTTCTCGACGTAGAGTCGGGGCGCGGTCTCGCAAGTTGGGTCCCGTTGACCAGCAGCGGCGGCACTTCGCACTTTCCTAGGAGAGGCGGCCTTCGCTGGGGAACGTGCCAGTGCGATCTTATCGGTACCGGAGAGGGCAGGGAAGGAGATTGTGGAGTCTTGAATAACGGAAAACACGGGATCCTGTGCCATCTGTTCCAAACTCATACCCAACAGGCAAGATGCCATCGCAACTTGGCGCATGGACAGGAGGCTAGACGCTTTTGACGCAGCTGTGGCTTCTCCGAGAGCCGATTGAGCCCCAGCCCAATCCCTTCGACTGAGCATGGAAACAGCCTTCTGAACCAGAATCGACGATTTGAGCTTGGCTAATTGGGCATCTTCGATCAACCGCCCGGGAGTAAGGGTCACGGTGCCCTTTGCTTTCGATGTGGCCAGCACCTTCGTTTGTTTCTTTACTGATGGCTGCCTAGTGGTCTTGCGGGCAGCTTTTGGGGGTTTGTCGGTAATCTGGAGCCTCGCAATCTTGTCCTCGACTACTGCGACCTCAGACACGCTCTCGGCAGCAAGTAGACTGCTGGGAATCGCTGCAAGCTGCTGCGCAATCGCCTCAGCCTTGGCGAGTAAGAGTTCTGCTCCTTCCAGGTCATTCTGGGAGAGATACATGGAACTCAAATGGCAGGCTAGAGTAGCGGAGGAGTAGGAGTGGTCGTCATTCTGAAGGAGAGCCGCAGCTTTTTGGAGCATTTCGAGAGATCTTTCAGCCTTGGCGGCTCGCCAGAGTAGAGATCCAATCCATGCGGAGCATTGTGCGTTATAGAAATCGGAACTGACGGTCTGGGCCATCTTCAGGGCCTGCTCCGCGTAGTACATAGTCTCCTGGAACATGCCTATGTGAGCGTATACTGAAGAGAGCCAGAATACGTTGCGGTACAAGGCGTAGAACAGCCTCCAATACTCAGGGCCTAGACCTTGCCGTTCTGTGTTTCCGGTGAGTTCGGTGGCAGAAATGTCAATGTTGTGATCTTCGATGTGGCTTTGCTTCGTCGCAGTCCCTCGCGCCAGCCGAGACTCCAGCTTCACCCAATCCTGAAAGAGATTGCGGACACTCTCTCGAGCATAGACCAGCGCATGGTGCGAGTCGCCACGCTCAAGAGCAAGGACAGAGTACAAGTAGCAAGCTTTTGCTACCAGTCGCTTCCTCTCTGCCCGGCCATGTCTTTGAAGCGGAGTGTCGGCCTTGAAAGCATGTTGTGCTAGGGAGAGGTGATCTTCTGCTAGTCTGAAATTGCAGATTGCAAGATTATGCTCGGTGAAAGTAAGGTGGAAATGGGCGAGGGTCTCTGCTCGCAGTTGAGCCCCAATATACTCCTGCGTTTTCAAAAAGACCTGCTCGGCCCTTGACGACTGGCCCAGATTGGTGTACTGCAGAGCCAAGCAGGAACTGTATTGCACGATGTCCTCTGCTCTTGACCCGTCTGCTACCCGAACGATGTCCGCCATTAGTCCAAGAGTGTCGGCGAGAAGACCGTCCCTGCCCTTCATGCGGAGAAAATCGGCGACGGATTGGAGATAGTTCAAGAGCCCTGGCAAGTCATCGACTGCCTTCTCCAACATCGCCCGGTCGCGGCATGTCTCGATCATGTTCCGCCAAGCGTAGATGGATTTCTGAAGTGCGTCGCTGTCGCAATAGGCATCTACCGCTGCGGCTAGCGAGGTATAAAGCGTCCTCATGTGCGGAAGAAATGTAGCCAAACCTGAATCCTCGCCGAGATTGCCCTGGTCTTCAAGCTGCGCAGCATCTTTGGTGACTGAAATAAGTTCAGACGCCTTGTCCAGCCTCCCAAGCGCGGAGCAGAGTAGGGTGAGCAACACCCTGAGTCTTCGAATCGGATACCGGCTTGGAACGTAGATGCGGAGCAGTTGGTCCACGACGGGATGCTCGAGTAGAACCTGGGGCTCTTTCATGCCTTCTCTCAGCAGGATAAACCGCACGCGGTGCTCTAATGCGGCCGCCCGCTCCGGCTCGGGAAGATTAACTGTCCAGTCAACCCACGCATGCTCCATCTTTGAAATAGAGAGGAGGGCACGAGAAAGGGCCTCGGCTTTTTCGCTACCGTTCCAGGCGGTGGCGGGAGATTCGGTGTCCAAGGAATTAGCGATCGACTTCAGCACACCGTCCTCCAACAAGCTTGCCCGAATTGCTTGAAGAGCGCCAAGAGCCTCCTCTCCCTTGCCCATCGTCTTGCAGACGTCAGCCATCCGTTCTAGTTTTAAAGTGAGCTGAGCCTTTTCCTTCTCCGCGCCTGGCCGGTTCTTGACGCATTCTACGGAACGACGCAGGGCTCGCAGTGGGGCTGCGTCCTTCGGGTCAGTTGATTGCTGGCGCAAGGAACTGTATTGCAGGTAATAGAAATGCGAAATCTTGACGAAGGGGGACGTCACAGGGTCGGGCGTAGCTGGGCTTCCCGCGTAGTCCAGGAGTGTGGTGCAGTCGCTGAGGATAGAATCCACAAGGTCCCAAGACAGTCGGCCCTGATCCAAACAAGTCCTGATGGTCACGAATGCCGAGTCCAGAATATGTTGAAGATATTGCAGCATAAGCCGCCGTCGTTGTTCATATCTGAGATAGTCCTTGGTGATGCCTTTGGGCCCTGGGGGTTTACCAAGCCAACGTAGGCAGAATCGAGGACACTGAAGAATAAATGTCTCGAGAAGGTCCCTGACGACTGGCGATGGTCCAAAGACTTTCTCAGTACTGTTGGACTTGGCCAGGGTGAAGAGGATATTCATGGCTGATTTGCGGACAGCACAGACGTTGGTCAAGAGCTCGTCCAGCTCGACGCTGTCCCCACGCAGGGGACCCTGAATACCTTCGACGAGCTCTCTAAGAAGTTGGTCACTCAAGAGATACTTTGTGGGCTGCATCAGATGAAGAGAAAGCAGCTGTGCTGTCAGAGAGCAGGTCTTTGCGATTGATTCCGCCTTTGCATCTACTGCCTCGCGGAGCTTGGCAGCCCAAGAGACGGCATCTGACAATAGATGAGCGTCCCGGGAAAGGGTCACTAGCATCTGATAGATGCTAGCAAGAGGGAGTTTAGAGCCTTTCGGCAGTTGCAGCTCGTGACTGTGCAGCTGTTGAGAGACCCGGGTAAACATGTTCAAGCAGGCGGCATAGCTGGCTTTTGGATTCTGCGAAGTCCTCCGGATGTAGGCGCCCAGGCATCTCGACATTGGAACCATGACATCCTTCTCAGTGTCTCCCTTGTGCTTGGCCAGCCTCCACCAATGCAGCCGGGCTTCCAGTGCGAATGTCTGCAACAGCAGGGCAGTCTGTGGAGAGACGCTAAGTCGGGACTCCTGCCCTAGGCTGTCATCCTTGCTGGACACATTGGGGGTGAGGGACAAAAGGCATTGAGCGACGGTTTCCATTTGTCGGGCAATCTTTTCGACATCAGCTCCTTTCTCCCCCGCTGCTGCAAGGAGAAGTTTAATTGGTGAGGAGCCATGGTCTGGTTGAAGATAAGGTAACGCGGCCTCGATAGCTGTCGGCTTTTTAGTCGATGCCAGGATTCGCAACGACTGTATCTGGGTTGTGACTATCAGCAAAAGCAGCTGCCCAGAGGCCTTCACCGTGCTGAAGTCAAGGAGATCTGAGAAAGAGTGGGCAGCATTTTTTGACTCGCTACCGGCTGTTTTGGTCGACTTCTTTGGCCCCGACTCCGTGGTGCCCTGCAACCTCCTCGTAAGAACGCGCAGCTCATTCACCGCCTGCTCGTGAAGGCCCAAGGCAATCAGCCTTCCAACTAAAGCCGACATGCCAGACTCGAGTTGGAGCTCCGGAAGCGAAATCTTGCCGGTGGCAGATAGCTGGCGAAGAACAGTCAAGGCGACGCGAGCGCACTCAACGGTGGAGAGTATATTTGTGTTGTTTGCCGGCTTTGAAGGCGATCGGGCATGTTTCGCAGCGACGGGAGAGGTGGACTGCCGGTTTAGTGAGCGAGGCTGTAGAGGGCTCATGGGCATCGAACTCGATCGCCGAAGTCCGTTCTTCGTTGCCGCCTTGACGAGGTCTTCTTGGGTTGTTCGGTCGGCGAGTGACACGGGGATCGGACTCGGCCTCGCAGCCTCTCCGAGTGCCTTGAGTGTAGCATTGACGACGTGTGTTGCAAGCGTAGCCTTTTCGCGTATTGACAAGGCGCTGTCGGCGCGGACATTTGTGGGCTTTGCGCGTTTTGACGCCGTTCTCGCGACCGTGTTCGGTTTTGATCGCGTCGAATTCGCAGCCGCTGACGCATCGTCTTTGAGGAGCAGCAGACTCTTGAGCAAGGCCAAGGTCGTCGGTGAGCAAGTCGCGACGGACGAGACTGCGCTGCGGACAGCGTCAGCCTGGGCGAGCGGTGTATCCATGAAGATGTCTAATGGGCTGATTCTTAATCATATCATGGCCGAATCCTAGGACATTATCCAAAAGACAGCAGGACTATGAACGCCCAAGTAAAAAGCAGTGATGAGATGTATGAGGCACTATGCTTTCAATTGATGGAAATCGAGACGGGCAGGTGCAGAGTCGAACCCAGCGAATTGGTTCGCCAAGGCTTAACCGTCCGTCACCGTCGATAATGCTAGGTACGAGGTAACTTACTGTATTGACTCTCCACGCCAGAAAAGCCATCTTTGGTTGGCCGGGCAACAGCCCAACCATTGGTTACACAGTACGACGTACGTACAACGGTACAACCGCAACTGCTTGGTGGAGTCTTCTACCTACCGGCTGTCGCATTTGTCAAATCAAACTGCAACTTTGCTTGAAATGTCAGCACCGTGTTCTTCCTCCCACATCATTCCAACGAGCACACTTTTCAAGATACCAACACCCCCTCAAGCCAACATGAGAGGCACGCTGCTCCGACGAAGACTTCTAATGGCCGCCTTGCACCAAACTCCCTTGGCTCGGGGGTCATTGGGCATTGGTGGGCGCACAATGAGCTCTATTGCCGAGCCATCCTTTTGGAAAGGACTTATTCCCAAACCGCTGCGATCATCAGCCCGAGGCTCCAAATTGGGGAATAAGCCCAAATCCAAGGAGTGGAATCCTGCGACGTTCTTCATTGTCATATTTCTGTTTATTGGATCCATGTCTATCCAGATGATTGCGCTCAAGAAAGACTTCGCAACCTTCACACGACAGTCGGACGTCAGGATTGGACTTCTCCGTGAGGTGGTGGAGAAGCTGCAACGGGGCGAGAAGGTGGATGTGGAGAAGGTGTTAGGCACCGGTGACCCGGAGAGGGAACTGGAGTGGGAAGAAGGTTTGCAGTCCTGGAAGTAATGCCTTTCTTGGGAGATATACTGAGAGACAGAACAGTTTTGAAGGAGATTGAGCGCGGGGAGACTGCGATGAAGCAGAGGAAAAAACAGCCAGAGTCACCTCAGGCTCCGAGTTACGGGTCTACTGCTCCTCCGGCACAAGAGACCGCACGGTTGGAAGCACAAAGCACCCTCGCAAGTAAAGGTTTCTTCTGAGGGATTTCTGTTGTCAGAGTTATTATAGACGGCCCTAAGACAACATGTCCTTGAATACGGCAGCACCGCTCTGCTCGGACGAGCCATCAGCCATGCGAGATTCGGCCCTTTGGAACCGGGGTTGCCGCAGCTGTGCCAAGAGGGCCGGCAACAGGGTCTCTGTGGACATCTCCACCCTTACTCCTAAACTCCCCATTTGGGGGTCACGTAGGTCTGCAAAGAAGGCATCCTCGCCTCTGACCCCGCCCACATTAACAATGGCAATTGGCATCCCCCTATCTTTGGCGCGCTTTACCAGCCTCCACGCGGAGTACGTCGCAAGGGAGGTGGCAAGGACGAGAACCCTTCCAGCCTTGTCGATTGCATCCTCGGCGGCCTCCTTGATCTTCGCAGGGATGCTCTCCCCAAACATAACGACAGCCGGCTTGAGGATACCAGCATTACTAGCCGGGCTCCAAGCACCATCGTCATCAACTTCGACCACTGCCTTTCCTTCCGCCAGGTAGGGAGGGCTGCTTAGGCACTTCGGACAGGCAGGATATCGGAAAGTGGTATACGGCGCTTCCGGAAGCTCAACATCGCCATCCGGATTCATCCTGATACCCCGAGCGCGCTTCTCGTCGGGGTCCTCCGTCTCGAGTGCGCCAGAGGCCACGGCCTCGTGCAAAAAGGCATCCCAAATGGGATTCAGCCTCGCTAACTCTCTCTGGAAACTCTCTCGGGGAAACTCATTCCAGCATGATGTACACACTGTCGACCTTAGATAGCCATGCAACTCCAGCGTTGGAATCTCGGGATGCGCACGGGGATGGAAAGAGTCCACATTCTGGGTGATGACCGCAGAGACCAAGCCCAGCCGGCCTAGATCCCGTACCGCATAGTGCCCGGCATTCGGGGAGGCTTTATTCAACGTCGTCCAGCCCAGAAAACTCCGGGCCCAGTAACGCTTGCGCGCTTCGTGGTTCGTGAGGAACTCGTGGTAGTAGATGGGGCGGTACGTCTTATTGACGCGGTAAGTTCCGTTGACGCCCCGATAATCCGCAAGGCCGCTTGCCACCGAGAGTCCGGCGCCTGTGAGGATGATAGTTGAAGCGGGTAGGTCCCGCGGAGGCGGGGCGTGAAGGAATTCTTGCAGAGCCGCAACGGCGCCAGGGAGGGACCGGGCTGTGTGCGGGATTATGGTTGGTGGTGGGAAGAGCTCCGTGTAAGGAATCCGAATTACAGGATTGCGCATTATCGTTGGCAGTCCCTGGCCTGTTGGTGATTGTGAAGGCAGTCCGAGATGACCAATCCTTTGCCGTTTGTGACGGCCTGATAGGGGTTGAGCGCAAGGAAATGTTTGCTATTACCAGGCGTGATGCTGAGCCGTACTGTATGTATTGTACCCTTCAACTACTAGCGGGTCGAGGTGACGCTTCGATCCTTTCGACCCACCATATCAAAATGGGGCCGCCACACCGACGAAATGGAAATGCTTGCCACCTCCTCAGATGCAACGAGGCTCTACAGAGCCTCTAGAGTATGTACGCCAGACGAACCAAGGGGTGCAACCCGATATTCTCTTCGACAGCCAGGGACTTAATTGAGTGGTTGCTACGTGTACTCTGCTCAATCAGGCGCCTTTGTTAATAACTGTAGACTGGAGCTGGGTGCATCTCTATTATCTCAAGGGGTTTGAAGTCGTCGCTTCTTATTAGGGCGTTGAACGACGCGGTTGCTTCGATGGAAATCTCGACCCGCTCAAGCGCGACCTGCTCCACCTACCCCCCTTATTGCACCCAGCCTGTAGTAACCTGGACGAGGTCGAGAGGTTGTGAATTTGTGATTCTCGGGTGCTGTGGCGTGGGAGGCTGCGACCATCATGTCCAGACATTTGTTCAATAGAGCAACCGAACAAGTTCACCGATTGACCCGAATGAATTATGAAATATCTATGAATCGAGTGGAAGTTGCTTGGGACGATTTTCCAAGAAGCAGATGGCCCGTGCACACGGTCCCTAGTCACTGCCAGTCAGATTCCGGGCCTAGCCGGGAATTCTCTGCTCCTTGCAGGCGGCACTGCTGCGCATCTGCTGCAGTGCTTCAGTTGTCAACGACATCTGCAACTGCAGGGTACTCCGTACTGAGGGCAGAAAGTGGTGCGATGTCGGTCGCGTTTCAAAGCACAAAAGTGTGCCCACCGCCGGCGTAGCTACTTGAGCTAAGTGCCCCTTATAGCCGCGATTCCCGAGTGACGCCTGTGCGGTTCCAAGTTCCAATTTGATCCCATGGATGTTCTGGATGTGCATAGTCATGCAGTCGGGTACCTGGGGAATTCAACAACCTGGGAAAGGGCGCGCGAACCTCTTTACGTTCCGTTCTTGACGAGAAACCGGAGACACTCATTTGTTGGCCTGTTTGAGCTTGTCGTACTCGTCCATTTCCGCATTTCCCGTTCCGTTCTGAATACAGTAACCTACATATAACTCCGCGTCAGCCCTTCCAAGATTTCTTTTGATGCCTTCGCTGGGGTGCAGGCGAGGCCCAGGGCTCCCTCTGGAGCGCCTGTGTTCTGTTACGCCTGCCGCGTCACGTCTGCGTCCAAGAAGGGCACGGAGCCATCAGCCTCCATTTATTAGCCCACCAGGGACACATCACCCACAACCCGAAGCCGTGCGGATCTACCAGACACTCCCCGACTGCCGGGCATTTACAAACCGTATACGTCGCTCGTTTCACCCCGCATTGTCGTCGTCGTCGTCGTCGTCGTCACCCCCGTCTATAACAGTGCCGGCACCAGCAGCAGGAACAACAAGATCCAAAGCCCTCGTCAACCGCATCCTTACCATGGGTTCAGGGACCCAGATTCGAGGCCATGCCGGCCATTCACACCACCACCATCACCACCATGGCAATGTTTACCTCACGTCACAGAATAAAAAAGATGCTGGTGTGCGCATCACCCGCATTGGCCTCTACTCTAACCTAGGCATGGCCATTGTCAAAGGCGCAGGCGGCTACGCCTTCAATTCGCAGTCCATGATCGCCGACGCCTGGCACAGCCTGACCGATCTCGCCTCGGACGTGCTCACATTGGCCACAGTCTCGTGGAGCCTGCGCCCGCCAACCGAAAAGTTTCCAATGGGCTTCGGCAAGGTGGAGAGTCTAGGGTCGCTGGGCGTGTCTAGCATGCTGCTCTTTGGCGGGCTCTTCATGTGCATGAGCAGCTGCGAGTCGCTGTACGCCCACTTCATGCTCGATCCGGAAGCCGCTGCCGCCATCCTGGAACACGGCCACGGCCACGGTCATCATCACGGACACAGCCACGGCCACGGTGCAGCTCCAAGCATACACGCCGCTTGGCTGGCAGCAGGTACCGTGGCGGTCAAGGAGTGGTTGTACCACGCCAGTACGTCGCCCACGTGCCCCCTTTCCTTGTTTATCCTCCTCTCCTACCCCACTAGTTCCGAAGCTGACCTTCTCTGCCCTTTTCCCCCCATCACAGCAATGAAAGTGGCCCGCGAGCGTAAATCCTCCGTTCTCGCATCCAACGCCGTCCATCATCGCGTCGACTCCCTCACCGGCATCGTCGCTCTCCTCGCCATCCTCGGCGCCAACTTCCTCCGTGACGCCACGTGGCTGGACCCGGTGGGCGGGCTCTTCATTTCTTTGCTGGTGATACGCGCCGGCCTCTCCAACACGCTGTCAGCGCTCTACGAACTTGCGGACCGGTCGATCGACGAAGAGGTACGGCACTCTGTCTCGAAGCAGGTGGCCAAGAGTTTGGAGGGCGTATCGCAAGGTGGTGAAGTCGACCTGCGCGACGTGACAGGCATCAAGTCCGGGCAAAACTATCTCATTGATCTGGAGCTGGCTGTGCCGAGCTTGTGGACGGTCGAGGACGTGCGCGAGCTAGAAGAGGCAGTACGGACAAGAGTCGGCGCCAAGGTGAGAGGGGTCAGGAGGGTAAGAGTGCGTTTTGTGCCCAAAACAGCCCCCGTACCCGATCGGTTCGACGAGTTTATCCCGGGAGACGTTAGCCCAAGGACGAGTCCCGAGCCTGAGGAGGAAGATAATGGGAATGGGAATGGGAACGGGAATGGCCATGGCAGTGCGCACCGGAAGTCGCAATAGGATATGCATTGCAATCGTGTTGGTTTTGATGCCATCATGCATGATATGAGACATCGAGAACCGGCAAAGCTGCAGCGAAAGTATAGTTAGTGTAGGAGACCTTACCAACAGACACCTGGTCTGGAGCCGCTCAAGATGCCTGATCCTGTGCATCAGAGGCTACCGGTAAGGTAGTCATGGTGCCCGGTGCCGCCCCACCGAGCAGTTTGAAACAAACCGACTGAACAAAGCAGGGTCTGCTGTAGTAGTGACATCTGTGCAGATAAGCTGCTCTTACCCATCGATGCATGTAAAGATAAAGACGTTTATACGTGTATATCTATTTGTGTATATATTTACCAACCTATCTTAATTCTATGTAGGATCCCGATGCAAGTTAGACTTAAAGGTGGTTGTACCCAACGGTATGTACACAATGCACGGTGAGATATTGAGGCCAATCCAAGACCGAGAATGAATGCATCCCAACAGAATCATAACCTGCCGGGGAGACCCTTAATAACCAGCCCATTCAGGCTCCCCGCTTGGCATTGCCGGCTGGTCCTTGTTCATGAGACACTGTTGCTTCCAGTCTTTTGGTGTAAATTTGTCGACGACGGCCTTGAATGCAACCTATTGTTCACTACATCAGCTGATCAAAGTCGTCATAGTGTCTGGCTTTGTCTACTTGCCAATGTGCAGAACGACTCCTCCCCTTCGAGGTGATTGCCAGGCATCCGGCACGCTGGGATGGTGACAGGCTCGTCGTTGTACCGTATCCTCACGTAGTAGCCGTCCAGCTTTCCTCTTTCCTGGGGGCTCAATTCGGGCGTAGGCCTTCGCCTAATTCCGCTGCTGGCAGGGTGTGCCGCCAAACCGAACAGCGTCGACCACCAGCTCCTCCCGGAAGCGCCCTGCTGTTGCAACACTTCGCCAGCCGGTGCCGGAATCTTGGAGTCCCTAAACAGCTCAATCGCAATGTGGCTCGTGAACGGCGGCCACCGGTCAGTGTCATAGGCTCCGAGACTAGCCAAAACCCCAGCAAGCGTGGTGTCGTGGCACCCGCTCAGGCCGAATCGTATACGATCATCCTTCTCCTGGCCCCTCGCCTGCAGCAACAGACGCGACCCGTCGGCATTGCTCTGCTCAACGCTGCCTACCATCCGCCCAACCACGTCCCCCATCAAGGCCCCCATACCGAGCATCCGGTACTCCCTGGACTCCTTGTAACCTGCAAACCACTCGTCCACTGCGATCTTCTCCATGATGTCCCTGCCCTTTTCGTCGTAAAACTCCTTTGGCAACCTCGTGTCGGGGCCGTGCGCAAGCGTGGCATTAATCGTGTCCAAAATCCCGGAGAGCCGCGGACGCGAGTCGACGGCGACTTTGGTGTTAGGCGGCATCCACTTTCCCAGCAGCCGGTCCAGGTATGCCATGTCCGGCGTGTGGTTCCACCTCTCTGCGGCGCGCTGGGCAAAGGCACGGGACAGGGCGGCAAAGCGGCGGCAATTGCCATCGTTCGGGTACAGCGTCTCCTCTTCGGGAGTACGGGTGAGGATGGTCGGCGCGGGGAATCGGCCGTCAGGTCCCGCTTCGCGCGTTGACGGCGGGTACAGGGCGGAAAGGGTCTGCTGGAGAGACTCGAGGGCCCGTGGGATCGGGGTGGAACGCAGGTACATGAAGTCAGCGGACTTGATAGTGGGAGGGAGGAATCCCAGGCGGTCGACGTAGAGCTGTCGGAGGCGGAGGCCGAGCTTGTAGGTGGACTGCCGGCCAAGATCGGTCAAACTGCCCAGGTCACAGACGTCGTCCAATTGGCCATTGGGCCCGCTGGCAACAACGGGCTCGTCATTGTCGCCAAAGGTCTCCAGACGGCGCTTCCAGTTCAATGTCTCGAATTGGCCGGCAGTAGAAGAGGAGTCGCTGGCGGCCAAGATGGCCGACTTCATCTGGTGCACGCTGGAACAATATGGCCAGAAGGGCTGCAGACCGGTATTCTGAAAGCGTGCCGAGACGGGTGTTCGCTCGCCATGGCGCATCAATATCTGCACCAGTTGCAGCTTCAGACGCTCCGGGTAGAGCTTGCGAAGCTCTTCGTCCGTGTATGGCTTGCGGGGAACCAGAGTTGTCATGGTTGTTGGCCCCGCCCCGATAACGCTAGGTGCTCGCTGTGATGCTAGTTCGATTCCTTGATGCCACACAGATATGACCCGTTAGCTTGAGAAACGGATGTGTCTGGACCCTTCAAGATAATTTCATTGCACGATCTTAGATGGCAGGACCTGGAAGGGACCGCCTGAAATGACGTACATACGAGGACGGACAGTAAGTTATGACTAAATCGTCCCTGATGTATGTGTATGTACAGTAACGTTACACGAAACCTTTAGCTTTGTTACACAACATCTCTATCCAATCACCCAGCCACATGCCACACGGGCCCCATCGTAAGTGGGGTGGTTCCAGTGCCTGCAGGCTACGGCTTGCTTGGACTTCGCTCTGAAATCTGAATGGTACTTCGTATTCACAAAAATCCCATCACGTCAACTCAAGCGGCAATCGTGAAACAACCGCTCGCCGACAGCGGACGGACAACGGAAGCGCATTTGAAAGCTACAGCTGGTTCAGGCAGCAAGTTCTCAGAACGGCCACCATACCGATGCTGCTCGTGGCATCCATGTACAAGTACAATACGCCATGTGCACATGTCCTCGGATGAATTGACCCGGATACGACGACTATGCGCGATCTAGGGAGTGTTTGCCTGCGATGCCAGTTCCGGCTCCTTGTAACGTCAAGGACACGGGTCCGCCTTGGAATCACGAGCTACAGCACCTACAATACCGCGCCTCACGAGGCTCAGCCATACGATGAACGCTGGGACACGCGCTCAATGGCCGCGTTTGGCCAGGCTTCGGACAACGGGGCCGTCACAGCAGCACCGACCCCTCTGCCCGCTCAAAGTTGCACATCGGCCACCCGTCGCACCTCCGCTGTGAACATGTTCCAGAGCATCGTCGAGAGGCAAAATCGGGCGTCCGATGCACAAGGAGGCACAGGCGCTGACCCCGGAGTGGCCAGCATTGACCTCATGAAAGATGTCGCCAAGATACAGGCGATGCTGGAGCGCGATGGCGATGGGTTGGACGCTGCGTATTCCTTCTTTGAAGGCACCGTGTATCCTCAAATCATCAGGGCCGGTGTCCCGCAGGTCGTTAAAAATCAGGTTGGCTCGACTCTCTTCAACAATCTGGCCGTTGCGAAGGCAAAGCGCTTCGAATCCACCCAGCTTCCAAGCGTTACCCGCATCACAAAGATTATGTTGGAGCTGAATGTTCTCAGGCCCGTCGTCTGGGCGACTCTTATATTGGAGCTCATCCAACACATCTGTCGCCAGAGCCCATCTCCAAACGATTACGCCTCAATTGAGGAGTATGAGGCTGCTATAGCCAGACGCAACGCCTTCTTGAGAGACCTCGTTGGAGCTTGGAATGTGTTTGCCGAGCAGAGCTCCTCGGCTAACAGAGACCCGGCCGAACCTACAGAGCAGGGTGAGCGCCAATCCATTTCCCCCCGTACCGGCGCAACCAACAAACCTCAACGTCGGCCCACACTCTGGCAGGTTTTCGGAGCCATGTTCCCCAAATATCCCCTTCCAACACTGTTTAGGCCAACGTGGGCGGCCTACGCCACTTATAGGTTGCTGATTGATCCATTCAACCGCACCCGCTCCATCGAACAGGAAGCTGCCCCATTCTTTCGGATGATGAAGACATTGATCTTCCAATCCCGTCCGCCACGGCCCAGTGACTTCTCCGCATTGCTAGAGGCCTTCCCGGATATTCGGTACATGCAATCCCGAAAGTACGGGAAGGACAGAGGTACCACGTTTCTCGCGCCTGTCTCAATTCCCCAGAACCCCTCGCACCACTTGCGGGCCACGGTCCATCGCCAACTTGGAAATGCTATTAGCAGCAGAAATCTGGAAGCCCTGAAAAAGGCCTGGGTGGACTTCTGGGGTGTTGCGGCAACTCCCGATGAGTCTCACGTCAAGGAGCTCGTCAAACATCCCGAGCTATTCGACTACTTCATACTCGCCTATATGACTTTACGGCGACCCGAGCTTGCCGTGGATGTCTGGAATAGCATGGAGCGCATTGGAATCAAGCCTACCGTCAAGACGTGGAACTCGATGCTCCAAGGTTGTGCCAAGGCCGGCAATGCGGACGGCATCAGAACTGTTTGGCATAAGCTGATAGCGTCGGGGACCCAGTTGGACATAGCCATCTGGACCGCTCGGATTCACGGCTTCTTTGCCAGCCGCGACCCGGATGCCGGACTCCGCGCACTTGACGAGATGGTCAAGGTCTGGGCTGCGCGCGGCGAGCCTGCCAACAAGTGCATCGCGGTGCAGCCGACCGCCGAGCCCGTCAATGCTGTTCTCGCTGGGCTCATCCGCCTTGGGCGTGAGAGTGATGCTAGACACGTTCTCCTGTGGGCCTCCAAGCAGGGGATTGAGCCCGACATTTACACCTTCAACACGCTGCTCCGCCCTCTGCTCCGTCGCGGCGACATGGCGGCCATAGAAGCGCTCTTCGAGACGATGCGGAGCGCTAACATCAGTGCCGATGTCACGACTTTCACTCTCATTCTTGAGGGCACACTGACCGACATCAGCCACCTCGGCCCGCCTGAGCAGGTCGCCCTAATCAAGCACATCCTCACCGAGATGAAATCCGCCGGCATTGAAGCGAACATGCAGACGTACGCCAAGATCCTGCATCTCCTGCTCCGTCAGGGAGGTGATCAGGCAAACGAGCCTGTCAAGGCGGTCCTCGCGCACATTTGGCGACGCGGTCTCGAGCTTACGTCACATATCTACACGATGCTTGCGGAGCACTACTTCTCCCGAGACCCTCCCGATGCGGCCGCTGTCACTGCACTCATTGAGAACCGGCGTCTGCACGACAACAAGGATATTGATCGCGTCTTCTGGGAGCGCGTCATCAAGGGGTACTGCCAAGCCGGCGAAACGGAGCGAGCCCTGGCCATCTTTGACAGAGTCTTTGTTTCGGGCACCAACATCACCTTCTCGACGCTGTACGACCTGCTGAAAGCCGTCATCAAGCACGATGACGGAACGCACGCCGCTGCTGCCACGCGAATCGTTGAAGCGGCGCGTAAGATTGGTATGGCAGATGAAGAGCGCACCGGCGACGGCCCTAGCGCTGTCGCTCCTCCTACCACGCACGCCGAGAGGAAGAGGCTATTCAAGCATCGCTTTTGGCACCTCGCTCAACAGCATGGCTTGCTGGGGGAGCAATTGGGAGTACTGCTAGCAAGTCGTTGATAAGCATCTCATGGTTAGCCACTGTACATACTAGTCAGGTCCATGTGTAGAGTAGGTATGTAGTCAGATGCACTCCATGAAGCGGTATAACTGTGGATATGCATCCCTATGCATTTTGTCACATGTCACCCTACAGCCACCAAAGAGCATAGACAGATCCACACGATAGCAAGGGGAACAATGTCATTCTTGGTCTCCGAATGCTACGGTAGGTCCTGTCGTCAATCGGCGAAATTCCCAAAACTCTATCTAATAGCTTGCTCTTCATTACTCAGAGGCCACTCGCTATCTTGAAGCCAGCGCGTTAGTAGCAAAGCTGTTTCCCGCAAGTCAGCTCCCCTGCACTAAATCGACTCGGATGCCCTGTGTTTTCGGGAGCAGGCTCGGGGCAGGCACAGAGGGACTGGCCAGTGTCCACGGCTCCTATCTTAAGCTTGGGTTTACCCGGACCACATACTCAATAGGTATCAACTGCTATAGCAAATATACCGCCGAGTTTGATTAGTCTCTTCTTTCATCCAATCGCACTTATATGTTTATACATGTCCCTAACAATCCACATCCGATGACGTCCGTTCATCTCATTTCATAATCCATCATAGCTTGTCCCGACGTCCCTATCCTGGATGTGTGTTTTCTTGCCATTCCCAGCAATTCCCTTCGTTGCCCAACCGAACCAGACCGGACCATATGCAAAACGGTAAAGACAAATCTATGCCCACCCTGTTCCACTTGTGTATATACCAAGCGCAGTCTAACTCTGAAGCCTTCTATCCCAGAAAAGCGCTGCAGTTTGCAGAATCAAAACAAAAGACTCGTGTGGGTGGTTACACCCGAATCATGTTCGCCATCCACCCCAACTCATCCACCAGGTCTTCGAGACGTGACTCGGCGCCTGGGCTAGAAAGAAGCGAAGCAGTAGGATTGCCGATTGTCACGTCCTCTGTCTCAGGTCCCCCACCGCAGACTGAAAACCTGCGGCTAGCGGCAGAGCGCTTGCCTTCCTTGCCCTCCGTGCCGGATGTCCGAGGGAGACTGTAGGTGGAGAGAGCAGCGTTCAGGTTCCTGGCAAAGGGATTAATGCCTTTCCCATCAATCGTGTCAGTAATCCCCTGGACAGGGGGTAGTTCGTCCTCGTTTCCCGACAGGACACCTTCATCCTCCTCGTCTTCGGAAAGGTAGAAGCCGGGTGGGGAGTGGGCATCTGGGGATTCTGGGGTCTGCTGATTAGGCGAGGTAAGAACCGGCACATATGACGGCCGATCGGTCTTCTGGGCAATTTGGAGCTTTGTCGCCAGATTAGGGGAACGTGTCCGTGGAGCGGGAACTGGCAGATTGGATTCGATCACGGATAGCGCGCCATCACGACAGGAGACCACTGTTGGGGAGGGAGAGATGGTTCGCTGCGGAGGTGGGGCCAGCCCGGTGAACGCCACTGTCTCGGACACGGCGGATGTAGCAAAGTTGTCATCATCCTCATTTTCCTCGACGATATCATCAGGGATGACGATAACGGGCCGTTCATTAGCCTCAGGTTCCTCCGCTAAGGGCCTAGCATCCACTAGGAACTTCCGAAGTGATTCCGGTGACATATCCCTGGAGCGACTACCCTGGAAATGGCCACTCCGCTCGTCTTGTGCTGGAAGAACTTTGGTTTCTTTCAATGAAGATGAACTTGATTTGCGACTGAAAAGTTTTCGGGGCGAGAACGACCACACGGAACCTGGGGACAAAGACCTTGATGGGCGCTTTTGATGCTGATAGCGGAGCGGCGCGGTCCCTATCCGGGGGGTTGTTTCTGGGGGAGTTGGTGCTGGTCTAGGAGCGGCAAACTTGCTCGCAGGATCCATGGTCTTATAATCTTCCTCGCGGAGCGAGGTCAATGAGGCACTCCGTTTTCTGAGAGACTGCTCGACGGGAATCCAGAGGGTATTTACAGTCTGGCCAGGAAGATACGGGCAGGTATTGGTAGACGGGAGAGTTGGATCGTGTGTTTCGGACGCCCCGTCAAGTTCATACTGAGTTCCAAGTCAGCGGGACGTTGACTGGCCTAGTCCAACGTAAATTCTTTACTCACGTAATAGTAATAAGTGTGGCCCATTTTCAAGCCGCCAGTCCTTCTTGGTATCGTACCCGCACCACCCTCACAGACAATATCCTTGAAGGTGTAGCAGCCACGCCATTGGCCACGGTCTCGCCGACTGTCTCGTTCCATTGGATACGCTCTGGAGAAGTTGTCCCAGGACCCAACGAGATGAACTGACCGGGTGGAAGGATGGGTACGCCTGCGAGGATGTTAACGACAGAACACACAATCGCACTCAAGACGCATTGTGCGACCAAGTGCAGTAAGCTAACTCTGGATCGGAAGCAGGACTATGAGAACAGACTCAACGATAAATATCCAATTAGAACGTACAGTACAGTGGATAAACAGTTGGGAATGTGTATGTGGATATCTAGCGAAAGTGGATGAAGGACGAGCAACAAAGAAAGCACGAGACCAGGCTAAGGAACGAACGGAGTTGGACTTTCTGAAGAAGTGGCTGCAGAAGAAAGCGTAAGAGAGAAATGAGTATGTTCATCCAACACTCACAACATGAAGGTAAAAAGCGTTGTTGTCGGATCCATGCCGAAGCCTGAAGGTACCGATACAGTACGCCTGAGCAGACCAAATAACGTTGATGTGCAGGGGGGGGGTTCGGACTCGTCCCCAGGTTTTATAAGTGGGTAATTCAAAGTCGTGGGTAGCCGCGAGGAACGTGGCCTCGGATGTTAAGAATGAAGGATGCGGCGTCCGGCCAATCAAGACGTTCAATAACTTCCGGAAGCGCCGTGATGTCGGGAGTTCGTGAAGTTGAATGGACGGCGCTTAGCCACGCAAGCAGCGGCACCACGAGGGTCAGTGTTTCGAGATGACCCTGAGCCAGCTCGCCTTCGTCCGAACCCTATTGAACCTCCAACCAGGGGCCTAAACGGCTGTGCCGCGGCGTTGTATGTAAAATGAAAATACCTCGTAAACGTCGTAGCATAGGTAGTGTAAAGTGTACTGTTCGGGCGGGCCGATGATATGTACCTAAGCGTCAGGGGGCTTTGAAGGAGCTGGGAGTCGAAAGTGGTGCTGGTCAGGTGCCCGAGTCTCCGTGAACAAAACGGAAGATGATGAGCGAGCATCAGATGCACTACACTAACGTTTATTAAACTCCAGTTATACATTACTTCAATCCCCGCTAGGGTTTCGCGTCCGAAAGATACCCACAGCAAACGTCGAGGGGCTGCCAATGACTGTCCGAATTGGCGAACGAATGAGAAGACGCACCCATGGGCTCACATCGCGATCGAGGTTGGCGATTGGTGCCGCATTCAGGCACCGCTAATCTCGCCAGGGCCCAGACTAGGGGCTCCCAAACAACATGGCAACCACAGGCGGTCCACTGCGCCGTCGGACGGGCAGAGCCGGGGTGCAGTCGATCAGGCTGACCATTGCTTCCGCTCCCGTGCTGCGGCAGCTTGATGATTGTTGTATATTGAAGCGAGACCCTGAATATCAGTGACGTGGTTCCCCATAACAATGGCGAGGACGCAGCTTGTCAACTTTCACTTACACAAACCGACTTCAATTGACAGCGGGTGGCAGGACATCCCGTCAGACCACATGGGACAGATGATCCGATTTGGAAGAGCCAAATGATGACTCCATCCGAAAGCCGATTGATTCTCAGCCCAGAAGCCCCAGAGTCCCAGACAGCACTTCCGGCCGTTCCTGCCCGCACCTACAGTACTCCGTACGCCGGTGAGAATCAGACGGCAAGGACAACCGGACGAAATTCCCTCATCCCATCGTTACTGGTTCAGTGGTCACCGACGGCTGCATTGCATGATGACAACATGGAAGGTGCATGAGGGACCCAATGTACTTCGTAGTTTACACTGGCAACTGTCAAAGCTGGCGACTGCGGCTGCAGGCTACCCGAAGCGACACCCGACGATGCATTGCATGCGGCTGGCTGCATTGTGCGCTGGGGCCGATAGAAAAAATAATCTAATTGCTGTGTAAGAACTCTATTTAAAGTGGTGCTGACAGTTGTGTCTGACAAGGCTGAAGTGACTTGAAGGTTGAGGCATGTCTCAAACCCTTCTGGAAGATTTCTGCCATTTCGCGAAGATGACAGCAATCTAATTCGTAACCATGTTGGTAACATTACCGATCTAAGGTTATTACCGGTAGTATACTGTACTGTATGTACATAGATATGTTCAGTCCCTTATCAGCAGCCAAGTTCCACAGCTCGGTCGGGTCGACGCTCAATCGCAATGAATGCCTGCAATCTCCCACTGGGAGATATACCGCCTAAAGGGCCCAATATGTCGTTGGAACGGATGCTGAACAAGCATACCAAGGCCTGGGTTATCGCCCGCGAGCTTCATTTGTACGCCACCAGGACCGCCCCGAGTCTAGTGCCTGAGGTCACCAGGGTTTTCGATTTCCCTCCGCATGTCTTTATAACACCCTCTCTGGAGAGAGCCCTTGCACGGGAATTGGCGACTGATGGATACGTGCCTCCCGATTTCGACGATCTTAGGCGCCGGGTGCCGCAGCTTGACAAGTGGGAGTGGCTGGAAGACTATGGCGACAAACTCCTGGCCGAGTGTATCCGTATACAGCCTGTTGCCCTGGAGAAATGGGCGTCATATCGAAGCGAGGCGGCATTGCAGCAATCCTTATCTGGGCACACCATAGTCGGCAAATCAGTCAGGCTGAGCAGAACCCGACGGTCAGTGTGGCGTCTCAAATTGTACCCGCGGCCTGTGGTACGTGAGCGGGACAGCTTTGATGAATTGCCCAGCGTCTGCCTGAATCCGAGAAGAGCGCAGCCATCACGATGACAGCCTATTATTTCGCGTTAGCCAAAGAGTAGAGCCATAAAACTCTAGCTCGCTGGTTAGGGGCTATTGGATTTGAAAGAAATCAAGCACACATTTTCATGATCATGATCTACGATTCTGTTATCTGAAAGCCAAAATGCTAGTCCCAGGGATTGAGCTCGCTACGCCCGCAAGAAGGCGTGTTTTCAGCGTTAGTTTGGGTTCTTATTGTTCAAGAAAGGTTTGTTGGAATTATGTACGAGAGCTTAAGTTACGGTATACCGTTTGAAGATCAAACATCTACACCTCATAACTCAGCGCTAACGGTTCGAAATCACGAGACTGAACGCTTATGGTTCAGGAGGGCTACCAACGCTCTCTCTCATGTGAGAAACACACGCCTTCACGCAGATAGGTAGTACCTGTCGTTACTCAAAGCCCCGGTTATATTGTATAGGAACACTGGAAAAAAGATCCATCCAGCCCTCTTTATCCTGCGCCCTACAGAAGCAGGCCAGCAGAGGCCAGGAAAACACTGCCGTGTCACAATCGAGATGCCGCCGGTAGGGAATATCACATCTGCACCGAGCAAGAGACTGCAATGAGGACCAGGCCTACATCCAAGGGAAGAGGGAGGGGAAGACGGAGTAAAAATTACCATTAATGAGACAGGTGGCCAAGCTCCCTCCCGCCCTATTCGTAACTGCCTGACTACCTCGTCCATCTCTGGCTCAACTGAATTCAATAGTGATACATGGCTGACTAGATCGCTGGATGACAGGCCGGGGATCCGCCAGTCCTAGCGCCAGACTCCATATGTACCTTCCCTCCTGAAGTCCTCCTCTGCATATCATGATCGAATTCTGGATCTTACAAATACTACATACGCAGACATAACCCATGTCAACCTTTCTGAGCTGATCCCACGGCCAGCTACACCGATTTGTCAACTCTCACCCCGCCAAGCAGTGCGGATGACCCAAGACAGGAAGAACCGGCTTCGCCTATGCCTGCTGTCTTCAGTGTGTATCGTCTTCGCTTTATGTCCTTTCGGTGGATGTATGATGTACAAGCGTCTCTGGGTCGATCCAGAAGCAAGATATTATCGTGATATGCGCCCCGGAACCAGGAAAGGAGAGGGGAAAGTAGGTATTACAGGATCATCGCCTGTCTGGCCCGCCCTTCAATGTAGTTCTTCGTCCGCTCAGCGAAATGAAGCACAAGTGGATGAGCTGGAGCCGTCTGCTGACACACACAGATCCTCCAGCATACAATACAGAAACAGAAGGAACATCATATTACTTAGCCTCAGCTTTGCCATTGGCGGTGGCAACAGCAGCGTTTTTCTTGTCGTCTTTCTGCCCCGCCGACATCCTCGTCCGCTCATACCTGAGTTTCGTGTCCCCCTTCCACATGGTGCCCAACCAGCGATCCCAAATCGTGAAGAACGGTTGCGAGAAATTCGTCTTGATACCCCAACTCTGGTGGTGGATATCGTGGTATGCAGCATTGTTGCTGGTGATGTGCTGCAAGGGGTCCCAGGGCAACGCGTACCCGCAGTGGTCGTCGACCGTCTTTATCATGCTGACGACAAAAAAAGCCATGCCCAGGCGAGGGCTGAGCATCGCCACCTTGTAGGCAACGGCCGCACCGAGCGTGTCCATCACCAGCCCTTCAACGGGGTGATTGTATAGAGCGCCATATGCGTACGGGACGTAGAGACGGTGGTGTCGGGCGTGCCAGTGTGCTGTGGGTGGAGAGGCACTCTGTTAGTCTAGCTCTAATCCTCGCAGCGGGTGATAACGTACTGTACATCCACTTGTTCAAGTGCATGGCTCGATGGACGAAGTACTGCCAGGCGTCCAAAGCGCAAGCAGCGATCCACATTTGGAAACCCGGGATGATGACCCAGTAGATGGCTTTTGCTACCAGCAATTCCCAGGTCGCAAAGGCGGGCACATGAGTCTCGGCCACCCCGTCAACCGTGGTTATTAGGAATGGGTAGTGCCCACCGGCCAATGCGCCGGCGAGCAGCGGGTGCGAGGCGGCGATGTTCTTGGAAATCGCGGCGGCATTGAGTCCGACAACGCCGAGGATGGCGGGGAGAGCGCGTTGCGCCAGCCGGATGCGGGTTGCCCAAACAGCCACGTCGTACGCCTCCATGCCCGTCATTTGTTGTCCCTCGGTCAGAGATAGTGCGGCACCGCAAACAATCTGGATTATTTGCTCGATAATGACATCACGGGCGACCTGGTAGCGAGATGCGAGGTTGCGCTTGGTGATCTCCTCGGGCGTGTGAAGGCGGTATTGCGGAAACAGATCGTAAACATCGATGACATGGAAGAACATGGACACTGCCCAGTATGCGATGTGTGGGAGTACGAGCGATAGCCAGAAATCTGAGATGAAGGGCAGGAGATCGGGCATCGGCCGGGTCTCGTAGGCCGGCAAAGGGGGCAGGTTCGCCGCGACGGTTCCGTTCGCCATTGTGGGATTGTATGCAGCTTTCTCGAAAAGCAGCCGGTCAAAGATAGACGGGTCACGGCGTGAAAGCCGCAGAATTGCGCCGATCAGTCAATCAATTGAACAACAGGCGATATAAGAGCTGACGAGAAGGAGTGGCAAGAATATATTGCCTTTCAAAAAGACGCCTTTTTCGGCAAAGTCGCTGCACGGTCACAGATTTCAATTTCCGGCTTCTTAACGTGTCGCGCCACCGATGGCACCACCCGCATGGAGTCAGGGTCCAGCACAGCCAAGACAAGCTGCAAATGGACGAGGCAGACCCAAAAATACTCGTCACAATCTGGTGCTTGTTGGACCATGTGTCAGTACACTAATCAATTTATTTTTCCCAGACATTCTTTTCTGAGGAACGAAGGCTATCAGTGCTCAGCTTGGCAGGGACGCTTTGTGCTTCGTAAGTTCGTATGGTACCTATGGTATGTATTACTGTACAATATTTCGTACGGAGTGCGGATACTTACACGGCCAAATTACAGTGCGATCTGACCCATAGGCACATTCATTTCGCATGGGCAGTGGCAAGCTGAAAGACTCGGAGCCTGTTGATGGGAAAGAGGAACCCAAGGGAAACCTGTATTTATTGGGGCACTGGGCTGGGCTCTTTTCCCTCCTACAATCCTCATTCAACCAACCTCCGGCTACAATCAATACACCCATTCTTCAGTGGTTTTCTTCAAGCCTAGAGGCATCGGACCGCTCGGGATCGGAGATGCTCCGAAACGGCCCACATGGATAGGTGCGCCGATAACGCACGACCCACATCGCCGTCAGAACCGGAAAGTTTTTGATACAGCATATGCTACTAGACGGACCCGGGAGGCATGGCTTTACGGGACCGGCTTTGTAATACCTGCAATCTCTCCTATCTGCGCAGGCCGACGGTATAACGTTGATAACTAAAGCCCAATTCCAATATCACTGAGACAGATGCCCAGTGCGTCGGTCGCTCCAGTTCTCCACCATCCAGGCTCGAAGGCTGCTCTCCATTGTCCATTGACCCACATCGACATGTCGACGGGACGAATAAGCTGACAACTCCGAGGCATATACCTACGCAGCCTAGGTCGTAGGTACACACTATAGACAAATATTTCATTCAGGTAAATGTTCCATCAAAATTGAAACAGTCTTTAAACCACTTCGTACTGAATCTGCCTAGTAGTTCCAGTATGTCTTGTCCAGCTGGTGCAATTCCAGGTTGGTCTTCAAGACTGAGCTGATTGGGTTCCGATATGAACTGTACCCAAGCAAGCTGAGCCAAGCTCTGATTTGAACAAGCTGGGTTTCGTATGAACCTGAAGTAAAAGGCCGCTGAAGAAAATCTCCGCTACGCTTGCTAAACCCTAACACAAAAGCTTGGTTTTATTACCTAGTCGCCGATATCCAGCCAGGGTTTCAGATGACAACCTAGCGTTGTACTTCGTACCTAATAACCTGGAAGTAACGGATGCCTGAGGTATTCTGAACCGCGCCTTGGTTTTTCTTCTGTCCAGCCTAGTCCAGCGGCAGCCCCGCACTGGGAAGACTACCCCGCCTACCCTCTGATTTTTTCCCTTCTTTCCACCCACTCCACCTACTCTTGCAGACGGCCTTGCCAATAAACCAGATATTCGTCTTGCGTTCCGGATACCATCTTTCACGATGCTTGTCTACAAGGTACGGTTCAGTCCATGAGAGACTCTTAGCCGTCGTCTCTAGCATTCAGAAACAGCATGGGAAGATCCGCTAACAATACCCCCGCTCCCTACAGGATGCTATCACTGGCGACGAGATTCTCTCGGACGCTTACAATATCAAACTGGTAGATGATGTCGCCTACGAGGTCGACTGCGCTATGGTTCAAGCAGGAGGCGAAGTCCAAGTCGGTGCGTCTACTTCTCGCTTTCTAAGGTTGTGGGTAAAAGCGCCCCTATCACTAACGAACGATTTTCTTCCTCGAGCAGACATTGGTGCCAATCCTTCCGCCGAGGAGGCCGAGGAAGGCACCGAAGACCAGGCCAGAATGGTCATCAATGTCGTCGAATACCAGCAACTTGTAAAAGCACCTGGTTTCGCGGACCACAAGCAATACATGGGGTACCTCAAGAGTAAACACCCCCGCCCATGGCCCACAGTGTCCGTGGATACTGACTTAAACTCTCCGCCATGCAGGATACCTGAAGGCTCTCAAGACGAAGTTCCAGGAGGCTGGAAAACCCGAAGAGGAAATCAAGGCCTTCGAGCAGCGGGCGGTGACATTCTCCAGGAAGATCAAGGAGAACTGGAATAACTGGGACTTCTACACGGGCGCGTCGATGAACCCCGACGGAATGTGAGTGTCTCCGCTCACCTATTGTAGTTCTTGACCGTGGAAGCTGACTTCTTCAGGATCATTCTCCTCGACTACCGTGAAGACGGCGTGACGCCCTATATGGTCTACTGGAAGGATGGTCTGGTTGAGGAGAAGTACTAAACGATCGGATCCAGCACATCCGTTAGCAATCCATTCTGCCTGTGCCAGCGGTAGCATCATGACTGCTTCAGAATGTGCCCCCCTGGCCAAGGCATAGCTACATAAGCCGAATCCAAAGTTGTTTTCCGCTCTCGCTTGTTGTCGGTATTTGGGTCACTCAGCATAAACAGAAAATTTGATACTACTTGACGCGTACATTGTTGCCGCCCTACCTGTGGCTCACTGGACTGCGCCTTTTTATACTAGCGGCAGCAGCTAAACAGGGCCAATTGTCGTGGTTCTGAAGATTCTGCCTTGTGCCCCAAATCACATCGATACATATCGTTGGCGGAACCAAGCGACTGGAAAATGGCAGCAGATCTATCAAACTAGTCTGCTGGCTTCTATAATATGCTTGCATCCTCCACCACAGGACTACCCACCTCGCCGTCATCACCCATCCCAACAGCCCTCAATAGCCCGGCGCTCTCGCCTTCGCCGTTCTCTCTCGCTGCGCCCGTCTGCAGACCGCCGTGTCGGCCACCTCCACCACCTTCACCGCCTCTGGCAACCACTTCGGTCCCGCTCGTGCGGCGTGTTTCCTCAGCCCCGTTGAGCACATACCACACGTCCTTTTTGGTCAAGAGCCCCTGGAGCACGCCACGATCGACAAACAGCACGTAGCGCAGGCCCAGTTTCTGGAAATAGCTTACCGCCAGGTGCAGGCGGCAGCCGCTGGGAAGGGTGAGCGGGGTCTGATCCATCCAGGGTCGCAGGTCCAGGGTGGTCCTGGGATCGGCCAACGGCTGGTGCACGAAAAACGCTTCGGTCTCCGGGGCCAGCGAGCGGGGTGGCTGGGTCGATGTGTGTAAGTTGTAGGAAAGCTCGGCACGGGAGATGTAGCCGAGCAGGATGGCATCGCGCGGATCCGATATGACAGGAAAGCCGCGGTACGGGTGGGCCTCAAGGATCGCGGTCAAAGAGCCAATGGTGTGGCCTGTAGCGGTGAGCACGACGAGGTCCTCGATGCGTGTCATGATCTGGGAGGCGGGAATGTCAGGGATGGGCATTGTCTCCTCGCTCGTGTCGAGGAAAGGGTACTCGTTAAAGTGGATCCAAGATTCGTAGATGCCGCGCCGCGAGAAGGCGTCGCCGACCCACTTGGAAATCATGACGGCCACCATGATAGGGAGGACATAGGTGAGAGCACCCGTGAGCTCGAACATAATGACCACGATGGAAACGGTCATGCGTGTGACGCCGGCGAGGGCGGCCGCCGCGCCGATGATGGCGTAGGTGCCGGGTGTGATGCAGGCAATGTCTTCCTCGCACGAGTGGAAAGCGATGAATTTTGGGTGGTTGTGCTGCCAGATCTCCATGACAATGCCAACCGCACGTCCGAAAAGCGCACCGATGGCCATGGTTGGCAGAATGATGCCGGCAGGGATCTGCAACCCAAACGTAATGGCGGCGAGACAGAATCCTAACAGTGCGGCGAAGATTAGGAGGACGATTGTGCCCGCAGAAGCGGCGCCTGTTTCGCAGAGCCCAAACTGGTCGTCAAATAAATTGGAGCACTCTGAAAACAGGTTCGAGACTAGGTCCGAGGACTGAGCCCGCATATAGTGGTTGGGGTAGTTGATGAGAGCAGTAAGACAAGCCACCGCAACCACCTGCGTCACTGGTCCTGGCAGCCAGGTGGCTGATTTCCTCCACTTGGCGACTCTCATGTTCGCTTTGATAAACAGCCCGCCGTAGATGCCGCCGAAAATGCCCAGGAGCACAAAAGGCACCAGCTCAAAGCCATGCCAGCTGGAGCTATATGTCACTTGGTAGAGCACAAGTTTGCCCGACCGGAAAGGGTCAAAAGCCTGTAGCACCACAGCGGCTGTCATGGCGCATACGAAGCTTTGCCACATTGTCTTGTCGGGGAAATAGTAGGATAGTTGCTGTTTGGTGTTAGAGTGCGGAATGATGTTAGAGGCTGACGTTCGGGGGTTGCTTACCTCGAGACTGAAGAGCACGCCTCCAATCGGCGAACCAAACGCCACAGAAATGCCGGAAGCCGCTGCTGCCGAGAGAACCTCCCTCTTCCGCGCTGCCAGGGTCAGTAAAACGTATGCTGGGCCAAGGGAAGCGGACACACACACCTTCATTACCGTTGATGCTGGGAAACAGCTTGATAAACAAATTGGCGCAACAACAGGCGACATGAACCAGTGGCCCTTCTTTTCCTAGCCACATCCCAGATGCCACCGCCAGAACCTGGCCGGGTCAGTGATCGAGCGTGCCGCGGACTCAAAGCGCTAGCAGACTTACCAAACCTAACGATTTCGTAATCAACGTCCATAACCCAAAAAACCTCCTGATAATAAAGCCTCCAAGTACCGTCTTAATCTCTGGGATCCCGCTGTGTTTGGCATGGATCGCATATTCCTTGACCAACAAGCTCGCCGAGAGCGCAAAGATGACCTGCCAACCCAATATCAGCGGACCTATCGCTCTCATCACGGTCGAATTCGACACTTACCGCCAAAACCAAATATAACACATAGCCGACAAACCAACCTCCCACTCCGGAGCTCACCCCTAACGCCGACCCCCAACTCACCCATCCCTTGCAGTGACTACTTTCATCGTAACCATAACAGCATGCGGCCTTGCTCAGGTAGAACCTGCCGCTATCGACGCCGGACGAACAAAACCCGTACTTGATGTCGCCCAGCCAGTCGGTGGCGACGTCAATGGCCGCGGCCAGCGCGCCCACGGCCAGGCCCGCCAGCACTAGCACCACCCAAACTTGGCTTGCGTCGAGCAACCGCTGGATGTGGCCAAGGGCGGGGATCGCGGAGGCCGAGGACGAGGCGTGCAGCGTGCGCTGCCGCTGCCGCTCCTTGGTGTATTCAAAGATCCAGTCGATCGCCGTCAGATCCTCGTAGCCCACCCGCCGCCCGGGGCCCTCAACATGCCAGTCAAGCGGGAACGGACCGTCGGGTTTGGGGAGCGGCTCAAGGATGGGGTCGAGGCGGGCGCTTTGGCCTTGGGGAGGCTGCTGTCGGTCGTCGTCGTGGCGGCTGGGGTGGGCATGCCGGGCAGAGGAAAAGGGGTTGAGAGCGCCTCTTGTCAGGGCGCTGATGAGCCTGGATGGCTGCGAGAGGAAGCTGGTCTGCTTTTGCTTGCGCTTGAAGGAAAGTGGAGAGGCGAGGTGGGTCTGTCCGTGTCTGAGGGGATCGTCGTCCAGGATAGGCGCCGTGTCGTCGTCATCGGGCTGCAGAGTGTGACACGGGTCGGGGCCGAGCAAGTCCAATTCATCAGCATCGTCTCGGCCGTAGGGACCACCATTCACCATGGAAACGTGGGGCGATGGGACTGAAGGCCCTGCGCTCGAAGATGCCGTGTTCATTGCTCGAGGCGGAGGCATTTTGAACGTGGAAGTGGTGCGCCGGCCATCCTCGTCGGGAATGTAAAGTATAGGACGTTAATTTGTGAACTGGAAGCGCTGGTGGAAGCTCGACACCCACTCTTTTTGAGCGTTGACCCCGGAAGTTGTTGGCGATTCGAGTCGGCGATGCTTGCCGAGGTGGTTGGTTGTTGTAGTAAGTTATCTTATCGCCAGGCGTACGGCTGGAAACTGAGGCGTATCAAGAAGTAGTTGATGGCTCGTGCTTGGGTACCGTGTAACATTACCAACGTAATTACGTACTTTACGCCTTACTGTATGTATTGTACCTATATTATTCGTACATCACAAGTCAACTCATTAGGCTCCACTATGTCATAGGGTGGGCAGCTGTTGAATATGCGGATTATGAGCCCAGGTCGATGTGAGGATGGAACTTCCTTCTGAGGTGCCAACATCTACAAAGATTCGACCTCACTGAAAATGAGCGAGAACGCGCCGCCGACTCGAGAGCAGCAAGCGCCCTCGATCCAGAAAATCCAGTCGCTGCTCAGCGCGAGAGACGACACATCTCGATTCGTTGGTCTTGCATTGCTCAAATCGGTTCTTGACAACGATCCCGAGTTGAGAAGCAACGAGAATGTCATTCTCACGCTTTGGGAGAGCATACCCTCAAAGTTTTTCGATCGGCTGATCAAGACCGGGTCAAAGCAACGGCCATCATCTACATCATCGTCGTCAACATCATCGTCATCACGGAAAGAGACTACCGATATGTTGGACCTCGCTGTATCCGTGATGCACACTTTTGCTGCTCTGCTTCCCGAACATGCAAGACACGATTCAAAATTGTTGAACTGTATCCCACAGCTCGTGGCTTGTCTCCTGCACTGGTAATACATGAGCCCTTCCTTAACCCGAGTACCCGACTCAGTCCCTGGTATGTATTAACCTTGAACCTTCTCGTAGCTCCAGCCAATCTACCCAGCTAGCACTCGAGACTCTGGTAGTTTTGGCAAGTCATCCAGATGGTGCCCGGATCTTTACAGCGATTGGGGATTTGACGCCAATGATCGAAATTGCGCCGTCACATCCTCTCGTCCTGGAAGCACTGTCGTATGCATGGCTCAATGACATGGCCACGACTGCAGACAAGGAAGCCTTGAGATCCAAAATTGACACAACAATCACGAGTCTTATTTCCTCCTTCAAGGGAACCGATGCCGTGACGCTGCTAGCATTCCTCGCAACCCTGTTGCCGAGATTGGAGCCAGCGGTAAGTTCCCAGCCAAGTCAAGCCTAAAAGTCGCAGTGCACTCATCATCATTCTCTATAGGTTCTGCCGCCCAACCCCAGCTGGCTGCCGGCATTGGGCGCTTTTGTTCGTAATCTCGTAGCCGCTCGTCCTACAGCTGCTGGACGTGCCGCCTTCACCAACTTATCCGCTGCTCTCCTCGAGGTCTACCCTTCCCAGGCACCCCAACTCCTTTTTGCTGGGGAGGGCAGCGAGTCTCAGAATCCCTTCTCATACCTCCTTCTGAACCTTGTCCTGGTCGATATTCGCTCCACTTTGCCTACGCTCCTAGAGCAACTCAACAGCCCCCAATATCCCGAGATTTCACAGCGTCTCGCTTCGGCCTTCAATGTTGTCTCCAATTTCATTGGCTATCTGGTCCGCTCTATGGATGCAGACGACCTTCAGAGCTTACCCTGGGCGATTTCACCAGACCTTCTTCTCAAACTCCGCAAAGCCATCGCGGAAACTATGTCCCTTACTATAGAGTACCTGCGGGATCGCTGGGACGCCTCCGTCGCTGGCGCCATGGGTTTACACCCCGAAGCACGCGTCGGCGCAGCTAACACTTCTTCCGGTTCGCATCTCACTCTGGCTTGGGATTCCAAGAAAGACAATGCTGCTGAAGACTCGCTCATTCTCGCGGCCATCCGCGCGCTGGCGATATGGCTCAGGGAAGACGACAACGATCTGCTAAGAAAGGAGGCGGCTGGGCTCTCAGATATGTTGATTGACCTCTATCAGAACGGGGGCCGAGGCAAGCTCGATTTTCGCCGTCCAATCCTGGTTGCTTTTGAGGGAGTCATTGTTGAGAAAAAAGGGATGGAAGCATTTCTTGCCAATGCCGGTTGGCAAACCCTTGCCGAGGACCTCGTATCCATTGTCCAAGCCAGCTCCACGGTTACCAACGAGGATGATGCTATGCGCGGTATCGAAATTGTGCGGTTGCTGCTACAGGTCGTTGAAACCGAACGTGCGGGACCTGAAGAAGCCTGGATGGACGTCGTCACAAAGGTGGCGGGCTGCTATATACCTGACGCCAAACAGCCACCTCCTGTCGAGGAGTGTCAGGTTGCGGCTCTGCAGCTTGTCACCACACTCCTGGCTAACGCTCAACCGGGAATGCAGAAGCGCTATGCCCATTCGACGAGTGCTATTTTGGGGATTGCAGAGCAACTAAAGGCGAAAATACATGGAGATGTGGCCCTAGAGGAGGCGCTGGCCGATGTGCTAGAGACGCTGGCAGCTTTGAGATGAAGCTCCAATCATCTGACCTCAGGGGTCCAAGAAATCGAGAGGTTCATTAAAATGGTTGCCGAACCGGTCTTAGGTTCGGTTTGCGGCCCTGCCCACTTCGTTGGAGTTAGCTTGGTGGTGAGCCGTCTCTCGTTTCTGAATCACGCTCGAGCGAGGATGGGTTCTTACCGAGGTGGAAAGGGATCGGACCTGAACCACGACGTTACCGGGCGACCACAGACAATTTTCCGTCTCGCCCTGGATTGCTAATACTAGAGTTTCACCAGCGGCCCACCTTTGAATAGGAAGCTTGAGGGAACCGCTATGACGCTGTTATCTGAACACCATATCAAGGTAAAACCGTCGGCGTATCCTTTCAAGTCGGATAGAGCCTACTGGTGCCTCTCATATAGTCTTGGGTATTTTGGGACACCCAAACGGTCCTTACGCCTGCCAAATAAGTCTACTCCCTTGGCGTATTTGTTCTGACCGGAAGCGCGATTCTTTCACCTATATCCTCCTCAGCAGACCACAAGAGTGGCTGCCTCACGGGAACCAGAGCCGACAGCATTCACAGATCCGGCCTCACTTCGGCATTCAGACCTCCGGGGATTCAAGTTCTCTTTGAACCCCTCCGGAATCCAAGTCACCATGTCTCCCGATGCAAACTGTAAGTAAGCCAAGGGTGCCTGGATAGGAAAACTATAAGGTGTGTGTTATGGCCAACTAACACAGCCCGCCGTTCAGGTGCTCCTCGAAGCTTGACAGAAGTATATGGTGGCGTACAGCGCCTACAGCGGCTTGTCGGCTCGGTGGCAACTTCGATTTTGAGACATGACTGCCTTGGTCCAGACCAGGCCACAATGGCCGACTTCCTCTCACATGCTCTCCTCGAGGAAGAGTCTGGTCATCCGACCCTCGAACTCTCGACCATCCAGACTGCCAATCTGCAGTTTTTCGTCATCCTTTTGCAGATTTACGGCAGAGTAAAGGCTGTTTCCGGCAAGCATGTTGGCGAGGTTTCGCTTGCCGAGAGCCTTGAGGAAGCGTGGACAAGACGTTTCCCCGGACAGTTGTATGGCCCGGGCCTTGTTCAGAGAGCTTAAGCGGTGAATTTTGGCTGGTAGCTGTTCACAAAGTCAAACGCGTGGCTGAGGTACGGAAGAACGACGGCGTGAAAAGGGGGTTAGGAAGAAGGGGAGACATGGCAACGGCAACATCGATAATATGCAATAGCATACTATTGCTTACTCCATTGTGATTCCTCAACAATGGCAGGTTCAACATAAACCGCCGGTCGAAGTTTGAGATGCTTGACGTGTATTCAACCGACAGGTTCAAGTTCAAGTTTAACCCTAACCCAGGAGCCCACGTTCAAATCTGAGCTTCACTGAATTGTCCGGAGGCATTGATGAATTGACTGATCTAATCCTGAAGATAACCTTATCCATCAACGGCAACAATCGCATCATACCAAAAGCACGGCCTTAAATTATGGCGAAGGGCAAACAAGAATCGGGAAAAGGCGGAAAGGCCCAGACGGACAACAGCAAAGCTGCCGGAAAGAAAGGCGGGAAGGGTGCCGGAGGAGGAGAAGGTGATGCAAAGTCAACTAGCAAGGTGAAAGGCGCCCAGAGCATCAATGTCCGGCATATCCTTGTAAGTTTTCAAATCACATTGCGCGACAGTTGCAGATGCTGTGCAATGGAAATGATGATCAGTTCCAAGACCGGCTCTGTTGACTCTCCAATTCAAATACAACCAGTGTGAGAAACACGCCGAGAGCGAAAAAGCGATGGAGAGGCTGCGCAATGGCGAGAAATTTGATGCCGTGGCAAGAGACATGTCCCAAGACAAGGCGAGGCAGGGTAAGGGATGCTCCTGCTCTCTTCTCTCAGCTCCTGCTTACACTCCCGTTTATGCTACGACAGGAGGTTCACTAGGCTGGAAGAGCAAGGGGAGTTTAGACCCAGAGTTTGAGAAGATTGCCTTTGAGCTCCCCCAGAGTACAGTCGATGCGCCCAAGTACGACAGGGTCAAGACACAGTTTGGCTATCATATCATCATGGTCGAGGGTCGCAAGTAGCACGCCGAGCGGTGGAACAGTCGGACGACAACCGGAAAGCCGGTTACGAGGTTTCTCTTGATTTTTGTTTGTCTTGCTTTTCCCGCGCCGTATGCTGAGATAGCCACAGTGGAAAGGGGCAACCGTATTCCCCGCTATGCCAGATGCCATCCGGTGACGATTCAGAGGGCATCCCGGGAAAATGTCATCGGATTGCTGACCCGACAAAAAGAACCTGCTTCTCAGAATTCCTCTATGATGCCCCTTTTCCCCTCCGACCGCCCTGAGAAACGCCGCAACCCTTTCTAGCAGAATGCCATCTTAAGCCTCGGACTGGAAGTAGTTAAGGAGGATGGAACGCTCCTGCGACTCCTCACCCCAATCCTTGACAACGACGCAAGAGCAGTTGACCACCTTGCGGGCGTTGCCCTCGCGGTCGAGGACGCCTGAGACACAACCAAGTCAGCCAAAAGAAAGCAGCGTGATGTCTTCTCTAAAGGGTCTACTCACAGAGACCAGCCCACTCGCCCAGTTGCTTGCCGTCAGGCACCTTGATGAGGGGGATCTTGTGCTCCGAGCACAGGGCGATGACGAGCTTCTTGTATGCCTCCTCCTCGCACGACTCGTTGAGCACGCACATGTGAGCCTGTCTCCGGTCGAGCGCCTTGGAAGCCTCGCGCAGGCCACGGGCCAGACCGTCGTGCATCAGAGAGAGCTTCAGGACGCCCTTGAGAGCATCCAGAACCGACATCTGACCCTTGGTGGCCTCGGCGGACACCTCAACCTCCTCCGCGACCTCGGGGGCATTGGTCTCTTCTACGTCCGACTAGATCTGGGGTTAGCGAGGCGTGTTCATGCTCGGGGGAATTTTTATCGTAGGTCGTGTGGTCCCGCCGCCTTGGTCAGATCGACAACCACCCAAACTCGCGCGGGGATTTGATAGATGGGGTTCCTCACCATCTTGGCGTTTTGATTGCGGATAAGCTGTCGGTGCGATCCTCGAAGAGAGATTACTGATTTTCTTGTTGTTCGTGTTAAGTATCGGGAGGAGGAGCTCGACTCGGCAACGAGAATTGAGAATTGACTATGTGCGAAGGCGGCCCGCCCCACCCAGATCTGCTTGGCTGGAATTTGCGTTTTTTGTGTGTGGTTGCAGCGGATTCCAGTTGACGCTAGTCCATACAGGGACTAGTGGAGCGCCTTAGGACCGTGCCGGCGTTAGGGCAAGAATTCCGTGCACAGACCACCACACGTCCCGCCAACATGGATAATTCTTTTCGTTGCAAGGCAACTTGGATATCTAACCTCGACCTTCTAAACAACCCAAACCGGCTCTCAGCGTTCGCATTAACGCAGACACAACCGAGGTAGGTGGACATTCGCACTCGTGAATGACGTGACGACAGGACGATGCCTTTTGCGAAGGCCGAGGAAAGCAATCATGTGCCTGCGAAAGCTGCGCCTTGATACGCTTGTCCTCATCGGCAACTGAGCGGGCAGAACCCTCTTGAATGCTGTCAACGAGGGCACTCTCCATGCTCATCGAGCCTCGGAAGGCTAACATGATCCGCTTCGGCATCCTGGCAGATACCTCATCTCTTTTGACGATTTGAGAATCTCCATTGCAACCGCTCCACAGCCGCCAACATGGTCCGCACCTCCGTCTTGCACGATGCTCTTAACAGCATCAACAACGCCGAGAAGGCCGGCAAGCGCCAGGTCATGATCCGCCCTTCCTCGAAGGTCATCGTCAAGTTCCTGCAGGTCATGCAGCGCCATGGTACGGCAACCCATTCTACCCTTTCTCTAGGTGGCCCGAGTCTTGGAAGGTCCTCGCACTCCCTCCTTCGGCATGATAACTAGGCGACGGTCTATGTCTGCCCTACGGCCCCAGCCCTTTAAGTTGCCGATAAATCAAACACCAATGCGAGGATCTTACACGTTTTCGGAGGCTCCCAATGACGTCCAATGTTTACTCCTATCGCAACACAAGCAAGGGCTGACTGTAGTTTTGGCAGGCTACATTGGCGAGTTTGAGGAGGTCGACAACCACCGCAGCGGCAAGATTGTTGTCCAGCTCAACGGCCGGTACGTACATGGAGGTTTGCAGTCATGTGTATGCTGTCGCGCTGACGAGTGTCGTTCAGGCTGAACAAGTGCGGTGTTATCTCCCCCCGCTACAACGTCCGCCTCTCCGAGCTCGAGAAGTGGGTTGTCAAGCTCCTCCCTGCCCGTCAGTTCGGCTACGTCATCCTCACCACCTCGGCTGGTATTATGGATCAGGAGGAGGCCAGGCGCAAGCACGTCTCTGGCAAGATCATCGGCTTCTTTTACTAGAGACTGAACAATTGAGACACAAAGGATCCAAAAAGGCATGTCATGCATGGGGCGTTGAACTGCGTTTGAGATACCACTTAGTGAATACGGAGTATACCATGGATTTCCCGTTGAGTACCCGACAAAATGCCAGACAAACCTTTTGAGAGGCGCGAACCAGCTGTGGACTGCCGAAAAGCCTTCAATCAATTTCAGCCATCACTGAAAGCCGATAGTTTGGAGGAAATTGCTTGGTTAAGCAACGGTTGGCAGAACCTTGGCCTGGCACGGGTCATTGTTGTGTGTAGATTCGAGGAAAAGGTAATCCATGAGTCCCTTGGGAGCCGGGACACTCTCAAAATAATAGACAGGTAACGTTATGCACCATCGCTTTCAGAGCTAGTCGGGATACCAGGAGTTCAACGGTCAAAATTCGCACCCAGCACAACCATGATGTGTAAGTAAGGTATTAACCATTGTGAGTGCAGTTCTGGCTTTTTCATTCAATCCAGCTCAAACTGCCACCTGCCACACCCAACCTCTACGGAGTAGACTGCCGTCTAATTGGACTTGAAGCTAATGCCAATGCGTTGGCAGTTGGCAATGGTTTATTGTATGCCAAATAGGCAGTTGTGTGAGCCAGAATGAACTTGGCCAGGAACTGCACTCGCTGTGTGTGGCCAGTGGTCACGGAGTTCAATGGTTCATGTTGAGTCTGACTGCTTGGCAAGTTGCAACTGCCCCAGTTGAGCGGGCCGCGCCTCAAACACCCCGGTCGAGTACCCGATTTTATTCGAGCTGAAAGCGTGTGAATGGACGGCTCTGCGTAAAGGAGGCAGGTACGTAATTACAGTGCTTGCGCCAGCATCCACCATGGATTTTCGATCTCACTCCCAGTTCCAGCATCAAGCTTTCTCTCCCACTCGATCATCGCCCAAATGAAACTGCAAGCCCGTGGGCAGAAGGAAGAGAACCGCCGCCTGCCGGATCAACGGTTACGTTAGAGACACGCAGGTATCAAAACGAGACGACCATCGGCTTGGTGGGGTTCGCCCCCGAATACAGTGCATGGGCGGAACCTGATCGATTGTACACGACGGCAACGCTATCGATTATAGGATGAGGAACCGCCAACTCGGCGTCCTCGGCGCCCTCGTCTTCTTTCTCTTCTGCATTTACACGCTCTCCAAGCAGTTGCCCGACAGCTATAAACGTCCTCTTCAGCAGCCACAGCCTCCGGTACAGGCACCTCCCAATAAGCCTGGGGATAGCGCCGGCGACACTTCCTCCAACGCCCATACCAAAAATGACCCAAAGCCGAAGCCGGCCCCCGGCGGATCCCATCCGATATGGCACCTCGTCAAAGATGCCGAACAGGACCTTGAAAAGGTGAAGGCGCGCCAGTCGCGCACGCTACAGGAAGCTGTGGCCGAGTATCGCCGTCGCTACGGCCTGCCCCCGCCTCCGCACTTCGACAAGTGGTGGGAATTTGCAAAGAGCAAGGATGTGCAGCTTATAGACGAGTTTGACACGGTGATGGAGCTGATCACACCCTTCTGGGGCCTGAAGCCGTCGACCATCCGGGCGAGGGCGCGGGAGGCGATCGGTTTCGACAACGCGCTCATGGGTCTGCAGATCCGCGGGGGCAACGTAACGCTCTTTCAGGGAGGGGACGATTGGATCCAGGAGAGCATACGTGGGATGATGCAAGAATTTGTCCAGCTGCTTCCCGACATGGACCTGGCCTTCAACAGGAACGACGAGCCGCGCGTCGTGGTTCCACACGACGACATGGTACGATTAGTTGAGCGCGCGCGAACAGTCAGCATGCCGGCCGCGAACGCCAAAAAACTCTTACGCAACGGCTTCACCGAGAAGCCTGAGGGTCTGAACTACGACGGGCGCTTCGACGAATTCAAGCTGACGCGCTTCAATGTGATGGCACACCAACCAGTCTGGACGCACTCTCGCATGTCGTGCCCACCCGAGTCACCTACCCGCATTCTCGAAGAAGCTGACCGCTACGACGCTATCGACAAGTACGCTCTCGGGGACCTCGGCTTCGTCTACAACGTCACCGCCATGTCCGACATCTGTCTCTCTCCTTCCCTCGGCAATACGTACGGCTTCTTCGAGCGACCTAACGCCTACGGCGTGGTACATGACCTCTTTCCCATCTTCTCCCAATCCAAAATCTCGTCCTACTCGGACATCCTCTATCCGTCCCCCTGGTACTGGGCCGACAAAGTTCCGTACAAAGAAGCTAAGGACCCGGCATGGGACAAGAAACTCGACCAGCTCTACTGGCGAGGGTCGACGACGGGTGGTTTCTCGCGCAACGGCGGGTGGCGGCGGCAGCACCGTCAGCGGTTCGTGCAAAAGATCAACGCCGGCGATCAGGCCCGCGTCCTCGTCAGCGCAGATAAGCAAGGTGAAAAGTGGACTGTGAAGGAAGTCCCGCGGGGCGACTACAAGCAACTGATCGACGTATCCTTTTCGCACATTGGCCAGTGCGACCAGGGCGACTGCGACGCGCAGAAGGAGTTCTTCACGGTCCAAAAGTACGCCAAGCAGGAGGCGGCATTCAAGTACAAGCACGTGCTCGACATGGACGGCAACGCCTTCTCAGGCCGCTTCTATGCCCTCCTCAAAAGCAGGAGTCTCGTGTACAAGTGGGCCATCTTTCGCGAGTGGCACGCCGAATGGCTCCGCCCCTGGGCGCACTATATTCCGCTGAGTCTGCAGGGCGAGGAGTGGCTGGAGGCGGTCCGCTTCTTCAATCAGGAGGATCTGGGCAAGAAAGAGGCGGAACGCGTGGCCATCCAGGGACGGGAGTGGGCCGCGAAGGTGTTGAGGAACGAGGATTTGGAGGTGTGGTTTTTTCGGCTGTTGTTGGAGTAAGTTGCTTTCCATGTCTTTCCCTCTTTTTAGTTCCCATTCGGGTGGGTTGCTGACTAGGCAAAACAGATATGGTCGTGTGATTGACGACGACAGGGAAAACATTGGGTTCCTCAATTGAGGGATGGATGTTCGGAAGGAAAGGGATGAAGGTAAGCATGCTTGAGTATATAACTTATGCCATGGTAATATGGCCAGAACGTGCGAGGCCCTGCATGCTGGGGTTGGAGAGCACGGAATATAGGACTGACCTGGAAAGGAAGCATGGGGAATGGCGTTGTTGGTCGGTTGTTCCTGGGGTACTATATACTTTAATCGTCACAGCATAGATAGACGGTGGTCGGAACGAGCCCCTGGTGTTAGCTCTGTCTCAGCTATTCCGCGGTAGAAAATACGCTTGTACACTACGTCGGTTGCGATAGGTATCTGGCAACGTGCCAGGAAGGTTTTATTGTCCATTACCTTTCCGCAGATTACTCCAGCGCCTCACCAACTCCTCGCTAGCCAATATCCGACCTGATTCCATGATATCTGCCAGCCCCCCTTTATTCATCCTCGTCTCCCTCGGCATCCTGGTCATCTTCAGATTGCGTTCGCCCCTCCTGAACTGCTCGCCCCCCGTTCGGTGCCGGACTAGCAGAGGCCCGGTCGCTTGGCGGCCGCCGATCACCACCCGCCCGCTGCTCTTCCTCATCCTCTTCTTCCTGCTCCTCATCCTCATCTGGCAGGTCCCCGACCGGTTGCTGTTTATACCGCTGCAGCTCAGCCTTGAGCTCCTCGCTGGGGTCGTCAATCTGTACGTGAAGCTCATCTAGGTGGCTTTCCTCCTCATCCGCGATGCCAATGGTGCGCGCAATGTTTTTGGTGCGCTGGTTGCGGATCGTGGTACGCTGCATGACTGGATAGTAATAAACAGCCTTTTGCGCGCTGTCGTCGTGGCGGCCCTTGGTCTCGGTCTCGTCGTCGCGGAAGGCGAGGATGACTTCCTCGTCGTACTTGTTGTCGTGGTCCATCTCCTTTTCCTGCGCCGTTTCGTATGCGCGTACCCGCGGGAACCGAAAGCTACCGCCACTCTCGCTGCTCGTGTACAGCGACCCGCTGTCACGGTCAGGATTGTCCACGTCAAATCTGGCTCGGAAGTTCTCTCCAGTCCGGGTGTCGGCAGGGAGGAAGAGGTCATAATTCATCATTTGTGAGGGCTTGGGCAAGCTCGGGTCGCGCTCCCACGCCGCCTTTGCTGCCTCGTACAGTTGCTCCTCGGCTGCGGTGCGCTCGATTGGCTTGAAGATGCCCGAGAGCAGCCGCGTGTCGTAGGTGTCGCTCGAGTTGACTGGATTCGTGCTGAACTTGACTGTTACATAGGCGCCAGAGTCGGGGAACGCTTCTAGGTCTGGAAGGACTGGAAAAGCATCAACGATCTTGACGTTTCGCTTTGAAGGGTGCCTGACCCGACTGCGATCTGCAAGATTAGCGGCGGCCACCTCGAAGCTTTTCTCGATGCGCCGTTTTATCCAAGCAGGCGTGCCTTTGTCTGGTTCCGGAGACATCTTTCGCTTTTCTGGACGTTTCAGAGCGTTGCCTGACGATGGCTTCAGGAACATGGCATCGGCCGGTTTAGGCCTCGCCTGTACCTGCACCGAGGAAATGTACTCGGTTCGTCGCAGGAACGACACGGCGGTGTCGCCGCTCTTGGGCTTTCCAAGTGTTGAAAGGGGCCGGAGGAGGAGGCGGTCGTGGGGGTGGATGGGCGGCGCTTGGGCAGGAGCTTGTATAGCTGCGTAGCGTGTCAGCGATTCCCAGGGAGAGTGACACAGGGGAGTGCAAAGCTTGTACTCACAGCTTTCGTCACCATCAAAGACGCCCGGCATGCCCACGAGGTCTAGGGGCATCCCAAGCTCTGCATCAGCTTCGATGTTGAGAGGTTGCTCTCGCGCAAGACGAGACGCGAAGCCGGGCGTCGTGTACTGGCCGCTTGCTAGCCCTGTATTCGGGATGTCGAGCAGCTTGGGCGGGTTGGGAGGCGGAGGAAGCGCATTGGAATATCTTATCCTCGCAATGTAATCCTGATGGATCATCCGCTCACCGCCGCTTCTTGACTGCGATGAAGCCATTTTTCTCCTTCTTTCCTTTGCAAGTGGTGCTGTCCTTGAAAAGCTCCGGCAAAAAAGAATGCGAACGCGAATGTTGAATTGAAAGTTGCAATGAGCGCAGTCGCGAAGCAAAATGCCAAGGCGCCAAGCACCCGCTGCAGATCTCAGCCTTGCTGCCGCTGTCGTTAGCAAAATTCCTTGATACTGTACTCACAATGTTAAGATCAAGGAGAAAAGAAACCTGTTAATTGGTGATGTTGCTTGTAAGCTAAGGGTGGGAAAAAGAAGCAAAAAGAGAGCAAACTTAGGATCAGTTAGTACTTTCGTACAGCATTCAATCCTGGTGAACTTCGTTTATTATTCGCCAGACCCACAAAGAGCGGCTCCCACTCATACCTTGACGGCTCAGGAAATTTGAGCCGGAGCTGGTAGGTAAGTTTTTGAGAGGCTCAACTCTGCTGCACGGCTCTTGCTTATCGCACAGGCAGAGCGCTCCGGAGAGTCTAATAAGTCCAATTCTCGCTGCCTATTAGGTACGGTAACCCTTAACCAAAACAAATGTCCTGCCAGCCATCGCCCTTACCCTTCCCTGAAGGTACCGCAACTCCTCTGGTAAGCATTCCCTTTCTTTCCCGAGGCATGAATCACGCCGAGCCTGCCCCAAAGACCACGCGCTGCGGCTGCAAGTGAATTAGAAACAAAATCAGTACGTAGCGTTTTACGGGACCGTCATGAGCTCCGAGCATGCGTCATAATACATAGATAGAGAAGCCGCCTTCTATCGCCATGCCGTCCCCATGCGTTTCCGACGACCGGTCAGCCGGTCAAAATAGCCAGCCATTGCCGAGAAGAACTCCATGCCAAATGGCCAAGAAGAAGTAGGCTCACGAGCTGTTCTTGGTGTAGCGCGCTTTGCCAATGGTGAAAGGCACATAGCGATACTTGATCATGTGCTGGATTTGCTTTCTCACTGTGAGAGAACATTAGCATTGACGGCCTGAAGGAAGCACATGGAAAGAGTGGGTAACCTACTTGTGAGGATGAACAGCATGAGCCAGTACATAACCAGCACAGGCCAAAAGACGGGCACATTGAATATCTCAAACCAGCTGCATACAAACGAGATAGCGACGGCGCGAGTTGCTGAGTGCCAGAACTTGAACTCGGGCAGCCGGCGGATGAACGGCCGGAACTCCTCGTCCTGCTTGGTGGGGAGTGTGCCGACCGCGCCGTCCTCCATGTCATTGTCGAGCGCCTCGTTGGACGGGTCGAACTTGGGCTGGAGGAAGGCGAGGAAGAGATTGAGCAGATAGATACCTAGGGCGTACGCGACTGTGCGGACAAAGTCAGGATACTGGTGTTAACGCGTGGCCTGGGGCGCAATGGACTAACCGATGTACCAGCCTTGTGCCATGAAGACACGCAGGAAGAAGATCATCAAACCGACACCGGTGCCTATCCACCGGTAGAGGACGTAGGGCGTTGATCGGTCGAGAAGTGCTTGGTATTGCTGCCAGAACTTTGTTAGCCCACAGCTCGCGCGCACCGAACTCTGCTCTCTGTCGCAACCCACCCTTTGCAGCTTGCTCGTGTGGGCGCTGACGACGCCAAAGGGCGTCGTCGGCTCGTCTGGCACATCCATGGCGGTGGAACGGGATAGATCTATGTATCGATCAAGCGTGCTGTCAAGCGTTGGCCGGGGAGAACGACAGGGTGTGGATGATCACCGTTCTCGCGGGTGTTCTTGCTCCTTGGTCGTCAAGGGTTTGACAAGATCTAGATTAGTTGTCAGCCACGGGTTGAGTAAGGGGGAAATTTTGGACGTGGCCAAGACTGCAACCCCTGGAGCCTTGGTTGCCTGTGGGGCCCATCGTGGGGCAAGCAGCTCTGAAATTGCACGTTTTGTTAGCAGAAGTACTTAGAACAGCACTAAAGATTTGCTGGACTCCAGGTATTTTCGCTATGTAGTACATTGGGCTTGGCAATGGATGCTGTGACGTTGTTGGTCTGGAATTTGAATGCAGAGCTGGGCTGAGGATGTCTTACACGCGCATGTATGTATCCGTATGGACGTACAGCATCATCATCCAATGCTTCTGATGCACGGGATTTGCAAATGATGGTCTGTAAGGTAGGTAGAATGTTGAAAACCTTTGCCGGTCTACAGATGCCATACCCTTGCATTATGACCTAACCTTCACCATTGACCGATCGATGCCTTCTGTGCAGCAATTCGGAATGCATTCTGAACTTGGAAACAGGAACCAGCGGCCTCACTTAGACCGAGGATAACCTGAGCTGGATGGTGGAGCTGCCCCGGCGAACCTTCCATTCACTATCATCCCCAAGAACCACAAAGACAAACAATCTTCCATAAGATTAGCATCACAAGGCACTGTCACCGTCTCAATCTGATACTACCAGGATCTCCATCGCAGACTTACAATCACAATGCACGCAACAGCAGCAGCTCGCCTCAGCGCTGTTCGCAGCCTGCGGCCCTTGGCTTGCCGCTTCCAGCCGAGCTCCCTACCGCAAGTTGCTGTTCGAAGATTCTCAGCATCAGCCGGCCGTAGCTACGAGTATATCGAAGTATCAGAACCTCGGCCGGGTGTTGGTCAGGGTAATTGAATCAAATTCTCCAATCTCAATTCGGCGTTGAAAGAGTGTAATAATACTAACCCTGGTCGTCATTGACTTTAGTAACCCTCAACCGGCCGAAGACGCTCAACGCGCTCTGCTCGCCGCTCATCGCCGAGCTCAACACGGCGCTGCGCGCGTTCCAGTCTTCGCCTACGGTCGCCGCCGTCGTCCTCACGGGCTCCGAAAGGGCTTTTGCCGCCGGGGCCGACATCAAGGAGATGGCGCCGCTGACCTTCAGCGAGGCCTACAGCACGGCATTCATCGAGAGCTGGTCGGACCTGACGACGGCGCTCAAGAAGCCGCTCATTGCCGCCGTGTCGGGCCACGCGCTCGGCGGCGGGTGCGAGCTCGCGCTCATGGCCGACATCATCTACTGCACCACCAGCGCCAACTTTGGGCAGCCCGAGATCAAGCTGGGCACGATCCCCGGCGCCGGCGGCAGCCAGCGTCTGACACGGGCGGTAGGTAAGAGCAAGGCGATGGAGCTGATCCTGACAGGCCGGACCTTTAGCGGTGAGGAGGCGGAGCGGTGGGGGGTCGCGGCGCGCGTGTTCCCGAGTCACGAGGCGCTGATGGAGGGCGCGCTCAAGACGGCCGAGACCATCGCCGGCTACTCCAAGATCGCTGTGCAGGCCGCCAAGGAAGTGGTTAACAAGAGCCAAGATTTGGCGTTGCGGGACGGCGTCGAGTACGAGCGCCGCGTGTTCCACAGCCTGTTCGGCAGCCAGGACCAAAAAATCGGCATGAAGGCATTCGCAGAGAGAAAAAAGCCCGAGTGGAGCCATCAGTGATTTTGTATCACTACACTACGGTAGTAGGCCCTCGAAATTCATTATGCTTTACGGTCTCCTGCTCCGTCAGCCGAATATCCAAAATATCACTTCGGTATCTTATCCCCCCATGATGACCCTGACATATGGCGCCGGAAACAGCCCCTGACTTCCCATATAAAACCCATAGAACCACTCCTCATTGACATCCTCCGCCTCTGAAATCTCAGCGCCCTTGGGGAACATGAGCTCGTCCTCGACTCCAGCAGCCGGAATCCACCCCCACGCCGCCGTTACCCTCATTCCCGTCCCCCCATCAGGTGGAAATCCATCCGTATATTGCTCTGCACTCTGAGCCAAGGTAGCGGCGGAAACCGCCACATCCACAGCAACCAACCTCTCCACCTCCCTACCGCCCTCCAGCCAAGAACAAGCCTGTACTCCCCTTGGTAACCCCTCACGCGTTTCAAACTTCAGCCTCTGCCCACCAACCTGTTCCCTGATAACCTTCCTCCTTAGTTTGTCGCTGCCGCTGTCGGGCGCATATCCCACCACAACCATCCGATGGCCCTGCGGACACCTGCGCCAGCCGTCGGGCCCATTCTCGGGGGCTATGGCCCCATTCGAGACCAGCACACTGTAGCAGCCAAAGCAGAGGTTGTACTCCCCTGGCTGCGCGTCAGCAACTAACCTGGACGGACAGGCGTAGCAATGATAGTGAGCATCATGCCGCGGAATGAGGAAACGGCATATCTCGCAACACGGACTGAAAGTGAGGGGGTGGAAGCTCCCCACCGGGGACATCTTGGACGAAGACGTCGTCGTCTGTGACGGTGAGCGGCGGGCAGAGGAAGAACTTGGGCTTGACACGGGCGGGTCGGTTAGCGGAGGATGATCGTCCGGGAAAAGGGATCGCTGAGGGGGGGGGCGGTAGGCCAGGGCGAGCAACGGGTGGCTGCAGCACGTGCCTCGGTTTACACAGCCGTTGCAGAATCCCCATTCGCCGTCGTTGCAGACGTCGCAGCGCCAGTAGCAGTCGTTTGTCCAGGCTGAGCAGCGGGAGCAGAAGGTGCCGCTCTGGAGGCGGTCGAGGGGGTTCTCGGTCGTAAGCATTCGTAAACCATCGCCACCCTCCAGAGCTGTCTTTGGGGGAAGGTAGCGGTTTGCTGTGAGCATGTGTGGAGGGGGCGTTGGCTGGCCGCCGAGGTTCTGCTTTTCCCATTTGTCCCAAGCCGTTTGACCAAATCCGAACCAGTGCAAGCAGCCTTTGCGCCGCCGCCAGCAGTCAAGGCAAATGTTCCACTCGCCATTGTGGCAGATGGAGCAGTTGAAGTGCAGTTCGTATTCGATGCGCTCTTTGGAGCAGGTGGCACAGTTGACCATGGGTTCCAAGAATCGCGGTAATCGGGTTCGTCGAGGTGACGATAGGGACGGCAAAGCAGGTTTTGGGCTTCCCGGGCCTAAAGAAGAAGCGAGATCCGGTGAAGCCTGGCCGCGGCCAAGTTCCGTGAACCCGTCCTGCCTCCTTCTACCGCCGATCGGATCCGAATGAAGCTCTGCTGGTCTCTGAAAATGCGCGGAGCCTAAAGCCGACGCGGCCCGATTACTAAAGGGAAGGCCCCTGAAATTGGGGGGATCTTGGCGGTTTCCAGAAGCGGTGAAGATCGTGGGTGAGGATGAACTCCGAGCCTCGGCATCAATGCTAGGTCTCCCGATCTGTGAGTCCGCGGTTGCTGTCCTTGGAGAAACGACAGTGTGCGAGCGGGTTCCGAGTCTGACCTCAGGCTGGGTGGGACCAACGGGTACCGTGGCGCTGCGGCTGGCACTTGAGGTTCTCCGTCTCCGTGAAGGCTCTTGGACCTCAAGAAGGGCTGAACTGGAAGGGGGATACCGCCCGCGCTCTTCATTGCTGCTCGAGCTTGGCGCTCTCGAATGCACCGTTTGTCTGCTTGTCGGCCTTGACGCCTCTCCAGTCCGTGATCTAGGCCTGGCCGACACTTCCGACCGACGGGAATGCGCACTGGCATTGCTTCTTCGTCCGCCATCTTGCCTCAGTCTCTCGCGGTGCCGTCTCCTATAAGCCTCTGTAATCTTCCGACTGAGCTCGTCGTTGTTCTCCAGATCGAGATTATCCAGATCCAACCCGTCCAATAGTCCTTCCTCCTGAATTTGCCTCGCAAATTCTTCGATTTCTCGCTCGATATCCCTGGTATCCGTGCTGCCAGAACTGCTGATCAAGTTTCTTAGTGAAGACTGGTGCTCGACATGCCGCGACGTCCCCTCCGGAGCAGACTGCTGTCCAGTAGAGCCCCGCTGTCTCGATTCGCTTCTCCTTCTGCTCTCGCCATCAACCGTCAGAGCGTCCGCGCCCCGCACTGGGATGCTCTGCGTCCTTGGTCTACTACTCTCCCTCTCCCTGGTCCCGGGGCCCCTAACCTGACTCCCCTCCCTACTCCTCCGCCTCCTCCCACCACCACCACTACCACCATTCGCCCGCGCCACCGCCGCCTCGGTGGCCTCTCGCAAGCTCATGCGCTGCACCTCCTCCAGCAGCCTCCTCTCCTGCTCATCCAACCTCCTCTGCTCCTCGGTCCGGTCCATGAACTTGAGCCTGGGCATGACGGACTCGCCCTTTGTGTACCGCGAATCCATCTCTGCCTTTTCCGCCTCACTCTTCCCCTTGTTCGGGTTCAGGGCCAGGAACATGTCCAGTAGGGTGGCGACGCGGGGGTCGTGCTTGGTGTCGCGCACCCTGTCCCTGCAGCTGGGGCACGTGAAGATGGCGGCGTCGGGCGGGGGCGGGGGCCCCGGGGCCGACTCGGCGCGTGCCGCCTGGAAGCGGAACCATTCCTTCAGACAGGCGCCGCAGAAGGTGTGCAGGCAGTCGAGCAGGGTGAGCGGGTGGTAGAGGATGTCGGTGCATATCTGGAATTTGCCGTGAGTAGATGAAGATTAGGGACCAAAAGTTGGTAGTAGAAGTAGAAAGACGGCCATGTCGATTTCTAGTATGATGGGCAATGGGCTAAGAGATTGTTGTATTAAGAGGGGAGGGGGAGGTAAGGTAAACCTACTGAGCAAGTCAACTCCGTCTCGAGGTTGATGGCCGGTGCCGGGCCCGCTCCCGGCCGGGAGGATTCCGTCATGTCGTCCGAACCGGACAACCTCGAGTCACAAATGAGAGCCGCGCGGGGTAAGAGTGCACTGGTGCAGTGTAGATAAGCTAGGTACTGTATACAAGCGACTGGAACGAAGGACGGGGGTAGCGCTGCATGGGGGGTGGAGCACGAAGCTCTCGCGTACCTGATGCAGTGCACCCGACAGTTGTTGAAAGATGAAGAAAAAAACGCTAAATGACGCAAAGCGGACTCAGTTCAGCTTACACCACGCCTATTCTTAATATACACATGGACGCAATACGAGACGCATGCACATTGGTACGTTGGTAGGGCACCGAGAGGACGGGACCGGGTATTGATGGGCTCGGCAGGGCTGCAGTGCAGAGGGGCGGTGATGATTGCATGTGGGGATGATCTCAAGAGGCCGGACCGACTTAAGGTTAGCAGCATCGAGCCCGGAAGCTGGCCGCATCTCAGAGTTCGCTATATCGATAAATAAGGCTATATGTATTCGTGTATCCTATTGCTATGTATGATTCCTGGCGATCGACAATTAACTTCGGCTGCTGTGCCTTTGTAAAATAGCATGTCCCCCATGTTAGTTACCCCTTGACCTATCGAAAGACTCCTCTTGCCTTATGCAAAATTCCCAAAACTCTGCTCAATTCTGATTGTATGCCAAAAGCCCTGAACAACTCCTTACGCGCCATAGAATGAATCGACAGTGACCAGAAAGAAATCTGATGAAAAATACATATCGAAGAAAAACTATCACATGTCCTCCCTGACCTTGGGAGCATCGCCATCCCATTCCCGGCACATGCCGTACCATGCCCGCTCAACACATCTCGACGATTTGGGCGGCTCTTTCGTTGGGGCTGGACGCGGCGGTGGAGTAGAGGTGGAAAGGCTCGGGGGTGGCGTGATAGTCTGGTGTTGCTGCGTCGTACTGACCATGGATGAGGTCGTGGTCTCGTCGTAGCATCCCCAGAACCGGCCTGGTGTCAAGCACGTTGTGCTGGTCGGCTTTGATGTTGGCGTTGATGTCGGTGTTGTCGACGTCACAGTCGTAGTACTTGTAGTTTTGTCCTTGCAACCGAACCAACCGCTTCGACACCGTTAGCATGGTCCAAAAAGCGTACACTGACAAGCCTCTGTCTGCTTACGGAGTATGGCATGTTGTGGTGGACGATGTGGTTGTTGCGATGCCCGTCGACGTTTGGGTGCCTGTAGTGGTCGTGGTTTCGTCCAAGCAACCCCACCAACCCCTGCCACCGTTGTTAGCAACCATTCGATCAAACCCGGGGATAGATGGGGATGACCTACGGTGTCTTGCACGTCTCAGTTCGGGTGCGGCTTTTGGCGGTTGACGTCGAAGAGCTAGCCGTCGTGGTCGTCTCTGTGCCATTACTTTCGTACATCTTCCAGTTGCCACAGTCCCTGCATTCAGGAGTGAACTTGCATTCCGCCACAGTGTCATACTTTTTGATAACGTCTTCGATGACAGCCCGGATCTTGTGGGTTCCGATCCCCACGCGCCATCCTAGGTCGCCCACCGTATCGTAAACGCACTCTCTGCTGCTGTGGCAGGCCGTCTCCAGGGCATATCCACCGAAGGAGCAAGCTGCCGTCGCCCCGTTGCAGGTCCCAATAAAGATGGGGTCGGCAGTGTGCCCAAAGTGATAGACGCCAGTAAATTCCCTGGTCTGAGGCGCATCCGGGTCTGTCCCTGGCGGTACAGGTAGGCCCAATCTAGAGGCTGGCAACGCTTCTGGGACAGCTTGGAATGTCACGACTGGCACACCGTATGTCAGGCCGATAAACGAACTGACAGCCCCACCGAGTGAGTGTCCCGTAACCCAAACATTCGAATTGGGGTAGAGCTCGGTGACATTCGCAAACAACTCCCTAGCAGCCTGATAATATCGATTTTCGTCGCGCAACGCTTGGGTAACGCACGTGTTGTTGCAGGTGTACGTGCCTGTCGCGCAGTCGCAGACCTGGTGCCATGTCCATGGGCCCTGTTGGGCGCAACAGCAGCTGAAGAACAGGTTGTCGTTCACCTTGTCGTTGGTAGTGGTGCCATCCCCGTCAAAGACAGCTACCGAGGTCCCCTTCAGGCCGATGACAATGGTCGAGTTCGTCTCGTCGGCAAACACATGGCCACGCAGCCCATCACCCTCCCAGCCAAAGTCGGCACTCCGGTTGTAGGGCGCTCCAACATCCTGCCAGTCCGCATCGCCTTCTTTGGCCACATATGCATTGGCCGCCATCAGCGCCAAGGTCACGAGCGTCTCCTTGTCGGTGATGTTGGGGCCTGGAACATCGTCAAGGGTCCATGCAGACGGGGAAAGGACCGAGGCGAATCCACGCTGTCGCGCCTGGGCTACCATTGGGTCTACCACGCTCGGCCTCCGATCGACCAGCCGTTGTATTCTGTGGGAGCTGCTGCGGGCTCGCAGAGAGCCGATACGTTGCGCCTCAAAGCCATCCTCAGCGGCTAACCATAGCTGCGCGTCTGGATCAACGACATCTTGTTTCCGGTGGAGTTGCGGATGTTTGTAAGTGCCGTGGTGGTAGATATGCCGAAGTGTCTGGAGGATGACGCGCCAGGAGTCAGCAACCTCACCTCCCTCTCTGGGACTGCAGCCAAGACTACTCACGAAGGTGTGTTCGGCGGGTGCCAGGAGCCCTGGTATGAGAGGCGGTACCGGCGACGCCTCTATGGGAAGGACAAACTGCGCATTCTGAATGGCATTTCCCGCTGCTGAGATAGGGGAGGCGGAGAGGGCGAGGAAGGACAACAGCAGCTGGGCCGTGATTCGGCTTGTGGAAGTGCACCTCACACTCGCCTCCTCCCGCCTCGATAACATGCCAGGCCGGATCCTCCTGATGCCTCGATGGATGATGGAATAGTCGAAAGAGGGCGATATTCTCTATGCGATATGGTGTCAAGTCAAGCAAAGGGAAGGTGCCACTCCTCACTTGGAAGAAGAATCGAAGAAGGTCGGGGTCCTCGACTGCCGTGTCAGCGTTCAGATGACGAATGACGAATGACGATGGGTGGCCCAACTGTTGACCGCCGCTGATCGGAAGGCCGTCCACCGCCAATCAGCACTGTCTTATCGGGGGCGTGCTTTAGTGATAACGATGGTGCGGGGATTTTGTACTTCTATAGCATTGAAGAGCGTAGTGATACATTGTTGCCTATTTGGCACTAACGTTACCAGCCTGGGTCCGCTAATTACTGCTGTGGCCGGTTTGGCCTGCCACATGGCACACTTCTATCATGCTTCAACTGGATGGACCTCGTCGAGTTCTATGGTGCCTGAAGAGAGGACGCGAAGAGTCCGGCAAGCTGCGTGGATGAGAAAGGGAATACTCCGTACTATGGGCAATCTGCAAATCTTGGTCCATCACTCCCGTGCGGGAGGAACGCATACAGCCCCGGCCTTCAGCCAAACCTTTATCGTACCTTCCAAGTTCCAGGTTCATGTGGATGGAACCTTCCCAGCAACACCAACAATGCTACCTATAAACCCCAACCCGCCCCCCCCCCCCCCCCCCCCCCTCCCTCCCTCTTCTCCCTCGACCTTTCAGCGCTTTTCTTTTAATCTTGACGCTCAATCAATTCAAATGCTCTGAACTGGCAAACGACGCCATGAACTCGCTCCCAGGACCTCTCCGCCTAGACGGGACCTTGTAACCTGTGATTGAGCTGACCATGCACCTGACTCATTGAGCCCGGCATGAGTGACGGGATCCTTTGTTTCGTACCTATGTAGGGCCTTGGGAGGCCTACTGTACGGTACATACAATACAGTAATCAACCTCGTCAACCTACAGCCCAGTCAGTAGACAAGTCTTCGTTGGGGCTGAAGCGCCGCCTGCAGACTTGGTCGCGTCTATTAACAGTGCAACGGTGCAGAAACCCTGGCCGAGGGGCTGGGCTTGCAGGCTGCACAAGGGCGGGTAGCCTTGTATGTACAGTACTTACGGTGACGTGCTTTGCAACTTGAGTTCTCTAGCAGGTGAGATAATTCATTGCAAACCAACTTGACTCAACAAAGGACCAACAGCTCTCATTTGAGTTCTTTCAAGCCGTTTGCTTTTCGAACTTCTTCTTTTGACTGATAGACCGCCAGGAGACAGAGTAGGATGACTTGAGGGCTACGGCCTGTTAGTCGGTACCTAATGTTCCGACCCCATGCAATCTGAACTTTCAACTTCCGCCTCGAATCTCGATCCCGGTCGCGTCTGGTCCCACCCTTGGGAAAGCTCCAGCTGCAAATCAACCTCGCGCCACGATAGAGAGCAATCACACTAGACACTCAGGCTTAACACTTTCTCTCTGACGCTGACATCTCTGCGAAGCGGCTTCTGCTTGGTTATTGTGTTTCTTTTTCACGGTAGTAACTTTGACGGTGTACCAACAGCGGCCTTGGTCTCGAACCCGGCCTGGGCTACTACCACCACCGCCTGCCCGGTCCGCGGTTTCATGATCGCCTTTAATTTAGACCGGCGCTTCATGCATTGGTGTCTAGTGTAGCTCCGGTAGGCCAAACCGATCTTGTCTCCCGTGATTCATTAGGGCTGCGGTCGCCTCCATCCGCTTGGACGGGCTCCTTTCCCCGGATGCTTGTGACCCAGAACTCTTGCTAATTCATCAACTATGCTCGCCAGTTTGAGCTGGAACAGTGGCCATATGGCATCACATCCCACAGACGCGGCGCATCGCCCGTTGAGATTCGTACAATCTTTTCGAGTAGAGCGCTCCGTGTCTCCCGGTACCACGGCGCGCGTAAAAGGAGCTAGCCCTGTTCAGAATGGGCCTGTGGCCGTTGCCGATCCAATGCTGCGAACTGCGTCCGGTACGCAGGGAGACCGAAGGACCGGGACTGAGGTGCCCGATACGTTCGAGCGCAGAATAAGCGAAGAGACTGTAGAGCCTCCCAGAGCTTCGGTCGACCTGGACGATCTTCCCATCGAGCTCATCAGCCTAACGGATCGCTTCATCGACTCCCTTTCGGCCAAGGTGCATCCCCAGCCGCCGAGCATCGACAACCTCGCGCGGCTCTTTCAAGACTTTTATGCTACAGCATCTTCGCATATCCAGACGCATGTCGACAGCATGGCCACCCTCCAGAGGCGCGAAGAGCCCTCCGCGTCGTTGCTTTCGTCCCAAGCATCAGCTTCCAGTCTGTTGCGCACAAAGGGTTCTTCACTCGGAACAAGGGAGAAGCCCAGACCCACACCGTCCAGGCGGGATTCGGACCAACAGCTGCTGACCGCTGAAGAATACGCGGAGCGAAAGAGGGCAAGGAAGGCACTGGAGCACAAGAAAGGTCTCTTGGAGGAGGCTGTGGAGCGAAGGATATGTGAAGGCATCTACAGCAAGATCTACCGCCACAGGAGCACGCAGGACGAAGCGCAGGACGCCAAGCTCCGATCAAAAACAGCTGCTCTCGCCGTAGTTGGCATCGGGCCCGGTGATCTCGGCGTTGACCTCGGCACTGCTCCCAATGACCCAGAAGCCGCCGCCAAGAAACAGGAGGAAGTCAGGCAATGGCTGGAGCAAGCGCGGAAGGAACTCGTACTGATGAGTCAGTCCAGGTATCCCTTGGGGAAGTTGAACCACCTCAAAGCAGCACACAAGAGCATCATCGATACCCTGTCGCATTTTCACCCCTCCTCCTCCGCTGACGAGCTCATGCCCATGCTCATCTACACCCTAATCACTCTCCCGCCCGAGAACCTCAGCGTCATCAGCGACGCCAACTTCATTCAACGCTTCCGCTGGGAACCAAAGCTTGTTGGCGAAGGCTCTTACTGTCTTACCAATCTCGAGGCAACCATCAGTTTCCTCGAGACTGTTGACCTTTCAACCCTCCGCGCCGACGAGACTCCCACCGGGCCACTAAAAGGACAGGATGTCTCACCTACTCAGAAAGAAGGAACTTTCCCGCCTGCCTTCTCGCCGACCCCGCCGAGCCCTGCCACTCTGAGCCCGAACCACTCGGAATCGGCAGCAGCCAGCCTCGGCGCAGCGCTCAAGCAAGCTCCCTCATCTGCCCGCTTCCGCGCCACCGTTGGAGCCCAGCTCCGGGGGCCTCGCCGACTGAGCGATCTCGTGAATACGCCTGCGCAGGCCTTCAACGCCGCCAGCGATGCCGTCCTGAACACAGCCGACCAGAGCCTCAAAACTATCGGCACATCTCTTGGCGACAGCTACAAGTTCCTTTTGGGCAAGCTGCGCGAGAGGGCTCCGGATGCCCTCCTCGCCAAGGACAGCAGCGGCGACCCGGTCGTCATTGTCCCTAAGACGCTAGACGACGCAAGAAAGTTGATCGGTACCCCTTCACCCGCCGTCGGACAACTGGAGTCTCTGCAGGAAGAGGGCGGTGCCGCCGTCCCGCTGTCGGCTAGCCCCGGGAGCTCCCTCCCTTTACTACGCAGTCCAAGCCCGGCGCCGGCGACAGCAGCAGTCGAGGAGGCGGAGCGCCCGCCGTTGCTGAGCTTCATAGCGGGTAGCGCCAGGAAGGTGTCGCGGGATCATAGTGCTGATAGCTCGAGGAGTGCAAGCTCGAGAAAGGAGAAAGAGGAGAGGCAAAGGTTGGATACAACGGTAGCGCCGGGGTCGGCGACAGCGGCAACTGCAACTGCAACCGGGTCATCTCCTGTTATCACCAGCCCACCAATCATGGATTCAATGAGGAACTTGGGCAATTCCTTGAACCCCATGGCGAGATTGTCAGCGGGTATTGGAGGCCTTAGGGGCTTTGGTAGATCACCGGCTCCTGTTAGGGCGCCGACGCCGCCAGCGAAGGACGGTGGCCATAGTAAAGGGGGGCCCGCAGCCGCAGATGGTGGAGATTTGACTACGGTAAGGTTCCCTTTCGCTTCCTGCTAATCATCCCACTTGGGTGGTTCGGTGTGCCGTGATGGGGCGCTTAGGTATTGAGATGATCGGCCAATGCTAACAAGTCTGTATGTGACATAGGCGTTCCCGGACCTTGCTGCGGTGCTTCCGCCCAGGGAAAGCCCCAAGTTAGACCCGCCGATCAAGCGCTTCATGGAGATGCAGAATGCTGCGGAGATGAAGCTCGGCGAGGTGTTTGAGTTACTGAGGGATTATAAGCGGCTTGCAGGAGCGCTGAAGGAGATGGGCTCCTTCAAAGAGTAGGTTTGGGAGTCGTTGAGGCCGGGATCCCCCATCGACTATCAGATCTAAGGGTTTTGGTACCGAGTTGCAGTATCTGGTGTAATTGTCATGTTTCTTCCCTGGGTTGCAATGGTAGACGGCCGGAATAGAGGCATAATGTGCATGGTTCAGATAATGGACGGGACTGCACTGGGCGCTGCATGGCTTTACATGCGTCTTGTTAGATGCTGCGTTTCTTCTACTCTTGTGTACCTAGACAAAAGATCCAAGTGTTCAACTGCTCTGGGCTTAATCCTCGGGATGAGCTGCTAGATCTCAGTACCAGGACGGGCGTTACTAGATAAGTTATCACTTCCATCCAACTGATATCCTCGAGGTAACGGCAAGTACATTATAACTTTGGGCTGGTATGACCTGTGTCCAGCTTCGAAGGGCATACCCTATCACCCTCACTTTTGAGGAGGCTATCCCCCTTCGTTAGATAAGCTTGAGAAGCCTCGGTAAATGGATCAGCAAGCTTGAGTGAGATGTGCTATAATGTTTGAATCCCTAGGACCATCCACGCTATGCTAACACGGGTATTAAAGGGAACTAAACTAAGGGAAATATTAAACAAAAAGAAGGTACCTCTCCCGCGGCGAGCGGGACATGAGGCGATATGTGAGCTATGCCAACCCATCTCAATGCACGCCATTCATCCCCGCTGCCGCAGGCTTCGTTGGACTCAACCTTCCACTACTTGGCCTGGGTTCCCCTTCATTCCCGCAAAGCTTTTCCATAAAGGAAATGTAATCGTATTGTGGCTGACCCCGGTCGACCTGCATATCCGGTCCTTTATGCGGTGGCATAATCTCGACCAGCTTCTCAATGACCTCGTCCGGCACCAGTGAATGCCGCAAGTCCATTTCAGTCACATACGGTTTCCCATCGGCGACCTCCCTAAAGCTCTGGAAGACTTGCTCGGCCGTGTTCTGATCCTCAGTCACCTCGACCATAAAGCCGATAAATTGCTCAAACGTGACGCGGTCACGCCCATTGGACGTGTCGAGAAAGTACTCGTGCATCTCATCTTCCGAGAATATCAGGCCGAGCGAGGCCAGGGCCGCGCTAAACTCCAACTCGGACAGGCTGTTGCTGTCATCGCGGTCAAAGTGTCGGAAGACAGACTCGAACTCTTCAAGCTGAATAGGGGTAAGGTTCGTCATATTGCGCGCAACCATCTGGTTCTCGAGGAAGGAGAGCTTTTTGGAGACGGATGACTTGGCCAGTGAGAGCTCATAGCAAAGCTCGTCGTATGTGTACGTGGTGAAATCGTTTTCTTCAATGTTAGCTTCTTGGCACTTTTCGTCGACGGCAGCGATGGTCTTTAGGAAGGCGTCTAGCGGCGGGAGATTGTCCGATAGCTTCCGTACATGGTGTAGTTGGTCCTCTACATCGCCTTCGAGCCCTGAAATGGCGAGCTGTATCGTATTGAGCGCTAGAGCGAAATCGTTCGCCTTGTCAGCAAAGGATTTACGTAGCGCGTTCTTTATGCTGTGCCAACTGTCAGCATCGAGATAAGAGTGCGTGGCTTCAATGGGTAAACATACTCTCTGATAGTCTCATTGATCAACTGACCCCGATTCATCTCTGCCTTGGTCAGGTTGCTCCACTCTTTGTCCAACACCTCCAGCCTCAACTCAGCCGGCGGGTCGTATGGTCGCAGCCGGTATGTGCCCAGCTTCGTCTTGATGTTACCCAGAAGCGTCGCTAGTTCGCTCTTCTCGGCCACCCACTCCCGTTTCAAGCCTCTCTTGTACGAAGCGAATTCAGCCGCCTGTGCCTTGGCATCTGCGTAGGTCCCCTCAAAGGTAGCGAGCTGCCAGTTCTTCATCTGGGCACGGATTGCCTCGAGTAGCGCCGCCATCCTTCGCTCATAAGCGCTCTGCATATCCCAGGCGCCACGCATATTGTTGACAAACTTTTCGACGCGGCGGCCTGCATTCTCAACCTTCTCCATCTGCGAGAAGGCGTGGAACCAGTAGGCGATGTAGGTCATCAGACTGCGCTCGTCGGGCTTGGCCACGTCGCACACGTCCTCGACATCCAGCAGCTTCGGAATGCCAATCTCCTTATGAGCAATATCGAAAGCCATCTGCATGTTGCCGCGGTGGTCCGACTTGTCGAGAGCCTCGTAGTCGATCAGATCCGGGCGATGGATGTCGAGAAGGGCACAGAAGGCGAGCCCGTCGTTCCAGCTTGCGCTGAAGTCACGCACGTCCACCCCGTCGTAGCACGCCGTCTTGCGTTGGCACCACAATAACAAGCCCTCCTTGGCCGTCATGCCCTCCTCGTTGATGTCGTTGATGGTGAAGCGCAGAATGAGGGTCCATATCAGGCCAAGAATGATTTTTCGGTTTCCATCTACTACATCTTCAGCGCCGATGTTGGTCATCTGTATTCCGCGCAACTTGATAAAGTTGAGCGCGAGGTTTGCATTTTCGAAGCGCTGCACGCGCAGCTTGGGTTTCGCGGCATACCGGCCCAGCGACTCGCCCGAGAGACACTCGAGGAGGTGGATAAGGAGTACCTAGGGACACGATGGCTCCGTATAAGCAAGGGCACCAAACCATACCTGGTGAACAAAGGAATAAATCTTGAAAGAAAACGAAATACATACACCATCACTCAGGTCTTGCACCAGGTCCTTGACCTCGAGATTCCTAACCTCCAGCTTGGTGTTTAGCCATTTGGTAAACGTCTTTTGCTGGACCGTAATCCAGCGCTGCTGCTCGGCGTAGGCCATTTTGTTGAAGAGGGCCGGCTGGGGAATCTCTATCCAAATTGGGCCTTTAACGACTTCGGTTGTTGCTTGGTGAAGGCGCCGCCATTTGCTTGGAGTGCGGTAGTTTCTGACTGTCACATTGTGTGACTTAGCAACCTTCGCGTGCATCCCTGGATATAACTGACGGCCCAGCCCCGCTTGATTGCAGCTAACGTGCCAATAAGTCGGCTGCTGCCGATATCGATAAGAGGCTGGGTGGGTTATCTCGCGGTTATCAAGGACACAGAACCCCGCCACTTGATATCTCCACTGTACTTCCTCTCTTCTTCCTGAATGACGGGACCACGATCACTTGGTTGGACTGGAACTTGTGGATGGCAGAAAAACAGAATATTCCTTTGGCGTTCAGACTCCTTTGGGCGCAACGTTAGCACCAGGCAAAGCCGGGGCATCTCAAGTCAATATAGCACCACGACGTGGGCGCTTTCCATTCGACGAGTTTCAGCGAGCTCCAGCCTGTAGATCAAGCAGACAATTTCATGCAGTAAGGTAGGTAATTCATCATCTTATCGCCAGTCTGCTAGCCGGACGTTCCAACAGACTTGCAGTTCCGGGTCACGGTTTGATAGATTAGCCTGTATGGATGGTCTTCTATTTCCTCACAGTTCTGGGGCGTATGTGTCCCGTCGGCCTCAGGTATCCGGTGCTTCTGATACTTTTGCTGCCCTGGTATCGAACCTCCTACGGAGTATATGACGCCCTTTTGATGCGCAATTCCACATCCTTACATTCGGAACAGACGGTCCGCAAGGAAATTTGAGAAGACCGTAACGTTAGCAATTTCTGTCGCTACCTTAGGTAGACACTCTGCTACCTGTGACCCGGGAGCAGCTCATTAGGCGTCGTTTCAATAAGCAGTCCCACTCACACAAGCAGGCCCTCGAAGAATCCAGATTGTGTACATACTAAGTTGCTTTGAACACAGCCAGACAGCAATCATCGTGGCTTGTTGCTCGGTGCATGTGCTAGCCCCGGAATCCAGATTACCTGGGAGGATAAGGTATATTCCGCTATGTGCCTTAATGGCATCTTCTGCTTCGGGTTGCAGCCAACATTTGTGGTTGTACTGTAGGTACGATGTACACGTACATCCATTTCCTGAATCACAGTCGCCAGAACGCCTGTCTAGATCAGAAGTCGTGAAAATGCGGCACCCGCTTAATTACAAGCTAGACTTTGGTGTCTTCAACACAACCTAGGCATACTGTTGCTTAGATTCGCTGGACGTGGTATTCGTTAGCATGTCACAACTGTCGTTTTGGTACCGCCCACGGTGTGGAGTATGTTGAGTTTGATAGAAGTAAGGTACCTAGGTAGGCAAGACGACTTGTTCAGATGAACCATGCAGTTCGGCATCTTGTCAGTCTTGTGATTTAGGTACGTGTCTTCGGATCGCGGTGAAGTGCAAGAAGTGCTACCCCGGGTTCCCGGGAGTGCGGTCAGGTGCTACCCCAGATGAGATGAAGTGACTTGTGAAGGACGTACCCCGGAGTCGGTGAGTGCTACCCCGCGATTCTGCCGCCAAGGCCCAGTACTTCGTAACCACTCACAGCAAAAGAATCCATCCCTCCAAAAACCTCCCTACTTTTTCACAACTTCATGCAACCAAACTTCAACCCAGGTTCTGTGAATCGCAACAATTTCCTTTCGTCTACTTTTCTTCGAATTGCAATAGAAAGGTAAGCTCCCAAGGTTTCTATACTCCTGATTTATTTCTACTGGTATCACCCTGTGCTGGAATTTCACTGCGATCTTTCTGGTTGTTTACTCGTCAAGATTTCATCTTGCAGGTACTCAATCCGGAAGGTCTTGAAATATTTCAAGTTCCATCCACACACACCAGACTAATACTTCCTCTCTCAAACCATTACCTTTGCCCACACAGCAATCTCAAACCACTCCTAACATTTCCTTCTATTTCGTCTTCTTTAGTCCTGACCATCTCGTGCATCCAGAGTTCACAGTCACCTTGCTCAAACCCATTGTTGGAACACTGAGAACAGTGCCGTGCGAAGTTGATTGTCGCCAGCTGCGACTCACTCGCCTTGTTCAAGATGTCTCAGCGACCGGGCCTTCATGTGCCTGCGATACGCCTTGAAACGGAGAAGAATCTTGGTATCACGCAGCGCTCGGCCGCAATCAACTTCGGCTGGACTGGCGAGATCCGCAAGCGGTAAGTGTCATTCAATCCCTTTCTAAACATGCATGAGATGGCCGCTTACTTTCATCAAGTTATACCGACTTTCTGGTCAATGAAATACGGGTGGATGGCACTGTCCTTCATCTTCACAAGTATGAGGAAGTCAAGTCGGACAAACCCGACACTCAGGCTCAGGTGTGTCTGCCTTCCCTGTTTTTGTTCGATATGGGTCGCTCTAACAATATTCCCTAAAGCGAAAGCAGTATCCCGGCAACGGCAATGCCTCTGCCAACACCTCTGGCAGACCAGATGATAAGCCGCAAGTTCACCGAATCTCGGAAAATGATCGCCAGATCCTCATGGGCTTGATTGGTGAGGCCATTGCCCAGAGACTGATTGATCTCGATGAGAAGACTCAAGCCAAAACCAACATCCCTCCCAACGGTCGTAGTGTTGTCTTCGACGCCATCACTGATAGAGCGGCGCGTGCAAAGGTCCATCAGGTATGTTGACTCCTAATTCTGTAATGAAGGAATCCAGCTCCGCTCACATCTTCAAGGAAATTCGTCGGATCTTCCATTCCCGCATTGAGACTGTTGCTAATTCGGCCGGTATCATCACGGCGACCGCGTCGAAATCGACAGCCAATCGCGGGGGTGCTAGACAGCGCAATGGGCCGCAGCGTGACAATAATCGTTCCCGTGAGATTAGCCAGAGTTTCGAACAGCTCGGCGGTAATTACCTTCACTTCACGATGTACAAGGAGAATAAGGACACTATGGATGCGATCAACACAATTGCACGACTCCTCAAAGTCAAGGCTTCCTTCTTTGGCTTTGCTGGCACCAAGGATCGTCGGGCTGCCACTGTCCAGCGCATCAGCGTCTATCAACAGAAAGCATCAGATATGATCTGGTTGAACACACGTATCAACAATGTCAAGGTTGGGGACTTCGAGTATGCCAAGGCTCCGCTTCAGCTTGGCGACCATGGCGGCAACGAATTCATCATAACCGTCAAGAATTGCCAGCCCCTTCCTGGGACTGAGGGTTCTGTTGTGCACCGCATGAGGATGATTCAGCGGGCGGTCGAATGTGGGCTTGCCTACCTGAAGTACAACGGCTACCTCAACTACTTTGGTCTTCAGCGCTTCGGAACCCACTCCATCGGAACTCACAAGCTTGGCATGAAGCTATTGAAGAGTGATTGGGAGGGTTTCATTGATGATGTCTTGCACGTCGATGATCATCTCATCCAGCAGGTACTGAACAATACCCCCCAGACCTGCGGGACAGGAAAGGAGCTTCGCGACAACCGCGACGACTTCAACCGCGCTCGCGCCATCACTACTTGGAAGACCACCAAGAATGCGGACAAGGCCCTCGAGGTCCTTCCCAAGAGGTTTAGCTCTGAATATTCCATTATTCAGCACCTCGGTAAGAACCCAAGGGATTTTCTCGGCGCCATTCAAAGCATAACGCGCGGAATGCGCCGGATGTACGCCCACGCCTATCAATCTTACGTCTGGAACTATGTCGCCACTCGTCGTTGGTCCAAGTACGGGTCCAATGTCGTCGAGGGAGATCTTGTCGTGGTCTCTAGCGGCCGTAGTCCTGACGGTTCCGATGCTGAATTCTCCGCTTACGACGACTTCGAGGATGACAATGCCTACGCACAGGCTCGCAGCCTCACGGCCGAAGACGTCGCTAGCGGCCAATATACCATCTTTGACGTTGTATTGCCCAACCCTGGTTACGATGTCATGTATCCTCGCAATGACATTGGCGACTATTACGTCGAATTCATGGGGCGAGAAGAAAATGGCTGTTTGAATCCTTATGAGATGCGTCGTAAGCATCGCGAATTCAGTCTGAGCGGCAACTATCGTCCCCTCATTGGGCGGTTCATGGGCGAGCCCCAGTATGCTATCAAGGCGTACTGTGATGATCTCGAACAGATGCACCCCACTGACCTTGATTATGCTCTTCATCAGAAAGAGGCAGAGAAGAAAGCCGTTGCATCTTCTGTGGACAGTTGGGCGCACTTTGCAAAGAATGCAGCGGCTTATGATGACGCTATGGCTACTGCGCGCCGTCGCAAAGCCGACGCAGAGCCCGCTCCTAATGGAGACTCTGTCATCAACGAGACGTGGATTCAAACCGGCCTTAATGGCAGTGATAAGCGTGTTAAGCTCGCGCGTCATCATCAGACATTCGACAATGCCGTGGGCAGTGAATGGTCTTCCGGACACAGTGCCTCCACTGCACCGAGCCTGGAGGCTGAGGAGCCCGGCCATTCCACTGATGATGTGAACACTATGTCTGCTGAGGCTAGCGGTGGTGTTTCCCTCCTCGATACCACACAGGATGAGTCCCCTCGTCCGACTACAGTCTCGGATTTGATCCCCATGGTTCGCATTTCGGACGAGCCTATGCCTGCTTCTGGCATGCGTGGTGTCTCGGACACTTACTATCGCTCCATCGGCAAGATGCCCAGCCTTGATGGCCTGGGTGCTCTGGATTCGAACATCCAGATGCCTGTGACTGGAGGTGGAACCGCTCAGACCCCGCCACCGGGCGACGGTGCTCTCCAAACGGGGACTGAGTTGATCAACAATGTCGCTCTGCCTAAACTCAATCCTGTGTCGGCCAATCCTCTGTTTTCAGTTGATGACAGCATCGACGAGAGCAGCATTGATCCCAAGGCAACGAAGATTGCCGTGATCTTGAAGTTTCAACTCAAGGTCAGTAACTACGCGACCATTGTGCTTCGGGAGCTCATGGGCACCGATGTCGAGTAGTGCGCCGACAATTTGCACACTACTTTTTGGTAACATGGAGTGCATCGCTTTGGGTCTACTAGGACGCAAGATCTGTCTCGATCAGGTTTTGTCTACTGAGCAACCCTAGCGTGGAATAATGGGCCCGGATATTCTCCAGTAGTCTCATTTGGAGCTTCTGATTGAGCATTCTCAATCAAATGAGCACATCGTTTGTCTGTCATACACAACAGCCAGCCGATCAGACCGCTTCGTTCTCGTTCGGAACAAGGGCTCTTTCTGAGCATGTTGGTCACGGATATCGGCATCTTTTCCCTTGGTTTTCCTTTTTCTCCTCTATGTTCGCTCTTGAACCTGGAGCCTTGCCCTCATCAGAAAGGGCGACTCTCACCATTCCAATGTCTCATGCGATGGGCCTGCATGGGTAGGCATTGCTGTGGAGCGGATTGCGCTCCGCCGATGGCAACTTTTTCACTGGAGAAGTTGTCACTATGCCAGCAAGGGTACACATGGTATCGGAATGGTTGGCCTCAGGATTGTTGATCACGGAATATTTGGCCTCGGAATCGCGGGCCTCTGACTTTATGGTCTCGGATTAGTCTTCTGGGTTTGTTTTATCACCGGTTTTCGGGGGAATCTGCTCTGTTTCTTTGCGAAGAACTGCTGAATTGGCGGTTCACATATGGCATAAGGGCATGGCATTATAGGGAAGTCGGCGGTCACCTTGTTCTTTTCTTCGTCTCGGCTGTTTTCGGCGTTGAGGTAAAGAGGATAAAAGGGACGATGCTATGACGAACACCTGAGATACCCCTTTTCGACGGTAGATGTGTTTTGTACGAGTAGAGGCGTTCGGCCAGGGAAAAGTAATTGATCAGTCCTTGATGCATCTGTTTTTTCTTTCCACGGTGCTTTGCGTCTGCGTTGAGCGCATGTGAGCGTTTGGGGTTTTGTTAACTATGAACAATGATGTCGAAGTATAAGTTCTTGAGGACGCTGTGTTGGACTACATCTTGCCCTTTCTTTGGCTTTTGCTTGGTTACTTGTGCTTGGTTACTTGAATAGATAGCCCAAACACTGAGATCTCACAGAAGGGTTTGAAGATTCATCACTCCATGATGCGCTCTGCCTCACAGCTCAGTTGTATAACCAACTCCGTCGCCGAGTGCAGCGCCTACACATAACTTGGATGAGTTACCTCCAAGCCGATATATGTGAAGAGCCGGTAAGCCGGCGCTCGATCGCAAGCTCCTCTCAAAGCACTGTCGTTAATCGACGGTGCATTGGCAGACGACTAGCAACCTCTATAGGCCGGAATCTCCCTATATCCCGCTATGCTTGACCTTTGAGTTGATCAATTCAACAGGTACGATTCGACCCTATGTCCATAGCTTGTCAGGTAGTCGCATTGACCTCAACCTGGACCTCTTTCTCCTCGTGCTGCCTATGCTCTTGTCCTGTTACCGTCTGATTGCAAATCAACCGCCCTTTCCCCTTCTATCTTCTCTGCCTTGGCCCGCCTCTTCCTCGCCCTTCGTACCTCGAGCTCCACGGCTGCCATCTCAGCGCTAATCGTCGCCAGTTTAGGGATAACCTCTTCAACAGCCTTGATCGCTTGTGCCTGTGCCAGCCGGAGAGGCATGGGCGTCAAGACGCCAAACCAACGAAGCGGATCCGTAGGAGGGGATTGCTGCTTCTCCTTGTTCCCGGGTTGCGATCTGCCTGTATCCTCTTTGAAGGTAGGCTGCGTCTTTTTCCCCTCTTCATCGTCGTGGCCAGCATCCCTGCTCCCATTCTCACTACTCTGCTTCCTAACATCATCACCTTCGACCATGCCATCGCCTTTGCCAGATCCTGCCTCGTCCGCGGCTGGCTGTGAAGAAGCTGGTGGGGCATGCGGATTCCCCCCTACTTCAAAGGCTGGCGCGCGGATGGTACGTCCCTTCCCACATATAGCACCAGAAGCAGGGAAATCCGAGTCCGCTGTCTCGTTGCGACTGCTGCTGAGGATCCGGACACGGCGCACAGCCTGCATCCGCTCATCGTAGTAATCTTTGCCGTAGTAGCGGATGCCACGCTCAGCTGAGAAATTGGCCCGCGCCAGATGCTGGAAAACATTTGTCTGGAGTATGTGCAGGGTGTTGCGGAGGATGGTGTACTCGTCGAGAAGGGCGAGGTAGTGCTGCAAGTGAGCGTCGATAATTTCTGTGTGTGTCTCGGCTGCCGTAAACATGTTGCAGGGTGTGGTGGTCAGGTGGAGAGTACTGAGCGATGTATAGTTCTTTGGTGGTATCTGGTGAGCTGGTCGTTTGGGTGAAGGAGAGGTGTGAAGACTGAAGAGTGGCAGTAAACTTAAACAATTCCAACCTGGTAAATCCGTCCCAGCGAAAAGTCCAGTTGTATCGGTATGGGCTCGCAGGGCAACAGCGGTGAATTAACCCTCACATAGATTCTGATAATTAATGAACGATTCTCCTCACTGAGATCCCATGACAAGGGTGGTACATGGTATATTCACAAATCAAACGTTATAGCTGTATAGGTATCCTGCCGGTGCAGTCCATGAAGCCTGGATTCTTAGCTTCGGCCTTCATACGTTGGACGTCAAAGGGTCAAGCTGGGGCAGGCCTCCTATGAGAAACGCTGGTGACGTTCTGGTGCGACTGTATTCACTGGAACTGGAACGATTGCTAGGCTGCCTGGCTGCGTGTTATGATGAGCAGGGTTCGGGTTATTTAGCATCAGTGACCCAAGAGTTCCTTCGTCTGAGACCTCGACGTCAATGGACTTTGGACGTACGGATACCTCCGTTATCAATGCAGTCAACTGACTTAACTCGGCTACCTAAAGCCATAGAGGTAATGCAAATGATAGCGATTTTAATATTTTTGAAATGGTGCTGTTTCTTTAGAGTCAACAGGAATCCTTCGTGTTTTGTCGGCGTTGAAATCAGCTGGATATGTGACCGTATGGCATCTGTGGGATTATTGTGGACTGGCGGGTAGAAGCATGAATCGAATATGCAATCGCCGATAGAAGCTTCGCCGAGATCCAATCAAGCATGAGGACATACGGAGCATACAGTATTCGTACTGGTATACATGTGTACGGAGTACACCGCATCCCATTCGCATATCGACCCTCGACAGTCGATGCAAGTACAATACATATTCTTGTGGCCTTGCCAAGCTGATGAATCTTGGATCGCAAAGCCGCAGCCGCGAGGCTGTGTCGGCAAACCTGTAACGTTGAGCATCGACGCCGAGAGACACTCTCTCAGCTGGAAACAAGAGAATTGGAAACAATGTCTAGCGTGTAGACCTGTGGTACGTTGCGCCGGCTTCCGCAGATTCGGCATCTTCCACTACCCTTGGCAATCTGAAAGGGGATTTGACCTCTGGATAATGTTGCAAACAGTTGACCTACAGCATCTACAGCTTCGCAAACCAAAAGAGCAGCAGTGTTCGTCCTCTACGTTCCTGATCGGAGGCGAGGGTGCTTTGATCTGTAGGTATTCAACGTTCTTGATGGCCTGGTGGACTTGCCTATTTTTACAACAAGTTTCAGCCCAGGATTACATATCTACCTACTCCGTACCTACTCGCTACCCTTGATGGAGGTTGCTCAATGTCAAATGATGCCTGGTAGTTAATCATAGGTAAGGTAGTCTCCCGTTGCGGCCGGCTTCAGGCACATTCTCAACGAAGAGGATGTGATTTTAACTCGTGCGTTTCTTGACATCGCATAACACTGGGCGTCCCAACAGCTGTTTCTAGAAATCGAAGGCGCTTGGCATCTGCAGCATCGGGAGTGTAGTGTACACGTAAAGTGCCTGCCACCTGATTGCCTGGGTCGTTGGAGATTTGACGGTTGGCACGCGATTGAGGTGTGACGAACACCGCGACGGGAACATCAGCGCAGGAGCGTGGCCCCGGCTCAGCAGCCAAGACGGGATCACTGGTGTTAAGAGGACCACTGACCGCTCGCCTACCCTCCCTCCCACTCAGCGCTTCAAGGTCGTCTGCCAGGTTTCTCCAAGCTTCCCCTCGTAATCTTAAGACCGGGAAGGCTGCTGCTTCCATGCACAACCAAACCCACCAGTCCCCTTAATTCGGAAGCCATCTCCCTTTTTTCTATTCAATTGCAAGTGCTTCGAACAACCGTCTCGCCGACCAAGTACTCTTTTCCATCCCTCGTCTTATCGCACCCCGGCCTCTTTGTTCTGTGCAGAAACAATCCCAGAGACGACCGTCGTGAAACATCTATTGCTTCATTCGTCATCGGCTGCCGTTTCTTCCACCGCCAAAACCCCATTTCTGCTTCCCGTTTCCCCATCCCCTCCGACTCCACTCCGCCCTCGCACTTCCGAATTGTCAGTCGACTGCAGCCTGCGATAAGGGGAAGTGGTTAGACGCACGCCTTGTTTTACCGAGGCGGTCGACGAGCCTTTCGATCAGACAAACTTGCTCCAATCTAAGAGCTCCTCCCGTCCTCGAAAATGGCGCTGGGAACTATCAAGTGCGTCTGCCCTTCCATTCACGGCAGTAACCAGCCAGTGTCCTCGAGTCGCGGCGCTCCTGGATTGGTCGATTGCAGCTTGGCCTCTGGCTTCGCTCTCGTTCATCTGGGAAATTCCCGCCCTGCGCCGGACGCGTGAACGCGGCTTGGGCAACACCTCGAGTGTTCCTTGTGAGCTGCTTGAACACGATGCTAACAGATTCGCTTGCTCTCCAGGTGTGTAGTGGTCGGCGACGGTGCTGTTGGAAAGACATGCCTTCTCATCAGCTACACGACCAACAAATTCCCCTCCGAATACGTACCTACTGTTTTCGATAACTATGCTGTCACCGTCATGTATGTCGAATTCCACCCGAGACACCGCCCGTCATGCCCATGCACCATTACCAAACCCCTTTGCTCGCGAACATCCCTGCTAAACAGGCCGCTTCCAGGATTGGCGATGAGCCTTATACGTTAGGGCTTTTCGACACCGCCGGACAGGAGGACTATGACCGCCTGCGACCACTCTCGTATCCGCAAACCGACGTTTTCCTGGTTTGCTTTAGTGTCACGTCTCCCGCCTCCTTCGAGAACGTCCGTGAGAAGTGGTTTCCCGAAGTTCACCATCACTGTCCCGGCGTCCCCTGCTTGATTGTCGGCACACAGGTAGATCTGCGGGATGATCAACAGGTGATACAGAAGCTGGCCAAGCAAAAGATGCAGCCGGTGCGGAAAGAGGATGGCGAGCGCATGGCAAAGGAATTGGGTGCGGTCAAATATGTCGAGTGCAGCGCTCTCACGCAGTACAAGCTCAAGGACGTCTTTGATGAGGTAGGGCCCAGGAACCGCGAGCACGCCACGGGGAGGGATGCATCTCGCTAACCAGCAATTTCTAGGCCATCGTTGCTGCCTTAGAACCTCCGGCGCCCAAGAAGAAGCCCCACAGATGCCTAATCCTCTGATCCGGGCTTCTGGCACATGTAGGTGCATCGATGTTAACCGATCCTACGTCGTGCGGGAGCGGCTTTATAGGAAGAAAATCTGGACAGCTTTCTGTCTAGGCCTGCTTTTGCCATCACCAGAGTGCGGCTGGATAGTCGTCTAGAGCAACCACAGCGGTTTGCTGATGGCAGGTCCCCAATTCCTCTTAGGTCCTATATGGAGAAGAGGTACCCTTCAGAGGGTTCCAAGTCGCACTCCTTCCAAGTCTACATCAGCCCTCCTATGACACCGCACGATTGGCAAATAAGACAGGTTTTCTCCTAGGGAAGTGGTTGGGGTTGATCAAGTCTTGATTTTCCATTACAGAGCCCTATACCACTTGGTCGCTCAACTTTCCGGTATCTTGCTTGTCCTGTCAGCTTGCTTGGTTCCTTCGTGATTACATCTCCCTTGGAAAAAGGGCGATCGCATCATAAACATGGGGCAGTGAAACTTTCGATAGGACAGTTTGGCGGCTGGAGCGCAATTGAATCAGGGTTGACCTTTTGATCCCGAACAACAAGGCCCTCCTGCTAATCTCGTGACGACTCCGACAAAGTTGCTAAGGGCTTTCTCCTCAAGAGAATCGGCCCGTCTGGATATAACAGTGGACTGAGGCGGGCGGGTGAATCGAGCGATCACTTGCATGATCACAGTGCGCAGCCGACTGAGGCAGATTTGCTCAGAGCCCTTGTAAGATGGCCGGTGGCATGTAAAGAGGTTTCTGCACGATGGAAGGGAGTCGTGCTTAAACATGTCGACAGACTGAATGTACTCGACGCCATCCCACAGGTGGGCATGGGATGACATATGGGCATCTTTGCTTCGAAGCATGCATGGATTTAGGCCTTTCCTGCTGCACTGCTTGACGTAGCAAGAACACTAGTTCAGTAAGTACAGTAGGTAGCTGTCACTTTTTGTTTCTCTACCTTACAGCGCCATGACGAACCTAGCCGCCGGTGGAACGCAGCGAGAACATACCTACGACTTTTGGCTCTGTAGATGTGAGCTCGAGGCGCATCAAGACCAAATCGACAGCAGGCGAGAACTATAGTAATGAGTGAAAGAGAGTGTTGAGCTTGAGGCCGTGTTGGTGAAACGAGTGACGAGGTATCCAGAGGGATCTAGATGTTTGAACTACCAAGAGTTGACCGACGTTGGGCATTCAGTGATAAAGGTCAAGGAACAGCCATGGTATGTCTCCGTACTGATATAACAATCTCGGAATCGATCATTCGGCTTTGGTAACTGGGTGTCCCTTGCCAGCCCCTTGCCTTATCTCAGATTTCTAAAACAAAGCTGCAATTGATGTTGTGAGTCATTCATCAGTCGTTCCTGTCTTTTTGGGCAGAAAACCCGGCGGCACTCAGTCGCCAATTGCCCCGCCAAACTTCTCCTCCAGTTGAACCCCACCAAAACTGGAAGTTCAATTTTGGAAACTTGTCAACCACAACCCCTCAACAGCAGAAAACCTGCGATTGAACTGCACGCCAGCTCAGGACAAGATGGCGGAAGCTCAGGAGCTGGCCGATCGCACCAAGGACAACTCAAAATGTTACATTGACCCCACGGCCGGCAAGGACGACGATAGTGCGGACGGCTCCCAAGCCAAGCCCTATCAGTCGCTGTACTACGCCCTGATCCAACACGTCGATAAGCCTGCGCCGGCTTACCTCACGCTCACCCCGCCAAAGGAAGGGTCTAGCGATGGCCCTACTTGGGAAGAGCCTGCGAAGAGCGCCATGAAAAAGGCGCTGGGTCGGGTCGATGCTTACAAGAAGAAGCTGGCCAAGGACCAAGCCTCAGCCAAAAAGGAAGAGGAGGAGCGCAAGCAGCGCCTCAAGAACCTCGAGGATGCGAAAAAAATTGTGCTGAAGGAGGATTCATCACTCCCAGCAGCTATCCGTATCAAATTGAACAACAAGTCTGTAGAGCTCGGCGACGGGACCAAGAAGGGCACCCGCGTGAAGGTCTACGGCCGCATCCACCACCTCCGCCCACAGAAGCACACCACATTTATCATCCTAAAAGATGGATATGGCTTACTCCAATGTGTTTTGCCTGCTGGCGACCTTACCAAGACGTACGATGCCCTGATGTTTGCTCAGGAGACGGCACTCGTTCTTTACGGCGAGCTGCGCAGCGTGCCTGCTGGTCAGGAAGCGCCCGACAACCGAGAACTCCTGGTTGACTACTACAAGGTGCTTGGACAGGCGCCGAGCGACCTCGATGCCATTACCAACAAGGTTTCCAAGGAGCAGGATCCGTGGGACGCGCAGATGCTTGACAGCAGGCATCTTGTGCTCAGGGGAGAGAACGCCTCTGCCGTTCTGAAGTTGCGCGAAGCGGTCGAGCTGGCGTTCATCGATAGCTACCGCGAGATGGAGTTCCGCAAGGTGTCGCCTCCGGCCATGGTGCAGACACAGGTCGAGGGTGGCTCGACGTTGTTCAAGTATGACTACTACGGAGAGGAGGCCTACCTGACGCAGTCGTCGCAGCTGTATCTCGAGACAGTCGTGCAGTCGCTGGGCAACGTATACTGCATAGAAAAATCGTTCCGCGCGGAGAAGAGCCTGACTCGGCGCCACCTGTCCGAGTACACCCATATCGAGGGCGAATTGGACTTTATCGAGTTTGAGGATTTGCTGGAGCATATCGAGGAGCTCATCTCGCGAGTCGTCGACAAGGTCCTGGCAGACCCTGCTGCGGCGAGCTATATGAAGCTGCTGAACCCCGGCTTCCAGAAGCCGTCGCGGCCGTTCCTGCGAATGAAGTATGCCGACGCCATCGAATGGCTGAACAAGCAGGATCCGCCCATCCTCAACGAGGAGGGCAACCCGCACGTGTTTGGCGACGACATTGCCGAGGCTGCAGAGCGCAGGATGACCGACATCATCAACCGGCCCATCTTCCTCACTCACTTCCCGGTCGAGATCAAGGCGTTTTACATGAAGAAGGATCCGAGCGACCCAAGGGTCACCGAATCAGTTGATGTCCTCAGTACGTGGTCAAGTCTCTTTTATTTGCGTGTAGGCGGGATTTGGATTGACAGATCACCCAGTGCCCGGCGTGGGCGAGATTGTCGGTGGCTCGATGAGGATGGACGACTATGATGAATTGATTGAAGCTTACAAGAAGAACGGCATCGGCTACGAGCCGTACTACTGGTACACCGACCAGAGGAAGTGAGTCTGCCGCTGTACCAATCCATCCAACTCCGGTCCTGTTTGCTGATCTGCATCCCCTAGGTATGGCTCCTCGCCCCACGGAGGATATGGCTTGGGGCTGGAGAGGTTCCTGGCTTGGATGGGCAATCAGCATACGGTGCGCACATGTAGTTTGTACCCGCGCTTCATGGGCAGGTGCAAGCCTTGAGCGTGAGCGGGAACTGGCGGCAGCGTACGAATTGAGTCGGACTGACGAGTGCGTGGAGTTTGGAGCGAATGGTGGCTGCTTGGCTCTTGTAGCGGAACCGAGTTAACAAGTCTAGTTTTCACCAGAGTTGCTATACTAGATACATAGAAGTGCATCATATCCACAGGCTTATCATAGCTGCCTGTCTATGGCATGCGAGAACCGGGCCGGGATGGACGGCAGCCCCGTCGGCAGGTAACTTAGGTAAGCCGCCTGATTTGTGGCGTTGCGCGTTGTTTTGCGTTGACCCACCGCCCGGTGATCCTCGAGGATCCAGGCGGCAGAGCCGAATCCCCGGGTTGAGGGCTCGATGATCCCATTCACTGTCCATTCCTTGTGTCCAGCCACTCGGCGCGTTGCGCAATACCTTGACGCTGGGGTAGGTTGTTGAATGAACCGGGTAATGTGCATACGCATTGAGGGGAACTCACTTCTGTTGCTACAGCGTTTTGCATGTCTCCAATAAGGGGTAAGGGGTCTGGTCTGAGTGAAATGGTTTCTGGGCTGCGCATTCCAAGTGCGACTCTCCGCTATGCTGCCGGTAGTATGGTACATAGGTAATTAGTTCTCCTTCACGTCGGTACGGGTCGCATGGGCTCGTTCGAGCCCCTGCAGATGGTTTCAAACATCTGGGGAACGGAGAAATCTTCCTACTATTTTTACATACCGGACATATAGCGCGTTTCTCAAGTAGGACACTGAGACGTCGTGGTCAATTCACCTCAAAAGACATACACTCTGCGTCACCTTTCACCAATGTGCTGTTAGGAGGTCTTGGTAAGGGGCGCTGGATAATCAAAACGTATCTGATGAGCCAAAACGGCGCCGTCATTGGGCTTGCAGTTATCGATGAATATGGCGGCGAAAGGCACTCGGTAAGATGTGATCACAAACATCTGTCTAAAAGCAATTGATTAGTTAAGGCGCACATCAGTGTCTTCACAAACCAGCTGGGCAAGCAGATCCCAGCTTTGAGCATGGAAGCAAGTCACTGTACTCCGTACGCAGTACCCTGAACAAAGATGAGCGTGGACGGAGATCGAGATGCGCACATCCAATCGGGAATTGGGACGGTTAATCACAAACAACTCGGCCCAGAGGTTACCTTTCATCTGGCACGGGACACAGAAGCGGCTGGAAATACTTGACCGCTCAGTGCTTGGGATGACAGAGAATCGGGATTGAGCTGTGTTACCTACCTATGTTAGCACATGATTCCCATTTCCCAGTCGTCCCGTTGTGCTGTGCCCCTGGACCACCATCTCTTGTGCACCACGTTGCACGCATGCCCCTGGGTGCACAGGGGCGAGTTTAAGCATTGCTGTGGACACATTATTTCAGGAACCCGTCGTTCGGTAGGGATTCCCGGCAGGGCAATGCCACTCAGGCACCCACGGACCTGAGGAGAAAAGAATGAGGGCAAAGGGCCGCGATCGCAGCTCGCAGCTATGCAACGTTGGCACTCATTCAGGAACAGGCAATTGGGGCGCTCTAAAAAAGCACAGGGCCGAGAGAATCTGGCCAGATTTGGGGGGATCCTTATTGCAGGCCCTGCCTTATGGGAAACAATTGCGCACGCTGATTGGCAGAGAAGCCATGCACGATACCAGCGGCAAGGTCGCGTGCTGGACACGGTCTAGGCACTCTCTTGCAGGAACGGAACCAGACAGAGACCTGGGCTAAATGTACCGCGCTAAAATGGCCACGGCTCCCAGCTCGCAGCTGCTAATCAAATCCAATCCTAGCTCATCCACCTCGCCTGGCCTTCTGCTCTTTGGCCCCAATCTTTCACCTCCTTTTTTCTGCTCCCTCCTTTATCTTTTCATCACACCTTCGCTCATTCGACTTTGTTGTCGTCCCCCTTCACACTTCGACCTACCCGACGTACCCTTTTTCCCTTCCTATCCATTCTTTTTATAGGTAATAATATTTTCTTGGTGCAAGCTCCGGAACACCTTACCCTCGTCCCGATCCGCCCAATCTCCGGTCTCTTCGGTCCGGACGACGGCTTCTTGTTCCCGGCACCGATCTTGCCTCTTCTCGACGCTCGCTTGAGAAACGCTTGCTCACTCGCTTCATTACCAATAGAATTTTAATACTAGGCATCCTTCTTTGTCCGCTCTGCAAGAGGAGGTTCCCGCTCGGCCAGCTCGACTTTGCCTGCTGTGGGTTGTCTTTGCTCGAAAAGGGGGGCTTTTGCTGAAAGAGATCGAACGCATTGGGCAGCCAGAATTTCTTTCTTTGGAATCTAGCCCCTGTCGCCCTCACTCCCCACAGCGTTCCACGGCTTTGCTCCTCTAGACGGTCAACATTCTAGAGCACTCGCTGCCTTGCGCTCCTCCGACCGGTTTTTTGTTCGAACGGCGAGCGGTTTTCCGCCCTCTCCTGGGTCCCATTGAGACAGACCACCGAAGCGATCACACCAGGAAGCTGCAAAAGGGCAATTTGCATCGGCATCAATTAGGCCGTGTCTTGCTCCCAGGACGCTATCGACAGCCCTCTGTACCTGTGTGAGGATTGGTACATTCCAGCACGCTCAATCTTCTGACTCGTGCCTTCTCACGGGGCACGTCAAATCTTTCAAAACGGCGGTCCTATCTCACGTCACACGGGACAGCCTTGTCCCTCCTCATCTTCTCGGGATGCAGGATATGTCTGGTCCTCAGCCGGGGCCCAGCGCTCCGGGCCGCTTCGGCCATGCCTCGAAGCCCTCGAACAGCGACACGGGCTTCTCCCACGGCGCTTTCACCTCCAACATTTCTGGCTTTGCTGACAGACATCCTCGCCGCGGAAACATTCCTACTATCAATACCCAGCCGATCCAACACCATCAGCAGGCACCCGCAAATGGCGCCGATCTGACCAGCCCAGGCACTGCTTTCGATATGCAGTTTACGCCTCTGCTCCCATCTCAGCTGCTTCTGGGCAGCCCGTTCCAGCCGGGAACCCCGGCTGCATTCGCAAGCCCGCACTTTCAGAACGTTGGCAGCTTTCAGCAGGCCCAGCAGCAGAGCCTCCAGCAGCAGCAGAACGGAGCGTCGAGCCCAGTTCAACAGAGCATCTCCCCCCAGATGTACCAGTCAATTGTTTCGCCTTCGGCTTACGGTGCCCCTCAGTTCTACTCTCCGCAGTCCCCGACAGCGTCCTTCAACAATGTGACGGGTCAGATCCAGGTTCCCATGCAGCCGACTTCGCCCGTGTCCATGGGACCAGGGATCGTAAGCGGGACAAGCCGGACAGTGTACTTGGGCAACATTCCCCCGGACACCACTGCCGAGGAGATCCTCGGGCATGTGCGCAGCGGCCAAATTGAGTCTGTCCGCCTACTCCCAGACAAGAACTGTGCTTTCATTTCGTTCTTGGATGCGAGCTCCGCCACTCATTTCCACTCTGATGCCATTTTGAAGAAACTCTGCATCAAAGGCCAGGATATCAAGATTGGATGGGGCAAGCCGTCTCAGGTGCCGACTTCGGTTGCTTTGGCTGTCCAGCAGTCTGGAGCCTCGCGAAACGTATATCTTGGGAACCTCCCTGAGGACATCACCGAGGCCGAGTTGCGCGAGGATCTGGGCAAGTTTGGTGCCATCGACACGGTGAAGATTGTGCGCGAGAAGAACATTGCTTTCGTGCACTTTCTTTCCATTGCCAACGCGATCAAGGCTGTCTCGCAGCTTCCCCAGGAGCCGAAGTGGCAATCGCCGCGCCGGGTCTACTATGGAAAGGATCGGTGCGCCTACGTTTCCAAGACTCAGCAGCAGAATGCCGCGCAGTATCTTGGAATCGCTCCTGGCTACGCGCACATGCTGACAGGTGCTGACCGTGATCTTATCTCAAACGCACTGGCTCAGCAGTCGGTTGCCGCTGCCGCTGTGGCCACCACAGCCGGTGGCATCAGTAATTTGGGCAACCGAACCATCTACCTCGGCAACATTCACCCGGAGACGACGATCGAGGAAATCTGCAACGTCGTCCGTGGCGGCCTTTTGCATCACATCCGATACATTCCTGACAAGCACATCTGCTTCGTGACCTTCATTGACCCCACAGCTGCTGCGTCCTTCTACGCCTTGAGCAATCTCCAGGGGCTCATGATCCACAACCGTCGGTTGAAGATTGGTTGGGGCAAGCACTCGGGTGCGCTTCCGCCCGCCATTGCTCTTGCCGTTAGCGGAGGCGCCTCGCGAAACGTCTATATCGGAAATCTTGATGAGACTTGGACCGAAGACCGGCTGAGACAAGACTTCTCCGAGTATGGAGAAATCGAGCTCGTCAACACGCTGCGCGAGAAGAGCTGCGCCTTTGTCAATTTCACCAACATTGCGAACGCCATTAAGGCCATCGAAGCAGTCAGGGGTAAAGAGGAGTATAAGAAGTTCAAGGTGAATTTTGGCAAGGACCGCTGCGGCAATCCGCCTCGACAGCTGCAGCAATCACAGTCTCCGCGCGGTGAGCAGGTCCCGTCGCCACCCCCTAACGGCTCGAGCCAGAACGGCAACTCGCCTACTGGCGCTACTGGTGCCGCGGCCGCCGCTGCGCTGTTTAACACGACCAACAACCCCCTGACCATGTATCTCAATCATGTCTCGCAGCAAGCGCAGCAGCAGCAACAGCAGCAGCAACATGCGCTGGTAGCTCATCAGGCCGCACTGTTTGGAACGGCTTCCTCCTCGCCGAACGAGCCTGGCCTCACCCTGGAGGTTCCTCAAGGGCCCATTTCGGGTCACCAGCAGTCAGCTAGTATCTCGAATGGATACATTAGCAACCCAAACACATCCGGACCGACGACTATTGGCGGTCTCCTCGCTCCTGGCAACCCTCGGGCCTCCCACAATCGCGCCGTGAGCCTCCCCGTGCTGGCACCCGGTTTTGAGAACGGTGGGGCAAGCCCGAACAGCCTGCACGGTAGCACCGGAGGCAGTGATGGCGAGCGCCGCGGACACCAGTACCAAGCAAGCTTTGGTGGTATGGGTGCCGGATTTGGCCTCGGCCTGCAGGGGAATTTGAATGGTTGGGTTGAGGAGGAGGTGGCCAACTAGACCTCCTCTTTGGGCGGATGCGCGTCGGAAACGGCGACCGGAAACTGGAAACAAATTGGCTATCTGCTTTAATCGCTCGGGTCGGTCCTCTGGTTTGGCGCTTATCCGTTCCATTCCTTAGTATTTCTTTTCTCATAATTGTATGCTTCCCCCTGTATTATGTTTGAATCATCTTCTTTTAGTTTTTGCCTTTCGTTCCGGGAATGGTCGCGGTCGGACCCTGCATCAGGGGAGGTCGTGGTTGAATAGCTGGGGGGGATAACTGGGGGGTAGTCGTGGCGACGAAGGAGGGTAGGGGGTTCTTACATTGGGGACAGAACTGTGGAACCCCCGGCCGGATCTACTAGATATAGGGGAGAGCCTCAGAAGGAGCAGCCATGGGAGGGAAATATACCGTCGAGGGCAAGCAACAGCGCATGGCTTCATGCTGCTCGCCGCTTAGCAGATGGGAGGTGGTAGTAGGGAAGGAAAAGCGCTGGTGTGGATGTAGAGTGTGAGTCAACGGGAGATGGGGTGATCAGGGCCGATGGCGGTATAATACACACCAATCTCTTGTATCCTCAGTCCTATGCCCTGTGAGATAACGTTATATTGGTTTCATGGCCGAGATGTCCCAAACGTGCATCAACAGTTCAACACCTGATCCGCATATATTTTAACCCTAACCCTCAACACTAACATTGCCGCGTCCTACTGTAAATCATCTCAAAAGTTGAACTGCGTCGCGCGACTCGACCAACCGGAGTCCAAAGCGACATACATACGAAGTACTTTGGAAACCGAAGTGAACCAGAGATACAATGGCCTCAAGATCCGACACCGAGCTTTTAACAGAGCATTTTGGCTACCCACCCGTTGTATGTCTCCGCTATTTTCCTCCTTCCATTGCCTGGAGGCAATCACATGCTAAACTCATACAGAGCCTCCTCGACGAGATCATCAACTCGGTGAATTTCCTCGCCGAACGCGCCCTGCACAGCATAGAACAGGGTTTACTCAATGCGCCAGCCGCGTCGCTGGGCTTTCACCGGGGTCCGGGGAAATACAGCGCATCGGCTGCCCGGCGTCCCAATGGCAGCCGAGCGGCCGGGGGAGCAGCGGTGGCCGCGGAGGAGGAGGCTCAAGACGACCCGGAAAAACGCCATCGAGACGAGGTCGAGAGCGGCACGCATCAGCTCGAGACGCTCCTCTGGGCGAGCATCGACAAGAACTTTGACCGCTTCGAGATCTACGTGCTCAGGAACATTCTGTGTCTGAAACAGCAGGAGATGGGCTGGATCAGGCTCGGGCACTACGAGGGGCTGGATTTCTCCACCGGTGGCGACGACGAGGACAGGCCCAGCGTGGACAGCGTCAATCGCCTGCGCCGCCGTCTGCAGGCCAGTCAGCGGCTGCATTGCATGCTTGTCGCCGAGCGCGCGAGAAACGCGGCCCTGTTGGCCGAGGTGAGGAGGCTTGTTGGTGTTCCTGTTGTGGCCGGGAAGAATGGGGTCAAAGACGAGGTCGAGGGAGCCAGAGTCGCAGGGGAACAGCAGCAACAAGCGGGAGGGCAAGGACCAGGGCGTGAGGCAGCGAATAAGCAGCAGCAGCAGCCGTTCCGTTTCCTCCGCGACAAGGGCCAGCTTACCGAAGGCGACGCCGAGACGCCGCTCACCACGACGACGGCGTTTTCCCTGTCGCAGTTGCAGGCTCTGCGGGCGCTGTCGGCGTCGCTGAGGGAGGTCCTTCCGAACCTGGCTGCTCCCGGCGGGGACGACGACCGAGAGGCTACTTTTGCTGGAGAAGGTGATGGTGAAAGGGGGAAGAATAAGAAGAGCTGGAGGAGGGAAAGGCTGGAGTACGTCGAGACGGCGACGCGAAAGCATCTGGAACATGTACGCGGGCTGGAACTCGGCGAAAACGGTGAGGTGAGAGACGGCGAGTGGGACGGCGGGGGACCGCACCTAGCCAAGGGTGATGTGCAGAGTCTGGAGAAGGTCGTTACCCTCCTTGGGGGTAGCGGCGATGAGCAGGATAAGATGGACGAGTCATAAGGGCTGCGCAGTTTACTACTATGTCCTTTCCGTTATGCGCCACATGTGGATTGAGATACGGAACCTAAGTAGCGGATGAATGGCTGGCTGGCAGGGATGGGTGGCGTTCGGTCTGTTGTTATGATACCATATATTGTTATCTGACCTGTTTCTTGATATTAGGGCACCCGGGCTCAAGAGTATGCTTCTATTGCCACAAGCCTGGCTTTGGTGCGGTACATAAATCTTGAAAGGGTCCATTTATACCTAGTCCAAGAAGGACTATGCGGTAGCTATGATGTACTCGCTGCCTGAGGTATCACCGGCTCAGCGGCCCCTACCTCTTCCCCTCCTTCAATCGGTTCCAATCGGGGTTCCTCGTCAGGCCTCTGCTCCTCTTCTTCCTCTTGTTTCAACTCCTCAACCCCGTCCTTCAGGGCCAGCACCGGCTCAGCTGTCTTCTTGGCCTTTGACGGATCTAGGAACCAGTCTGGCACACCACTTGCAGCATAGTCACCCCTGCCGACCCATGCTCCAAGAAGACGACTCCATTTGTAGTCGCCGCGGTATACCCGCCGAATCTCGCGGTAGGCGTAACTGTTGTAGTATGGGAGGCCTGTCTTGGGATCTCTGTACTTGGCAGGATGGTTAGTGATGACGCAGAGGGGACGATGAGCAGGCTCTGCGAAAATTGTTAGCATCCATAATGCGTCATTGCCAATAAATGGAGTTGGGCCACTCACTGGCAAGCTTGTTCATCTTTCTCCCGAACAGAATCTGCGTTTGCACCTGCCGGTCTTTGATGGCGGTTTCGTCAAAATTCTGGAGGATGATGCAACTCCGGGTTACCTTCCCTTCCCGAGGAGGTTCGGAAGCCGTAGGTGGCTCTTGTGCCGTGTCATGGGGGTTTGCGGAGGGCAGTTCCGCATTTCCCTGGGCCATTTGCAAAGGGGTAGTAGTTGATGGAGGTAGCGGGGGAGGCGGAATGGTGATCTTCGGGCTCGGTTTCGACAGTGATGAAGTCTGAACGGGATGTTGGGGTGGGATATTGGACGCAGTAACCGGTGCGGACGGAGGCATCGAAAGTGGAGAAGGCGTGTGCGAAGTACTCGCTGGAGCGAGGATATTGGACTTCTCGCCTGAGGCCGGGTATCCCAGCATGGGCATCTGACCTCCAAGCATTGGAGAGGAAACGCCGGCTGGCGGAGCAAGAATAGGCGCAGCAAGAACTCCTGAACCAGCCGGCTTGTTCTCAGGCGGGGGAGGGATGGGTGGAGGGGCCATTGTCATTGATGTAAGTGCTGGCGCTGCAGGTATTGGTGCTTCTAGGGGTGCGGGTGACCGTGGTGCAACAGTGGGCGTGCCATGATCCGCAGCATTGTCTCCAGATGGGGCTGCATTCTGGTCTAATAAAGCGATAGCATGATTGTTTTCCGTTTTGAGTCCCGGCGGTTCGTCAAGAGGCTTTGCGCTTGCCTGCTCTATTGGAGTGGCCGGTGTTGACGGCTCGCCAGCCGTCTCTGCTCCCTTGATTGCCAGCGCTGCGGCTGCCGATTGTCTCTTTTTCCGGGGCGCCTTCTCCTCCATCGACACCAGATTGCCCACGTGTTTGCTCTGGCCCTCTTGGAGCTCTTGGATACCGCTCCAGAACGTTACCACCGGCCCATCGAGCTTGCGACTGTGCAGTGCGGCAATCTTCCTGAGGCGCTCTTCTTCCCTCTGCTTCTCGGCTTCTTCCCAGCGGTTCAGGCTCTTGGAGTTCCTTTTTTCAACTATAGCAGCCTCGGCGAGGCGTTCCGCCTGGGTCATGGGCGGCTTCTTCAACGCCTCCAGCATCTTGGCCTTCTTCTCCATCTTCTCTAGTTGTTTCCTCCGCCTGAGTTCGTCGGTAACCATCTTCTGATGGAGCTGCTGCTTGCTAAGCCTCGTTGTCTGGCGCTCCGAAGCCCGTGTCGGCATGTCAGCGGGCGACGGGAGCCAACTAGTTCTCTCCGATTTCTTCTTCGGCCTCGGCTGGCGGACAGGCTGCTCGATGCGGACCTTCTTCCTGAACTTGGCCGGGATGGCCTCCTGGGCTTTCCGCTTGCGCTGGGCCATGCGCTTTTCTCGCGCTTGTCGCTCCAACTCCTTCTCCCCTTCCAATTCATCGGTATTGACCTCCTTCTCTTCTTCGTCCGAGGACGAATCCATCAGCACATCGGACGCGTCATCGTTGTTGTCGTCGGTGAAACCGGCGTCATTCTCGTCTTCGGCAAAGAGAAGCTCAAGATCGGAATCCTCGGCGGCAGGTTCCTCGTTGGCGAGCAGCGACTTCATTCGGTTCCCCGCAGTCGACCGTCTCGAGCGTGACGTGACAAGCCATTCAATCTTCTCGGGCTGGCCCGCGTCGCTTTCGCCATCGCTTTCGCTCGTGCTCTCAATATCGGACAGATCGTCCAAAGACGGTGATTTCCGCCCATCCTCGTCGGCCGCCATGTTGCACTTCAATGCCTCTTTTTTTCTCTTTTTGGCGGCCGTAGAGTCGGGGGCTTTGAGTTGTCTCCGATCTGTGATCACAGTCGATGAAAGATCCGGGAATCTGGGTGGAACCGTTCGCGTGTGCATGTGCGAACCAAGTGACAGGGTTTCGAAGCCTTGGCATCTCAGCTTTGCCCGGCGGCAAGGCGAAATTTCGCGGGAGGAGCGGGTCCTGCTGCTCCTGCCCTTCCTGCAAGTGGAACACTTCAGGCGGGCTAGCGCTGAATTGCGCCATCGTCCCTGGGGTCGACAGCCCCACATTGTCGGCTTCTCGAAGCTTGAGGCCTTTCAATGTTGTAATCCGTTTCGAGGAGCCGCATCCGATGGCCATTGTCCTTGAATTTCTAAAACGAAGTTCTCAGTCGAGCTTCGATTTCATATTGTCATCTTCATAGCAAATTGAATTCTACTAAGGAGCAATTCCACAGGCCCCTTCAGGCAGTGCGCAAGATTTCGTCCACCATGTTCCGACACGGCGCTCGAAGCTTTGCGACTAGCGCTCGCTACTGGGCGGCGGCGGCCGAACCAACCCAGCATCTCGTTGGCGTGTCCAAGGCGCAAGGGATAGCCAAAGGCTTGACAGGAGGTGACTCCTCCCGACCTATCCCCAACGAAAGCGGCATTTGTCTAACATAAAGTAGCCATCGGTAACACCCCGCTGATCCGCCTCAATCGGCTTTCTCGCGAGACCGGCTGCGAAGTGCTTGGCAAGGCCGAGTTCATGAATCCCGGCGGCTCAGTCAAGGACCGGGCCGCGCTGTACGTTGTCAAGGATGCCGAGGAGCGTGGCCTGCTGCGACCGGGGGGTACCGTGGTCGAGGGCACGGCGGGCAACACGGGTATCGGGCTAGCGCACGTCTGCCGCAGCCGAGGCTACAAGCTGGTCATCTACATGCCCGACACGCAGTCGCAGGGCAAGATTGACCTGCTGCGGCTGCTCGGCGCTGAGGTGTACCCCGTGCCCGCCGTCGCCTTCGACAACCCGCAGAATTATAACCACCAGGCTAAGCGGCACGCCGAGCGCCTGGACAACGCCGTGTGGACGAACCAGTTTGACAACGTGGCGAACCGGCGGGCTCACATAGAGACGACGGGACCCGAAATCTGGCATCAGACGGCCGGTAAGGTGGACGCCTTCACATGCGCCACCGGCACCGCAGGCACCCTGGCAGGGATTACCCGCTATTTGAAGGACGTCTCGGGCGGCAGGGTCAAGAGCTTCCTAGCCGATCCTCCCGGGAGTGTGCTGCACTCGTACATCAGCTCCGGCGGTAAACTCATTGAGCGCACGGGGTCGAGCATCACTGAGGGCATTGGCCAGGGGCGTATAACCGAGAATCTCAAGCCCGACGTGGAGCTGTTAGATGGGTCGTTGCAAATTAGCGACGAAAAGAGCATCGAAATGGTGTACAGATGTCTGGACGAGGAGGGTCTTTACCTTGGGGCGAGCTCCGCCCTGAACGTGGTCGCTGCCAAGGAGGTGGCAGAGAAGCTGGGCAAAGGCCACACTGTTGTGACGATCCTCGCCGACGGGGCGTACCGATATGCTGACAGGTTATTCTCAAGGAAATGGCTCGAGTCGAAGAAGCTGCTGTCGGCCATCCCTGAGCACCTGCAAAAGTACATCGTCCTGCCATAGCCAGCCAGCATTGCCAATATTCTTACAGATAGATATCTATATGTATAATGTACATCAACTGCAACATTCAATACCCTGCAGGACCTGGCTACGCCTCCTCCTCCTCCTCCTCCTGGGGGTTGAATATCTGATTGTACATGAGCTCGCCTCTCCCCCCCTTGATACTTTCGTGGGCGAGCGCGGCTTTTACCTCAGCCTCGACTGCGTCGGCCCGATTCTGCAGCTGCATTGCCAACCCGGGATCGACCACTTGAGCGGCCAGCGTCAAGCCGTGCAGGATAGGCGAGGCATACCAGAGATAGTTGTTCCGGTTGAGCAGATAACGCATCTTGAGGTCATCATGGTACGCAGAATCCGGCTGAAGATCGAGGAGACCAGCGCCTTCGGGCCACAGCTGCATCAGCTCCTCGGCGTACTTTGTCACCTTCCCGCTCCGGTCTTGCCCCCCCCTATGGAACACGGCTCGGGACGCACACATGTGCAGCCGCCCGGCTAGGAATTGCGGATCCCGGTGGAACGGATATCGACCCGCCGTGTTGGGCTTGGGCTGATGTTTCTTGTTGAATTCGAGTAGTTCAAAGACCATCTGTAACCTCGTGAGTGCGCCCTCGATCCTGCTCTGTTTCCATCGGCTGTCGACGGCGTATTTTTGGATGAAGCCACACAGTTCGGCGACCGACTCGTGCAGGATCAGCTTGAGGTTTGTGTCCTCGACGTGCCGTACACACTCTATCGCGATGTCGAGGCGGCCTGCCACACACGCTCTCCGGATCAGCTTGGGGATGAACGTGGCCTCTAATTTGCGACCTGACCGCTTGACGCCGTGGAGCAATGGCCGGAGGTTCTGAAAGAAGGTTGGCCTATCCTCCCAGGAATTGACGATGTCCCTGACGGTTTTCATCGTGTTGGGGTAATCGTTCACAGGATCGGTATAGTAGAACTTGTGTACCACATCGTCAATCTCCAGCCTAAGCGGATCGCGCTGCAGCTTCTCTTTCCACTTGATGCTGTGCATCTTCCTCTGCTCCTCCGCGGTCAGGTACGTCGGTAGAATGAATTTTTCCCGAAAGGCCTCGAGGGTATCATCGATCTGTTTGTTTTTTGTTTTCACAAAGGTAATGATTTGGGAAGCTAGCGAGAGCAGCCATGTTAGCTAAGGGCGGGCGCGGCGTGTTGCGAATGTCCAGAGGGTCGGAGCAGGCTTGCCTTTGTGTCCTGTTGCAGCCGCCGAGAGCGTCCTGCTTTGGAAGCCGGCACAGTTGGATATTGATACCCATGTCCTGCCCCGAGCTGCCCGAAGGGCACTGGGGGTTGTTGTGTAGAACATGGCTCCTCGCGGCGACGAACCAGGGCAGTTGACGGTGTCGACCTCGGTCCAGTGGTGAATACAAATCGACAGTCAATCGCAACATGCAAACGCGCAAAAGGCAGATGCAAGAGCGCTCCTGGTCTTCAGCCTTACCGCCTGCCCTGCTTGGTCTAGCGGACAGAAGATTTTGTGGGGCTCGAGTTCAGTACGACCCACTGGGGTTCAATCGGGAGCGATGATTGGTTTCAGATTCAACGTCTTCGAACGTTGCTTGCTTTCGCGGATTGAGTCTGACCTCCTGCTTGCTTTGCCTGCACGCGGAACGCCAGACTCAATTCCCCCACGATGAGCGTCGCACCGCTGGTAAGGCGGCCTTTGGGCTGTCTCAAGACAAGCCTACGCCAGGCCAGGCAGCAACGGACCACTATCCGAAATATGGCGACAGAAACAACAGCCTCCAATTCCACATCAGCACCAGCCCTGGAGCACGGCTTCTGTAAACCTCTTCATTTCATACTCTCCGTTCCTGGCCTGCCGTCACTGACCAAGCAACATAGTTCGCCTAACCGACCGAAAGACCAAGACCCTCCGCTCCGCCTTTGCAGTTTACCCGTCGACAGCCAAGCCCGCCGCCCCGGCAGGGGCTCCCAAAACTCTGCTGCCACCCCCAAAGAATCCGCTCGAGGCGCTGCACGCGGCGCAAATCAAAAAGATGGACCCTACGGGTGTGCGGACTGCGCTCTTTTCCAAGTCGAACCGCGAGGGGGCCAAGGTGGGCGACATCCTGCTGGTGACGCACCGGCGCGGGGGGGAGCCATTTGCCGGCGTGCTGCTGTCGATCCGGCGGCGGGGGATCGACTCTGCCATCCTGCTGCGCAACCACCTGAGCAAGGTGGGCGTGGAGATGTGGTATAAGATATACAACAAGAACGTGGCGGGCATTGAGATCGTCAAGCGCAAGCCCAAGCGGGCCCGCCGCGCGCGCCTGACCTACATGCGCAAGCCCAAGCACGACATGGGCAGCGTCGACGAGATCGTGAATGCCTGGAGGAGAAACAGGAGGGTGTTTACCACGGGCAAGCCAAGGAAGGGCGGGAAAAGGCCAGCTGCTGCAGCAGCTGCCGGGAAGAAATAGGGTGGCGTAAGGGAATTGGGAGCTGGTGCTGGCTAGGGTTATTTGTGTCTCTGCCTAGCCGTGTATACCGTGTATACCTTGTATAGAATATATTCAGAGATCTCTTGTTGTTTGACTGCGTATGCTAACTGACCAACCCCGCGATGCCAGGCCTACGCAGCCGATCGAGTATCATCTGGGCTCGAACCCAGCCTCTCAGACAATCAGCAAGCAAGATGCATTGAAAGATATCTGGGACCTCAGGGCCTTGACTGAATCTCAACAAGTCTAGATTAAAGTAGAACTATAGCTAGCTTTAAGTGAATCATGATCGTGAATATTGGAGACAAAGTTTCACGACTGGCTGCGTTGTATCGACACCCAGGATGTTGCCACGGGCATCTGGTATTGAAAAGGTGGTTGAACGCATCCGCGAGGCGTTTCTCAATCTTGTGCGTTTGATATGGTAACGTAGATGTCGTTCCGTAAGGTCTGATTTGAATACGGGACTTGGATTGGATAAGCAACAAACCCGCGTTTCAGAGTGCCACCAAGACTGAAGAGTCGCGTAGCACAGCATAGGGTGCGGATGCAGTTGCCCAGGAGACCTGAGACTTGAACTCGTATGCAGTGTGTCTTGTAATCCATGAGTCTGATACCTGCTGCACCAGGGCCGACTTTTCTTTCTCGTCAAATACCAATGTTATCATTCCTCTTCGGCACAGCGCACAGCAAAGCAACCCACTTCCCCTAGGATGACACGTTCACTCATTCACTTGCCACTACAGTGTATGTAATCGTACATCCATGAACAACAAGCCAAGTCCAAGGGCCTCATTACCAGGGAAGGTAACATAAGGAGGGAAATGAAACACAGCGGCCGCCCAAGAGACAAGAAGGACAAGAAGACAGTCCAGGTTGAACCACACTCCTACCCTTGGTTGCACCGCCCTCCAGAGATCTACTCCTCTCTTCCCAAAAGCAGGCAGGATGACCGTCGACAATCCTACCGCCCCAACCTAGAATGATCAGAAATAAGTGAATAGATAGAAAAGTTTCGCTCCTTCTTTTAGCTCCCCTTGTTGCTCGCTCTCCACGCCTTTCACTCCTAGCCGACAGAAAAACCCGCCAAGTCACCCCACCGCACCTCGGTCTTGGATAGACAGATTCTGTCCATAGCACCCTCGCCTGGAAGAAAGGAAGAAAGGGGAACGGTGAGGTAGCATCTTGTCTGCAGAAGAAACGAGAAGCAAGCCATAAAACGGAAAAGAAACATCTCTCTCAGATCTCCCAGGATCCATTTCGTATATCAACGCAGATATGCTACGGGTGTAGTCACGCCCGCAGTATAGGACAGAGGAGGAAACGCGGGATGAAGGACAAAAGGGGGGAAAGAAAAAGTCCGAAATGGGTAGGCTAAGTTTGGCCCCCCATACATCTTAGGGTGAGCTGCCCGGAGAGAAGGAGAGAGCGGGGTTGACTTGATATGTCTCGGCTCAAACTTGGGTGAACTCAATACGCCCAGATTGGTATGACGCCGACGCTGAGTCGACCTCCCCATCTCAAACAGTGAGCTGCAAGCGATTAAATTGGAGGCATCTGGGAAATAGGTCGGCGGGTAGGTTGGCGAGTATGATTGTGCATTGCGATCCTTGATATCTCCTTGACCCCGTTTCCTACACAAACAAAGTAAAGTCCAACAGAAAACCCAGAAACATCAATACAGCGTCTCTCTTTCTCTCCCGGCCCAGCCAAGCCAAACAATACCAAGCCAAGCTACAGAGTCGCGAATCTAGTACCAAGGCCTTGATTTGGTACTGGTTGTTGATAGCTGAGTTAAACCTCCCACGGCCGTGGGGCAAGGGGGAAGAATGGGAAAGTCGGGGTAATACAGTCGCCGCCCGCACAAACAAAGGCCGCCGAGAAACTATGGTGCAAAGAAGGTAAGTTTAGAAAAAGGGTAGAAGAAAAGACCACCACGGCCGCAGGAAGGCTGCCTCCGTAAACTGGTTAGACTCAAATTAGGTAGCCCAAGCCAGGTATCAGCTAAGGTGTCGGACAGGAAGATGATATCGTGACTTCCTGCTGAACACGACAGGCTGGAGATTAAGCGGGGATCGACATATCGATCAGGAACATAAATCGGAACTCGATAGTCTTTTCAGGCAGCTTGGTCGGGGTCGGGTATCCAGAGGTCAATTGTATCGGTATCGTGGGCGGATTAGTAGGCCCAGACCTTGAGCTGTACGGCTGTTAGCGACCTTGCCATCAAACCGAAACATTGTAGGGCGGTGGTCCTTACGAAAGCATCCCAAGAACCTGTGCACAAACTTATACCATCGTTTGAGACACCCAGGCAGCTGACGCGGTTCTCATGGCCAACAAGCGAGCCAACCTTCTCGCCTCGAGTAACGTCCCACACCTTTTTTGCCATTGTATTAGTATCAATCCCGAGGCGTGCAGGATACAGAATTCAGCCTACCTTGCACTCAAAGTCGTCATAACCAGCAAACAGCAGCCGCCCAGACACGGAAGTGGCAACCGAGGTGATGCCACAGAGGATCGACTCCGACTTGAGGGTTCTCATATTAGCCTCGTCATGGTGAAAAGACAGCGTCTTGGTAACTTACTCCGTAGAAATTCAACTCCCGGTCTGCGCGGATATCGAACAGCCGGCAGGTCGCATCGTCAGATCCTGTTACGAACGAGTGTCCGTCGGGGAAGAACTGGATGGCGTTGATGTCGGACTCGTGGCCAGCAAATGTCTGCACGGCCTTGCCCGCACGAATATCCCACAGCTTGGCGAATGCGTCGCAAGCACCCGAGATGAACGTGTTTTGGTTTGTGGGGTTCAGGCTGATGCTCATGACGTCGCCCAGATGATCGGCGAATTCTACGACCTTGGTCCCTGTCTCGATATCCCACTTCATGCATGTCATATCGCCCGAAGAGGTGAGAATGCTGCGGTCGTTGATGAAGCGGCAGCACGAAAGATAGCCGGCGTGGCCCGAAAGCTCGCGCGCGACGCGTGTAGGACCATCGCGGTTCTGGTTAAGGTTGTATATGGAGCAGATGTTGTCGAGACCACCACAGGCAACGTAGTTACCACTTGGTGCGTAGGCGCAAGTCATGACCCACGACGACCGGAGGGGGATGGCGTGGACCTTGTTGGTTGTGTAGGCATCCCAGATGATCAGTTTGCCGTCTTGTGATGCGGAAACGAGGTGTCTTCGATCCGTCGACCAGTGCATGGCATAAATCTTGGCGAGATGGCCCTTCAATGTCCTCTTCGTCCTCATCAGCTGGTTCTTGGGAATCGGTTCGTGGGCCTGGGCGGCGACAGCGCGGACTGATTTGAACGCAACACGTGTAAGCTGGCGTGCACAAGAGCCGCAATGACTTGATGATGGAATATACTCACGCGTTGTATCGGCAAGCTCCTCCTTCTTCCTCTTAATCCTGTCTTTGAGCGTCTCAGCCTCGCGACGTGCCTGTTGGATGCGTGCCTGCATCGCCTCTGGCGACGCATCGCTCGGCCGGCCTGAATCCATCTCTGCGGATGTGCTTGGTCAATTGAACCGGAATTGGCGAATCTGCACAATTTTTTTCTAGCAGCGATGGTTCGGCCGGGTTGAGCGCGAGTGATGCTTAATTGGGAGGTTTTGGTGTGGTCGATTGCTGGCGCAGTGGCTGGAGAATGCGAGCTCCAGGGGTTTGGGTGCCGACCAGTAAAACAGCTGGACAGACGGGGACGGGTACTGGGAACGAAATGACCTCCGCTGCAACTTGTTACCGAAGAGTGGAGAGGGGCGATCGATGGAAGGCGAGCAACTCTGAGGGGCAGCACCTAGAGAAACCCAAAAGCTGCCAATAAGTTCGCCTATGTGAAGCGATGTCGAATACAAAAACAAACGAGAAGGAACAGAAACACAAGTATGGCTTATCTTGTAAGGTCCTCCGGGAGTAAGGGCAGGACAAGGGAAGAGTGGAGGTGCAATGAATAGGAGAAAAGGTTTGGTGTGCCTCGACTGCGGTCGGGTTTGGGAGAAGGATGTTCGTTATTACGTGGTATTACGCTGCGTTACCCCGTTTTGATTTGGATTGGATTGGGAGGGTCGACGAAAACGACTAGGGGACCCCAAATTCAAGGTTGCAGGGTGCCGTTCAAGATGCAGGAGACGAGACCGACGAGGGTCGGTAAGCCGGGTCAAGGACGGGTTATGTCAGCTGCTGCTGCCGAGCAAGCGACTGTCCTTTCGGTCGGCACCTGGTTTGCGCCTTAGTTTCTCTGTGACGATGATTGCAATGCAATGCTGTTCCTCACCTCGTCCTCATGCTTGGAAGTAGTGAGATCGAACGGGTTGTGTATCCTTATGTAGGTGCTAAGTGCTAACTGTCACTGCACCATCTCATTCCCCGACCTCAAGGCTCACCGGGAGCAACAAACGACGTGCGCGCACTCCAGGTCCTCCTGCAATCGGACATTACACTCACACTAGCTCTGGGGCACAGACCATGCACAATTCCTCCACCGCTACGGTAAGTTACAGTACCATAATCATTGCATTGCCAAGAGGCTGAAGAGGGCAGCTCCAAGATGGAGTGGAAATCTCGGGATTTCTTCGATTTATTTTTCTTTCCCTGTACATACATACACCCAGGCTAACAGGTGAATGGAGCTGTACAGTAGTTTCCCTCTTCCAAGAAACCAGAAGTTGAGGATCCCCTGAGAAGAATGCCATTACTAGCCCAGCAAAGGAATTTGTTCACCTTCTGGTGAATCAGGTCCAAGACAAGACCATTTGCCAATGCAATTTTGAAAGTTAACACTGCGTTCCGCACGGACCCAGCACCAGCCTCCTCTGTATTGGTACATACCTCTCTCTGCTTGGTGATAATCGCATTAATGATTACTAGTACTGCGTACTCTCAAGAATGGAGAGCAGGGCGACCCTCGGCATTGACGGCAAGCCAAGCTTCCCTAGTGCTCTGGTCATCCGTTGGATACTACGGATACCTATGTTATCCGTACAGTACACTAGGTAGATCTGCGTTCCATTTCTCAGGGGCCACTCTGAGAACGGGGTAGATGGCGAGTACCCAACTGCAGGAAAAGGGTCAAGCCGCTTTGACGGTTTTATAAATGACCCGAGCTTATACGCAACTCAAGTCGCCCTCCAGTTGATAGGTATTTACTCACCTACGTCCTTACGTGCATAACTAAACCATCCGCAGCGCCTCCCGTCATCGAATTGCAGGCTACATACTAGTCGGCGGCGCTGGCGCTAGCCTTTGGGCTGCGGGCGCACGACAGATCGGCAGTCCCCATCATGAGGCGCATCCATCCGCTTCGGCAGCATCCGGCATCCCCGCGAAGGAGCTGGGGGCAGACGCCACTGTACATACTGGTTGTATGTAGTGTGAATGGTGATTTGGCTGGTGGACGATAGCTTCGGTCACGCGACCCCTTTCACTTGACGCCTATGACTACGTGGAAATCCATGAGATATTGGTACACTGTCCGTCGTCCACTAATTACCTACAGTATGTAGAGCAACCCGTCCTCAGAGTGTTCCATGCCGACAGAAGTCCAAACCCACGACCCCTGACTTTAGCTGGCATGAGGCAAACCAAAAAGGCTCGACTGATGGTTCAATCAACAGACGGAAACATCTTATCTGAGCGCCCTCCCGAGTTTCGTTTGTTTCCTCTATCTCCGCTCAACTACGAGCTACCTATTTCTAATGTTTAGGAAACCAACAAGCGAGTGGAGTCTCGTTGAGCTGAAACAAGTCGATACCTCCCCGATTCAAGTCATGGGGAATCAATCAAGCCACATGTGCCTCTCCAGTACATTCCATCGTATTATAGGACGCCTGCCGCCTCCCCAAAATCAAAGTGACCCTTCCCATCCGGTGATGCGTTTGCCTTCTCAAGGACGGAACACCTAAAACGCCAACAAAACAAGCAGCGGTATCTTTAAAAAGAGCATCTCTCAGTGGATAGTGCTTGGTCCAGGAGGATGTGCATCGAGATCGACTGTTTCGATTTGGTGGCGTTGATGGGCGCTTCTTTGGGCAAGATTGGTAAAGTATTTGAGAGCGTTGTGGCTCTCCTTGCGCACTTTAAGCGTCTCGTCACGTCGGCTGCCGAGCTGCTCAACGGAACGTTGAAGGCCAACTCGCAACGAGTTGGATGGTATATACAGAACCTTACGCACCGTGCTCGAGATGCGAGTGCTGTTCGAGTGGACATAGTCGATGGAATCGAGCTGGTGCGAGATCTTGCTGCTGAGACGATGAGGCAGCGAGTGCGGGATCTGGTTAAGGACGTAGAAGGCCATTGCGACAGCTTTCATGGGTTAGTAGTGTACTAGACGAGGAAAGGCACCGAGACTCCGGCCAGATTGTAGCTTACCTGCTGCAATCATACCGGGAACGATAAGCCGGCGGAGATTGTCGCTCCCAAGCACCTGAGCAGCACGGAGCGCAACGCTCATGTGGCCATAACCGCCAATCACTCCCGTGCCCACAACGCCAGCAACCGTCAGGACCATGCCGGCCTTCTCTTCCCTCTGGAACAGCGTGGACCAGTCGATAAAGTCCCAGAACTCTGTCGATACATGCACGTGACGAGCCAGTGCATGCTTCTTCGTTTGAAACATGATATCAGACTTGAAGTTGAGGTTCTCAAATTCGTTCCCCAAGTGAAGAATGCCCAGCTGCTTGATCATGTTGACACCTCTGACAGTCCGGCTGCGGGCGTGCTCTTCACATTGCACCACCGATGCGGCAATCTGCGAGAGCATCGCCTCCTTGAGTTCGTCTGCATACTGGAACGCACCAAACAATCCCGGGTAGGGGATACCGAGATCATGTTCCCCAGCATGAGCGATTGCCGAGCTTATAGTTGAACGGGAGTAATCATAGACCTCCTTGCAGGTTTCTTCGATGGTCTGGTCGATCTGGTCGCTGATTTCTGAACTAGCCTTCTTGCTGGACTCGAGCTGAGGTTCGATAATCCGCAACTCCTTGTCCACCCTGTCGAACTCGGATTGTGCGACTTCAGCATTGACCGTAGCTAGCAGATTGACGTCGTTCAGGATGTTTATAAGATACGTCTTGGCCGGGGCCAGCTTGGAGCGCGCGCGCTTTTCCAGGACGAACCTGCGCAAGGACTGTTCAAGAGCGGAGAAGTCTCGCACCATCTCCTTCTGCTTGCCTTTACCTTTTGGATCATTGTCTCCCGGGTCGTCGTCGAACCCACTGCCGCTTGCACTGCCAGAGCCACCACCCCCAGGACCCCCTGGTGGAGCAGGTGCCATGGGTATAGCTGCGCTGGACACGAAATGAACCAGCTCGGCGGCCTCCTTGTGCGTGGCGGGACTCAGCGCACTGATTTGGTTGAGGATCAGTTTCTGGCATCGCTCCTTATCCTTAATAGTGTCGTAGCCGTTGACCACGATGAAGAGATAGGCCTTTTCGGCGGCGGCAGCCCTGATAAACTCGGTCGACGTTTGGGTAAAGTGATTGCTGGCGGAGACAACAAACACGACTACGTCAATCTCTTCTTGCCGCGCAAAAATGGCAGTGGTTTTGGTGGTGTCCATGTTCAGCCCGGGGGCATCGATCAGGGCAATATCCACCACGCCATTGTTGAGAAGAGATTCGTCTATGGTCCTAACGTCCCGGACATACACCTTGCACTGCATGTACAATGTGTTGTCCACGACAATCTTTTCCAGCTCTTGCAGTGAGTAGACGTCGTATGTGGACTCGTCGTGCCGGTCGTAGATTGCGTCTTTGTGGACGGCATGGACTTCTTCAATGCCGCAATTCTCGCGCGCGTCGAGGACCTCGCAAAAGATGCTAGTACACGGTTGCTGGTCTTCTGGGAGAATCTTGCGCCGCAACAATGCATTGCAAAAAGTTGACTTGCCCGCATTCAAATCGCCCGTCACCAGAACCTTGCTTGACGTGTCCTCAATGCGCTCCCGGAGGGACTGTAGGTGTTTGATGCTCGACTGGATCCTGCCATCTAGTAAGGCAGCAATCGACCCTTTCTCCAATGAATGTACGAGTTCGGCTTGGTGCAATGCGCCCAACTTCAGATCCAGCTTCAGGACGGAAAATTCCTGCGCGATTTGGGGAGTGACAAGCCGTGGTTCTGGTGGTGGCCTGTTCTCGGCAGTCCTGCTGGACTCGGCTTCAGCATCCTCAAGAGAGGTCATAGCTCGTCGAAGAGGCGGGGCCGGCGTCGCGAATGATGGCGTATTTGCGAGGTCTCCGGCGACCGAGTAGGATTGGTGAAGACCGGGCCTCGAGGCTGGCTGTGACGGTGCGTCGAGCGCAGCTCGCTGGACTGATGGATAATGCGCCGGCCATACCGCGTTCTTCTCCTGGAGCTCCCTCAACAGCTCAACAACAGCGCTGATGGCGCGGCCTAGAGTTGCACGGTGCTGGTTGTACCAGAGCTGGTGAACGGCTCCCGCCTGGGCGCGATGGTCGGGAGTGGCGACGTGGTTCGAGGAAGGGCGTACCTGGGAATGTATTGGCCTATCTTCATGGATTGCACGATCCCAAACTGCGGCAGCGCTCAGGTGGGGCATGGGCGATGGGCTTACATCGTCACCGGCAACGCTGCCGCCGTATCCAGAGTCCTGATCGAGCATGGCCTGCAAGCGCGCGGCATGCTGCGAAGTCGAGCCTGTGCCAACAGTCATATAGGCAGGTGCGTTCGACGCCATCGGAACTCTTGGACGATTCGAACTGGAACCCGACGCGCTCTCTGCTTCGCCGTCCTCGTCATGGTCCTGCCTCAAGACCCCCTTGCCCTTGGGTGAAAAATATTCCTGGCTCATTTTCGAGGGTGCCTCGACAGGATCGTCGCGAGGATTGATGATGATCTTAAGTTGCAAGTCGTTACGGAGAGTCGCCACCGACAGTAGTGAACGGTTTGTTAGTTTTCGACGTCAAGTAGTTTACGCATGATTTTTGTATACGGTAGGATTGATTGGAACGGCATTATTGGACACCGGAAGAGTGTCGACGTACATAACGAAAGGCATTTGTGAGCCACTTGGATGGGACACCTGCGCCACAACGGGAGGCAGTGGGTCCATAAAAATCTCCATCCGCATTCCACACTCCACAGTGATCTCATACCGTGACCCGTCATCAGCCTCGGCGCACTGTGACTTGTCTGCGTGGCTTGTGCCGCGCTTCTTGCCCAGAGCTGCTGCCTCACCCATCAACAGACGAAGCACCTCGCATAGCAAGCCCGCGATTTTCTCTAGTACACGGGTTTCTTCTGCTTACCTTGGCTTTACCGTGTCGAAGATTCGTTCGTTTCCGACGGTTTAGCTGAAACCTCTCTCAACCGCCAACATGAATGTCAGCGTCCCTGAGTGGCAGACTTCGCAATCAAGAAGCTGAGGCTGACAATTCCCTAGATTCTGGAATGGGCTTTCGGCAAGCGCATGACGCCAGCGGAGCGTCTACGCAAGAACCAGCGGCTCCTTGACAAGGCCATCAGAGAGCTGGACCAGCAGAGGGTCAAATTGGAGAAGCAGGAGAAGACACTCATATCCCAAATTCGCCAGAGTGCACAGAAGGGCCAAATGGGTGCTTGCAAGATCCAGGCGAAGGATCTCGTCCGCACGCGAAGGTGCATCCCATTTCTTGCATATCTCTTAGCTCGCTGCTGACGAATCTTGACCAGGTTTATTGAGAAATTCTATGGAATGAGGAGTCAACTACAAAAGATATCGCTCCGTCTTCAGGTCAGTATGCCAGCGGGGAACCCAGGATCCGTTCACTGACATGCTGCCGCCGCTAGACATACCGGACAAATGAGCAAATGATGCAGGCGATGAAGGGTGCAACGACGGCGCTGGGGAGCATGAACCGCACAATGAACCTCCCTTCGCTCCAACGAATCGCGATGGAATTTGAACGTGAGAACGATATTATGGAGCAACGACAGGAGATGATGGACGACGCAATTGATGACGCCATGGACGTTGGCGTCGATGAGGAGGGAGACGAGGTAGTGGAGCAGGTATTGGAGGAAATCGGTGTCGACCTAAGCCAAGCTGTAGGTCTACCCTTCACAGTTCATCAACCTAACCGCCTGCTGACCTGTATGTTTTCTAGCTTGGTGAGACACCATCAGGGTTGCAGTCAAGTGCTGTAGCAGAGCCTAGAGTGGCACAGGCTGTGGGTAGCGGCGGGGGCGACCCAGGCGACGATGATCTCCAGGCACGGCTGGACAGCCTAAGAAAGTGATATGGAACTATGGTTAGGTAATGGGTGCCGCCAGTCACGACTCCATCTATGCGGGACCGCAGACCGAGACACTGGACTGGCGGGTGAGTCTTCGGCTGGGTACTGACGGCTCATAAAGCATGCTTCCGAAGCGCAGCATGCCACACCAAGGCATGTCTTGCATCGAATGGAACGTTGGGCTAGGAGTTGCCCTTTGTTGTCGTCAGATGGAGATGCGAGGAGTTTCGGCCTGTTTGGCGTTAATGGCGTACGTGAAGTGTTAGGTTGAGGTGGGTTTTAATGGCTTTGGTATCTGGGCATGCGAGCTACAAACCTTGAACGCCATTAGCACTGGCTGGCGGTTCAGGACTGATAGACAGGGTTTTGCAAATCGCTAGAGTCCAGAGAAGCCGCAAATATTTGGTCATCTGCCGCATCCTCCTGCATTGCAGACGGGATGCCCAATATTGCAAAGTTTGGAGCTCGGCTCGCACCCTTCTCCGGCCAGTCAGATCGGAGTATACGGGTCGATTCCCAGGGTCCTAACTAAACTGAGGTAGTCCGATGCGCCAACTTACACTGGCAAGTCCTCGCACCGCTGAACAGACTGTGGTCCTCTTGGAAGAACGACAGGCCTTTCCTCGCGGACCTAACATTCGCCTTGCCGCTTCCAATCAGCGGTCCAGAAACAGTGGCTGATTGAAAGGGGCGCGTATCCAACTGCATGGGTTCCCTTTCAAACAAAGGACGGATTTCCTAATGTACGGATCACACCTACACCTATGGATAACAAAGCCATAGGCTACTACCGTAATCTCCTCGGGCCGCCTTCTACTAGGTACACTCCTCGTCGTACTATTTAGTAGTAGGTAGTAGTAGGTATCCCACCGTACTGTAAATGAGGCGCATTGTGCCCCTCATGTAAATGTAGTTGGTACAGTGCGGGGTCGGCAGCTGGTCAGAATACCCCACTCCGCGGCGACTCCTGCCGCCCGCTGCTCGCCCGCTAGCATTACCAAGGAGCAAGGTAAAGCTCAAGTTGTGTTCTGAACAATCTCATGAAATGAGGTGCGCGCTGCAGCATAACACCACCCACCCGGAAGGACGAGACTGACTGACGCTGCCTGCCTACCCGACACTATTACCTGTAGCTACCATACAGGGCAGCTTTCCCGTCGCCCTCTGTCCCGTCGCAGCCCAAGCCCGCTAGGTAGCATGAGCCAAGGCCAATACCTTACTAGTAGTGATTACGTAGATACGTGAGTACAGTACCTTAGGTATGTGCAACGCCGTTGAGGCTCCTGGCAAGTCCGTGATCTTTTTCTATTTCCTCACCGTTTCCTGTCACCAGGCACAGCGTCGATTATCTTTTCGTTTGCCCATTTACACCGTTGCGACCTCCGGTTGTGCTGGAACGTCGCAGCTTTGGGCATTACATCATCCCAGGTGCTTCACAAGACGCCTCCCTCAGCGAAAACCAGGCACCAACCCACACACTAACGAGATTGCCCGCATCCGCACTCGTTGGGCATTGTTTCCCGTCGCCTCTTTCCCATCCAACATCATCCAAGAGAGTGTCTACTAGTCTATATGGACTGTGCGAACTGAAAGGCGCATTTCTGGCCAGCCTTTTAACTTTTCGACATTACTCTGTACATTACGACATATTGTCTTCTGCTTTAGGCCGCCATTGCCGTAGCGCAAGCTTTCCGACTACTCACCCTCCTCTTTCTCCTTCCCTTCTCCGTCACCAACCAATCTGGCAGGCAACAAGCGACGCAGTCTCTCCTCTCAGGGAGGTCTGCTGAATAGAATGTTTGGCGGCAGTTCAAACTCGGCGGGTTCCAAATCCGAGACTAGCGCCGTATCTGATTCGAGTAGCAACCGGAGAGACAAATCCGGCAGCAAGTCGCCTTCCCCAGAGAAAGACGCTGTCAGCGCCGACCCCGACTCACCATCCTCGATCAAGAACTCGAATCAGACTGGGAACGTTGAGAAGCGGACCGGCAATGGCAGCCCTCCTAGCGCAGCCAGTTCCACAGAGCAGAAGAAACGACGGAGTAGTGGGGTGAGCGGCCGAGCCAGCAGCCTGATGGCCCAAGCAAAAAACACCTTCTTTACCCAGGTTGGGAGTCGTACCAACAACGATCCGGGTGCTGACACAAAGTCGTCTAACCAGACTCCTTTGCAAAAGCTCGGCAAGCAGGACCAAACTCTTGCTGTACCCCAAGGCCAGCACAACAATGCCGCTGGCCAGTCAATGCCGGGCCCTCGATCGACATTCAGAGTCGGGGTCTGGGAAGATCGGAATAAGAAATGTAGGCGCACCATGGAGGACACGCATGCCTTCCTCTACAACTTTCTACACACTCCGGCTCCTGCGCTTGGAACCGAGAGCGGTAGCCAAAAGCAGACAAAGTCTGCAAACGACGGTGAAGTTGCAAACGAGACTCAAGGACAAGACGTGATGGAGACCGATAACGGGTATTTTGCAATCTTTGACGGGCATGCTGGTACCTTCGCCGCGGATTGGTGTGGAAAGAAGCTGCACATTATACTTGAAGACATCATTAGGAAAAACCCAAACTCCCCTATACCGGAGTTACTCGACCAGACCTTTACAGCCGTCGATGCACAGCTGGAGAAGCTACCGCTCAAGAATAGCGGCTGCACGGCCGCCATCGCCGTGCTTCGCTGGGAGGACAGAGTGCCCAGCAGCTTGTCAGCTACTGGGTCTCAGGCTATCGCGCCAGCTGTAGCCAAAGCAGCGGAAGAGGCTTCCAAAACTGACGAGGCGAAGCTGAGCGAGAGCTCATCGATGGTGACTCCGGAAACCGCCCATGCAAGGTTAAAAAGTACGGCAACAAGGCAACGCGTTCTTTACACGGCGAATGTTGGAGACGCGCGCATCATCCTCTGTCGTCAGGGGAAGGCCCTTCGGCTGTCGTATGACCACAAGGGTAGCGACGAGAACGAGGGCAAGCGAATTGCCAACGCTGGCGGTTTGATACTCAACAATCGCGTCAATGGCGTACTTGCCGTCACCCGGGCCCTTGGCGACACATACATGAAAGATCTGGTGACTGGTCACCCTTATACCACCGAGACCGTCATTCAGCCGGATTTGGACGAGTTCATCATTATCGCTTGCGATGGGGTAAGTTTGGGGATATTGACATAATATGAATGTCTGGTGCGCTAACTAGGTGCTGTAGCTGTGGGATGTCTGCTCTGACCAAGACGCAGTAGACCTCGTTCGTCACATCCAGGATCCAGTGGCAGCAGCCAAATTACTGGTCGACCACGCCCTCTCCCGCTTCAGCACTGATAACTTGTCTTGCATGATTATTCGCCTGGACAAGGAGGCTCTGCTGGACCATCAAAACAAGAAGTCTAGCGCCATCGGGGTTGAGGGAGATGCTGCCAACGTCTCAGGCAAGGTCAGCGAGGTTGACAAGATTGTGAGCACAACCATCGCCAAGATATCCGAGGGTGGCACGCCTGCGGTGGGCATTTCTGCCAGCAACAACGGTCAAGGCCATGATCCTGTTCCGCAGGAGGATGGCGACGCTAGTTTCACGCCGACGGTGATTGAGGGCCCCGTGAAGGAGGAGCCAGCCTCGATCGAGGATTCACCCGACGCCGCTATGGATCAGCCAGGAGACTTGCTGAGAGACTCAGATAAGAATTCACCACCGAAGAGTTCCTAGCATGGGTTTTGGCGGTGGTGCTTGACTTTGCGGGGCTTGTTTAGGCGGCAAAATCCTGCGGATTCTGAAGGGCACAAGAGGGGACCGCTTGGGTGCCCGAGCTGATCGTGCGTGCACGTACTGTTCCCAGGCATCTGCCTCTCGAATGACTATCGACGTGGAATTGCTGCGGTTGAGGTGTCTACTGAGCGGGGCAATTGTTGGTGAACATGGACATGGACTTAGTTTCGGGACTTGCGGGCAAAGGCAGATCGGGTACGCTTGGCGGATATTGGCATCAGGCGAAAGCAAGAGCGAGGGCGCGTAGATGGGAGGGTTTTGCACTGGCTTTTGGCTTGCTTATTCAATTGTCTGTAAATGTACGGCACACAAATGACCCGGCCGGCCGTATTCCGGCTACGGACTCCGAATACCGGACTCGTTGGCCCGGGTTCATCAAGCAAAATAACGTTAGGGGCTTAATATATCTCCCTGTCAATCTTGCAGCTTGTGCATGCTAGAGCCCTTAGAGGACGACAATGTGCTCTCATTCTACGAACATCCTTCAATCCAAGCAACCTCCTAAACGTTTGGGCGCGTGATAGAAAAGAGCGAGGCGCTCATATCCCCAGTTCCACCCTGTTCCATCCTAGCCATCGTCTTCCTCATGGCAGTCCCGGCCATCCCGCTCACCCCGCGCTGGTACACCGCCTCGGCCAGCATCCGCAACTGCATCGGAAACTGTGGGTCCCCGTACCGCTCGATGACCGCTGCCTTGTCCACCTTCCCGCGTCGGGACAGGTTAAGCCACTCGCACAGCTCGGTATCGTTCCCACCGGCCTGCTGTCCCTGCCCCTGGGCGAGGCTTAAATACGCCTCTTGCTTGGATTCGTCCCACCACGGCGGCAGGATGGTGGCGTTGCTGTTGCCGCTGCGGCTGCCTCTGGCCGCAGCCAGCTCCAAAAAGCGGCGGAAGCCGGCCAGGGGCGTTTGGCTGGCCCCGGAAAGCCCGCCAAAGATCTCGTCCCGCAGCTTGGCCGGCCCGTCAAAGTTGAGTGTATCGGTCACCCGTAGCCGGTAGGCGTCGATGAGTAACGTGTACACGTCCTGCTCCGGCATGGGCGGATGAAGATAGGTCGAATTGTCCAGCCTTGTGAAGGGTTGCCGGATGGGCTGGCTTAGAGCTTTGGGAGAACGCATGCCTCCCGAGGTGCCAGTGCTGGTGCTGTTGCCTGGGTCTGTGGTGGAGGTGGAAGCCGATGAGGGCCTGCTGGTACCGCAGGACCGTTTGTGAGATTTCCAATCTGCTTTCTGGCATTCACGGGAGCAGTAGAACGTCGTCGAGCACTTTGCGCAGTGCTTGAGGGAGACGTCAGGGGGCGAACGCTGACAGCTCGCGCAGGACCGGGCGGAGGTGGCCATGGTGAGAGTGCTTCAAGATTGATGGAATTGGAGAAGGATAGAGGCTTCGGGGTCTGACAGGATGATAGGTAGGTAAACAGTTCTCCTCTCGAACGAAGCTGGACTTGGTGAGTTCAAGTGGGCTGAGATCGAAGCTAAGGAATCCCTATATAACGTCACAGGCTGGGGTTTGTCCTAGGCTTGCTCCTACCTCACAGCCAGTGTTTGAGCTTTGAAGAGGCGTTTGCACCCCAAACACAGTCACTCTCGTCACCGAATCAGATCCACTGAGCAACCGAGCCATCATGATGATGATAAGGTCATGATATACGGATAATGCATCTAAAGCCAGGCGCCAATGGGGCTGAGGATACAGTTTTCGCTTCCTCAACGGGAAAGGTTACTAAGTTAGGCTTACCTACGGAGTACAGCGTTTAGGTTCGCCAGGGGGCGACACGGCAACCTCGCGTGAGCTCTGTTTGGTTTGAATGGCTGGTTCCAGTTGATATACCGGCATCAGTGGATATGCTGAGGATGGCGCACGCCGATCTGGAAGGAGAAGCACCCCGCATGCACGACATCTCTCAAGTTGACTGGAGCCACGAGAGCCCGTCGGTTCAGGTTTGCTGTCTCCTAGAAAAGCTAGCGTGGAGATTGGCGGGCAAGAAGGGGGAATGCATGGCCGATGACCCGAGATGTCAAAGCGGATGTTGGGTTCTGGTGTTGTCGGCAACGGGTGGTCGCAGCGGGGATGGATTGGGATGATAAAGATAGTATGTACGGAGTATCCGTAGATGGGGCTGCCGTAGGTGCGTCCATACAAGTGTCTACAATACAACCCTTGTTTGTTTGTTAGCGCGGAACTCAGGACATGGGTCCCGGTTCAAATTTCAAAAAGATGCATCTCAACAGTCATAAGGAGTATGTCAACGAGGAAAAGTAAAGTATCTAGCAATATTCAGAATGTTCCATTTCAACTGTCTGTTTATCTGTGCAAAAAGTGGCTGTTTTGCTGTTGAGATTTGAAGTTTGGGTTTGAGCCCAGTCTACAAGTCAGGCGCTAGCGAACAAACAAGGGGGGTATTGTACTAGAGCCCTGCGGTAACTTACGGTAAGTTACATATGTATGAAGTACTTCGTATTGTACAATACATACATACAATACGGATACCTCCGTGATGTTTGCGAAGGGCAGAGCAGCTAGCGCATTGATCAGCGTCGGGGTTCACTGCACTCTCGTGGTCAACCGGGCAGAGAAGATTTCCGACAATCTTATCCAATTCCAACTTCTTAGGCGTCGGGTACAAGACAATATCTCCAGTTTTCTGGCATCAACGCTAACTGGAGAAGCCGAAGCTGGTGCTTGGTTATGTTCAACATTTCAAGGCCTCTCATCGATGTCCTCGATGGTTCGTTGGAAGCATTACGTCTTGATGTTTGAAACGAAAGTACCGAAACTGGTCCCTAGAACGGTTGGATCGGCTGGCTGGGGCATCCCTTCTCCAAACTTCCAAAGGGAGAGATGAATTTGGAAATTGTACTCCAATATTGCTGTAAAATACAATACATACCTATTACATAGCGTTCTAGATTCTTTGGTCTAGCACATAGTGAAAGCGCCACAAGCATCTTGCTCTAGAAAAACAGAGAGAAGAATGAAAGAGCAAGATAGTACTCCAAAGAGTCAACCTTTCAATCCCTGATCAAATTGGCTGTTGCGGGCCCAGTAGGTATTGCAGGATTGGCTGCTCTGTAATTACAGCAAACGCTAACATGGGCGAAGATGTTCCTTGTCACTTGTCATCACGGGCACCCCACTCCCCCAGACCCCTGCGCTAGTCGCGGTTCCCTTCTCGTCCCCCTTATTAATGAAGGCCCAATGATAGCCTCCTAAAATATCTCACTTGGAGGAAGGGCAATTAACGTTAGCGGACGTCTCTGCAACACACCTCCTTATCGAACCTATCCATCCCCTCATTAAACCTAGGTAATTTTTTTTTTCTCTTTCGCTCCGGTTTGGTCTCGACGTCGACGACAGCACTGTCCTTCGCCTGCCTCTTCTTGACAGCCGCCAAAAGCGACCGGTTCCGGCCCAGCCTACGCTCCTTATTCTCTTCAGTCTGCCCTCGATTGCTTGAGCTTGCTCCTATCTTTGTCACCTGTTATTCTTCGTTTAGTTTATCCGTGTCTCGTTCTCGGACGACGTTCCCATTCCCGGCGGCTTGTCAAGAAAGCTCTGAGCGACCAGACTAGACGTGTACAGTACCTGGCTCATGGCTCGATTTCCGATGCTAGCCTAGGAGATCCGCAGCGATCCCTCGTGTGAATCCCGTTCCATGTCCTTGCGCGCCTCTACTGGCCCGCTCCTCGCTTCTCGACGGGCCAATTGCTCCATGTAACCTCTGAGCTCAGCCTCGCCTACTGCCCCTGAGCCGGTGTTTTGCAGCCTTGCCGTCGTGCCACACAGCTTTAGCCATACTCGCCCATTTTAGCCAGCAGTCGCGGATACACAGCTCGAACTGGCGTGACGCGAGTCGGTAATCGGAGATGTCATTAAATGGCTTGGACGATCCCAGAGTTAAGGAGGCTTATGAGGCAGCTGCCGCAGAGCCAGGAGGATGGTACGACCTCACCTCTGTTTCCTTAACCATGGTGTGACCGTCTTGTGCGCTGACTTTCGCATTTCGAATAGGTTCCTGCTGAAGTATGCCAGCCGCGATGAGGTTGAGCTGCTCGGCCGTGGTAACGGTGGCATTGTCGAGATACGTAATAACATCGCGCAGTACGAGGAGAAGTCGCCGCTGTATGGGTTCTTGAGGTACCGACGCCGCAATGTCATTATCAAATACTTGCCGGAGGATTGTTCCAGACTCATCCAAGGTGCGTTGGATCGCTTTCTGGTTCTTTTATGGCTTTGAGGCTTATCCAACCTCTGTGCAGCACGAGTGGCTGTCCATTTCACCGCTGTATGCGACCGCTTCTCGCCGCATGATACTACCTTCTCCATTGCGGAATCCAAGGAGCTCAAGGACACAAAGCTTTCGGCTGCCTGCTCCTTGCACACGGCGTCCGGCTCGACATCTTCTTCAACGAGCTCATTGCGTCGGAGACGGTTGATGGAAATTGCCGAGGAAGAGGAGGAGGAAGCACGGGAAAGGAAGCGTCAGTCACTAGTCAAAGAGGAGGAGCGGCACGGCCCGAGTGCGCCGCTGACCTCTGAGCCGCCCGGACCCGCAAAACTGAACGCAGATCTCGCCAATTTGCCCGAGGCCGCGCGGTTCACGAGTCAATTAGAGCCGCCGGTTTTCACAGGCGTTCCCAGACCCTCTTCACCAGCAAAGTCCTTTGATGAGGCTGCCCGTCGCATGTTGTCACAGTCATCGCGGCACGAACTGTATCCAACTTCTTCTTACCCATACTCTAAGCCACGAGTGAAGCTTGGCCCGAGGCCTTCGGTGGAGATAAGTGGCCGGCCCCGGTCAGCTGCCGGAGGAGCGGCAAACAGGCCCGTGTCGACAGTTCCCGCCGGGCTAAAATCATTGTCCAAGGGTTCCAGAAAGGGCCGCACTCACGAACACGACGAAGAAGCACCAGAATCCGAACTCAAAGAAGAGCCAAAAGATCCCTTCCAGCAGTCAGTTGCCGGATTTAACATGGATCCATCTGACGGCGAACCGGCGCGACCGCACACGAGCAGTGGAGCTCATGCCGCAATTGCCACGCCGTCTCCGCTCAAGATCAACATGCCTGCCATTGCTTTACCGCCCAACAAGCAGAGCACAATGACTCCCGAAAAGGCCCGTCTATTGAAAGCGATGAAGTTGAGGGAACAGAAGAAAGTCTCGAACTTGCAGTCAACACTGGACCTCCCTGCTCCTGACATGCCATCCGCCCCAGGCGTTCCGGATGAGAGCGACAATACAAACCCCGAAACACGGGCAATTTCGCCGCTAGCCGAGGATACGCTCCCAGAAGCGAACAGCCAGCAAAATGACGGCCCTTCTGACTTGAAAGCGGACCCTGAACCTGATTTCGATGCCGAGCCGGATCGTACCTCAGTTGATACCCACACGGATTCGCACCCTGCGTCTCCTTTGGCCGCTTCGGACATTGGCGATTCTACACAGGCCTCCTCGTTATCCGAGTCGACCGATGAAACACTCCTCGCCAAGGATCAAGGCCCGAGTCAAGAGGCGGAAGCCGACACACAAATTGCAGCCATCGCAGACAACGAAATTCTGCCATTAGAGAAAGGCGCTGATGCTGCTGAGGTTGGGTTGACCAATGGTGACTCGGAGAATGATAAAGCCGCAATGGATGGACGTGGGCGAGTAGATGACGAGGGTCCCGCGGTGGTCAAGGAAGATATTGAGCAGGAAAATGGAACTTCAAACCCAACACCCGACGGCGAGGCTGACAGATCCTCGGCAATCTCAGAGAAAGTTGAAAAAGATACAAGCAATGATACACTATCTGGAGCGGTTGATGCGCAAGAGACAAAGGTTTCGCATTCAAACGAGGAGCAAACGCCATCATCACCCCAGATTCGAATTCCTCTCTCAAAATTCTCCACACAGGAGGCGAAATCTCCGACAGCGGCTGCAAACCAAGCCATTTCGCCTTCTGCAGCCCGTTCTCCAGACATGGACAGATGGTCTATCCAGGACGCAGCCCCACCTGTGCCCGACAAGGATGACGCCCCCAAGACGGGCAATGATGCAGAAGGCGCTGCTGCAGAAGCTAAGCCGTCACGGCGAAATTTTCCTGGCCCTATTCGAACAGACCTTGATGCGCTTGAGAAGGACAAACGGCGCTCGGTGATCAGCATCACAGAGAACGACGGTCTTATGGATGAGCTGCAGTCGGCAACCGTGCAACAAGCAACACCAATCGCTGTGTCAAAGTCTTCCATGAACCCTTTCTTCTCTGCTGATGCCGGTTACAAGAAAACTCCCGGAGGAGTGGAGAGACCGGGCTTCTCAAGAGCCGTCTCGAATCCTGGCCGCAGCTCTCTTCTGCCCGCAGGAGAAGCCCCTGCAGGCACGGGCAGGTCAGTCTCGACCGGTACTGCGTACCTAAACAAAATTTCTCAGCAGACAACACCGTCAGATCTGAGACCCAAGAGCGCCAAGTTGGGATCGAGCATCTCGCAGCGCATCAAGGCATTGGAAATGCTTTCTGGAAGCGCCAGCCCTAGCGATACGGCGCCGAAAGAACGACCTGCTACGACTTTCTTTGCCGTTCGCAAAGCCAACACGAGGGAGCAGTCCAAATCACCCTCCGTGGTCGACAGAGCCAACTCGCTAACCAGAGGTCCAACGCCTACTCCCCCGGAGTCAATGGAGTCGTCCCCTGAAACTACCAGAGCAGCAAGACGTGACAGGTCCGGATCACTGGTGAACCGTCTGTCCATGTTTGAAGGGGGAAATCCACCCAGAGGCAGGCCTGAATCTATTCAAGTGAAGGCACGCATCATCCGTGATCCGAACCAGCCATTTCCAAAGGTCCCGGAACCAAGAGCGGACGCGGCAGACTACGGTCCCTTGGAGCTCAAGCAGTCGCCTTTGATAGTGGATATCCAGAGCCGCGCTGTCTCGCAGAGCCCGGCCCGGCCCCTTAGTAGTGTTTCGACTCGTCAAGCCGGACAGGAGTTGGCCTCGCAAGCCAAGCAGTCCCTGCTCGAGAGGCGGCTATCGAGGGATAGTCGGTCCCAATCCCAGGACCCGGATAAAGAAGGCACGGACGAGGAGGCGAAGCAACAGTCTACGGGCCCTCGCCCCCGACGGCGGTCATCTCTCTCTGTGGTCAAGGACTTCATCAAGGATCGCGGCGGTTCCCTCATTGGTGTGAAGTCGCCATCGACGGATAATCTTGGCCGATCCCCGTCGCCTGCGCCAACGAGCCTAGTGTCTCCTGCGATGCCTACATCTTCGCAGTCGCCGTCTCGTCCCCCTTCGGTTCATCAGACTGTGTCCCTGGCCCGTCGCCTGAGTATCAGCAGCCGGCGTTCATCGATAGAGCAGGCTACGCCGGCATTTTCCGTCAATAGCGCTGCAATTCTATCCCCTGCCCGCACTCCAGATGCTGGCGGTGAGTCCGAAACGGACGTCAAGGGCGGTGGCAAAAAGTCAGGCCCTCCCAGCCCTAATCAGAGCAAGGGTAGCCGCGCTTCTAGGTTCATGCGGCGTCTCTCCAACACGCTCGTCACCAGCAAGAAGAACTCAGCTCCGTCAAGCCCGCCTACCGTGGCCGAGGAGGACGCTGCCGAGGTCGAGGCTGCGTCCAGGAGCAGCACCGCCCAGTCGCAGCCTAGTATCGTCGCATTCATGGGTGATGTCAATGTACAGTTTCCGGACAACCTCTTGTGGAAACGTCGGAGCATTTGCCTTGACAGCCAGGGATTCCTGATTCTCAGCGCCGTCCAGGGCACGCCCATGATGCCGGCCGTTGCCCCGGGCAAGGACAGACAGCAAACGGGTCTAGTCAAGCGTTACCACATGAGCGACTTCAAGGCCCCCTATGCCCCCGACGTGGAGCTGCAGGAGCTCCCCAATAGCGTGGTGCTCAACCTTGTGGATGGGAGCGGACTGCAGATTGCTTGCGAAGATAGGGCCGGGCAGATGAGTATTCTGCGCAGTAAGTTACGCCTTGCTAAGGTCAGGAATGGAACGAGAGCTGACGAGCACCTAAGTCCTTGAAGAGGCCCATCATAACCACACCAGCTTCGGGCAATGACGATAATTGTCTCCTTGGCTTCCGTTATTGCCTCCCTTGCGTTTTATTAGCGAGCTCTGGCATCCCTGCTCGGTCCGGCGACCATTCAGTTTCCTAGTTGGGGCTTAGGATCCCTTCGTGCTTCTTCACCCTATGCACACTTATATTCCCTGTCTCATGACACATCACCATCCCCTCGCTACTAGATTTCGACATGATGCTTCTTTCCCTTTGGTTCTAATCGTGGGTCACGCGAGGCTTCGATTCGATCCCGCTTAACAATCCATTTGTTTTCTGTGCTCTATGATACCATCATTTCATTTGGACGGCTCCTCAGCTTTCATTTCCTTTTTCCCGTCTGGAACTTTCTTAGGCCTGGATGGCTTCTGGGGTGGCAAAACGAAGAGGGGGTAGTTGGAGGGAGGCACGTTGTTTTACCTTGCAGTCGACGAGACGAGAGGAAAGGAAGCAAGCAGGTACTGCGGCTAGCGTCGCGCAAGCATGCTAGCAAGTATATGCAGAATATTGAGATAGGGGGATAGGCCACCCAGACAGTTTTCAAGGGTACGTAAATAAAAACTTCTAGGCGACACATCTATTTCGCTGTCTGTCAGGGTCGATACAACACCATGCCTTCCAAGCATTTGTGATGGTTGGCCTCCTAGACCGCCTGCGTAAATACTAGTCGACTAGGACCGCAAGCCACAATGTTAGACCCGGAGAGAACTTCAGCGTAGCTAGTCCAGCACGCTTGAAAAGCAGACGCAAAGAGGAAGAGGGCGTCGGACAACCCAGGGCAAGAGTGCTAGCTCGAGAACTGCGGTGAGACGTTAATACATGACCTAAACATAAGATGCTCCTGCCTCCTATCTGTCGTTGGCACCCTATCATCCCAGACTGTCCTTTTGGCGAAAAGAGAAAATATCCTAGTATTACAGCACTGGCCCCCTGTGAGAAGCGAGGACTGACGGTTCATCATGTATATATACAGGAGAAGAGCGGAGCCAGTGTGAGTGTGACGGTCCCTATGTTGGTACGGTCGGTTTGTTTCGCATAGCAGCGAGGGGGATAAAAGAGGTATGTGGGTAGGTGACGTGCTTCCCGTTGAGTAATCGTCAACAGCGCGCTTCCGCCCAGTCCATTTGCGACAGACACCAGGCCGGCGCAGTCAATCCGTCAGTTAGACCACAGCGTCACGCCAAACTGAGTAAAAAGCGAGCGCAAAGTGTTGTCTGCCATCCTCCCGTTCCCGTTCCCCTTTTCCGTTCTGTTCATGAGAAAGCAGGCCCTCAAAGAGCCGGCCTAGCCTCAGCTTTGCCACCAGCCCCGGCACCCCCAAGAGCAGCAGCAATCTCCTCGGTACTCATGCCGCCCTGTGCACCACCCGCACCACCCTGTCCGCCCGCACCGGCGGTGAGCACCTCGCCGCCGAGCTCGCGCATGCGCTGCTCCTGCTCCATGGCCTGGATGCTCTGCTCCTCGCCCCAGGCGAGGGCGAAGGGGACACCCACGAGAAGGGCCGAGACGGAGACGGTCCAGGCGGCGCGACCCGCGAAGAGCAGCACCGATTTCACCGCCGACGTGGTCTGCTCGTACTTGTGCCCGATCCACCCGCGCGCCGCGGCGGGTACCATATCGCGCAGCGCCCCCAGCCGGTCGGCGAGCGTGTCGGCGGACGGGTCGTAGTTTGAGTCGGTTGAGATTTCGGAGTCTGTTTTTATATTGGAAAGAAGAGACTGGTTAGAAGCGCTGAAGAAATTTTTCCTGTCGAAGATGTGGCAAGTACATACCTGTGTCAGTGAAGTCCTCGTCATCCTCCGCGGGCCCAGGCTGGGGCTGCTGGAAGTGCTCATCTTCTACTTCCACGAGTTGCACCATTTTGGCGGATGTGTGTCGATGTGTTGAGGTACGGCCGGTATGGAATGAACCGAACTGAATGGGCCGACAGGAAGAGGGCGTCTGTGGTCAGACTGCTCGTTGATGATGAAGTCCGCTTGGAATGATGGTTTGAAATCGATCTTGATGGATTGAAAGATTTCAGTTTGTCTTTCGTCAAAAACGCCCTCTGCAACTTACAGTCGTCTTTTTTCGCCGATAAGGAGGATGACGGTCTTTTTTAGAGTAGCTAAACCAAGATAGGTTAGTACACGGATGGGGTCCCAAAAGCCTTGCACTGTGCACTGGTGTAGGCCTATGCCCTGTCACGGTAAATGGCACACTGTGTCATTCGCCCCTGAGTGATGCCTCGCCTTCAACACTTCGCATTATTCTTCTATGGGATGTTATCATTGCTATCTTAACATCGTACTATCGTGTGCCGCCCCTGACTTCGCTATTCATGCACCGTGCTCCATAACCACGTCCACTTCACCATGCTCATGATAAAGAACAATTACCCCTACTCCAGCGATGCTATCAGCTGCTTACTATCCAGATTCACGTTCGCCCTCTTTCGGGCGCGTCCGCAAACCTGATGGCCCGCCGGGAAGGGGGCACTCTAGGCGTATCGTCATCATCACTGTCTTCTTCCGCCGGGCCTGAACCCATCCCGAGGGCAGCTTCCCTTCGGCGCCGTTCTGCCGCCGTCTCGCCCGTATCGTCGTTGTTTTCGTCTGTTCCCTGCAAAGCCGCCATCCTACGCCTGCGTTCCACTGCTGTTTCCGCTTCCGTTTCCCTCTCCGAGTCTGGTGGCGTGGATTTTGGTGGAGAGGCCGGGCTCATTGACGATGAGGATGAAGGAGTACCCGAGCCACCCGCCTGTCCAGTCGGCCGCGCTTGGCTGAGACCCGCAGCATCGGAATCATCTTTCTGGGTAGCCGTTGTCTCTCCAGGAGGTTTGCTCTTATGCACCTGCAGATCCTGTTTCGCAATATCTTTGATGGTCTGTGACGCGGTAGACTTATTGACGACCTCACGCCGCGCGGACTTGTCCAACTTCTGCACCTCCCTGATAAAGTCTTCCTTGGTCATCCTCCTGCCAACGCCGCCAATAGTGAACCTGATATGCCTGTCGTCCTCATCGTCTTGTTCGTTCGCGGCGATTTTCTTCTGCGGTTTTTGCGCTGAGGACTCGCCGCCGCCTTGGTCTTCGCTTCGTGACCCTGCTGCCGCTCCAGCCTTGTCCACAGCTCTGCCGAGGACGCCCATTCCCATGTACTTCAGAGTTTGACTCATGAAGTGAGGTTGGGGCTTCTCCGTTGGTAACTCATATTTCTTGATCACTTCTCCAGCTTCGTCCTCCACGATGATCTAGAGACACCACGTTAGCTTATTCACTCCAGTGAACGAACACATGGGAGATTTGGTGGGGACGCACTGTTCTGCCGAATTGGTAGGCGCGAGCCGGTTCACCCTTTCTCGATGACTTCTCTTTACCCTTTCGTTTTGCAATCTCTCCCTCCCGCCAATTCAGAACCTTCTTCTTCAATGCTTCATAGTTCCAGCCAGACGCCCCAACCTCCGATTCCAGTTTGTTCGCCAGAGCCTTGGCTTGCTCAGCAAGATTCTCGGTATTGGAAGGTTTGACGGCCAACACGTCACCCTCTGCATTTTCGACAACGATGTGATCCCCCTCATCGTAGACTTCGAGCTCACTCCTGCCTTCTTGTGTTGGGTTAGCGGCAGACTCGGCAGAGGCAGGCTTTTCGGATAAGGCTTCTTCAGCTGCGAGTTGAGCAAGTTCTCCATTCCTGGGCGAGCCAGGTAGGGCGGTCTCCGTTGGGGACATAGGTGCAGAATCTTGCGGGCTTAGCCGTGTTAGGTCACTACTGCCTCGTGGCAGCGTGGGAGAGAATTGGCCCATCTGGCTGCGACGCTGGGGGAAGATGGCCGATTGGCTGATGGGGCCACCAGGACCGATGCCATCATCCCACTTCTTCTTCCGCCTTCGTGCGGCCAACGAGGAAGCCCTACTCCCTTGTCGGCTGTTACTGTTGTTGCTCTCATCCTCCTTCACACGACGAAGGAAGTTTCCAGGGACGCCAACTGGCGGCAGTGTGCCGGGTGGAAATTCGGGCAGCTTGAGCTCTTCACCCTCTGTATCAGACATTGTCCTTGCCTGCGACCGCGACTGCGACGAAATGCGTGGTAAGCGATTCAGCCAACTCGGGCCATCCTCGTTAGCCTGTGTGTACGACATGGTGATGGTCAGGGTGTTGATGTGCTTTCCCAACGTAAACACGGCGACCGAAGAACCGTGTACAATGATTGAGGCGACGACGATGAAGGAGACAATCGGCCAGACGAGAGTAATGATGGTGAGGTGCGGGGAATCCTTTGGAATTTCCGCAAGGGGAACCGGATCGTGGGATTCTAGCTCGCCCCGTGCCAGCATGGCGACGAAGATAGCGCCAACACCGATGGGCCCGAAGTGGCCAGCAAACAGAGCCTCACGCCAGGTCTTCATATCGGGAATTATGGGCTTCAGGACCATCATGACGGGGATTCGGCGGAAGAGGATGACGAATATAGCGAGCACAGCCAGCCTCCAGGCGCTCAGGCCCATGGCGTGGTCGTTGAAAGTTTCCCAGGGGATGATTGTGCCAAAGTAGACAAAGTATGCCAGGTTGATCAGTAGGTCAATCACGTTGGAGACATGGGACTCCTCCGTTTTTTGCGTAAACCAGCCGTCATTTGAGAAGCCAACCCCCGCAGCGAAGCCGACCAAGAGATCGTCGAGGCCGAGGATGCTGCCGGATCCGGCACAGAACAGGGCCAAGACGAAGTAGAAAACGAGGAAGCTTTCCCGGTCGATTAGGTCATGCGCCTCGGCGTACTTGATGCCATGTCGAGCGAGGTAGCCGATGATGAAACCGTAAACGGCACCGAAGATGCACTCGTACAGAATTGTGTAGACGATCCAGTGGAAAGAGACTTTGCTGGCCTCCTGCTTGTCATGGATCAGATACAGGGCCAGATAGATGAATGGAAACGCCATGCCGTCGTTGCAGCCCGACTCTGCCAAGAGAAGGTCGCGCAGGTGCTTGGGTACCCGTTTAGCAAACTTGCCCTTGCCCACGACCGAGGAGGCTAGGACTGGGTCTGTAGCCGTGACACAGGCGGCCACCACCAGGCTCTCGAGGAAGTTTAGGGGCTCAATCAGCCAGAAAATAAAAAGGCTGACAACCAGCCAGCCAAACATCATGACAGGGACGAGCAGCAAGGTGACGGACCTCCAGTGCTTTTCCATGTAGTACTTGGGCAGCTCAACCCCAACGGCGAAGCACTGCACAACCAGGACTAGACGCGAGAACTCGATGGTGACAATGTCGACGCTCCCCCACTCAAAGGGGTTGATGAGGTTGGCAGCATGGGGCCCGAATATCACACCACAGAGGGTAGCGATAGTGGCCTCGCCAATGTACATGCGCTCCTTGATGAAGGACGAACATAGCATGAAGAGGGAGGTAAAACCTCCCAGAATAATGTAGACCAGGTGCGATGAGGTGATGGAGAGGTGATCCCAAGCCATGGCTCAAGACACTTGCTCCAACACCAACGAGGTGTCGAGGTGGCCAAAGTTTCGTGATGCCTCAGACCTGGTACAATGGAAAGGAGAGTTGAATAATACTGAGTATCAAAGGTGGGCTGTCCAGGTCCAGGATTGGTGGTCTTGGCCGAGGGAAAATTGGAGAATCCGAGGGATCGGTGAACTTTGACGACGTCACTGGGGAAAGGCGACAGTCATTCCTCGCCAGCCTAATTCGCTGCCCAGTGTCGTCTTCGGGAGAATTGGGTCCAGCCACAGGAGCGAAGAATCGAGACATGCAAAGACGCGACAAGACGCCTTAGGTTAACCCGTTCAGCAGACAACCCAATTCCTAGCTGCGACGGGATAGAGTCTTCGCCTGGACCCAATTGGAACACTGGGATTCTAAAAGCCCGACAAGATTTTTCGTCTCTTCTTTTTTCCCACCACCGATGCGGCGCAGGCGCGGGAAAGGATGAGATGCGCAGCGAAAATCCGGGGAAGGGAGGCGCGAACACGGAATAGACAAGACGAAGGAACAGCAATCGCAGGGGGCAATGTTCATCAATGGAGCCAGCACAGATCTGGTCAACCAGATGGGAGAGCGCGATGCGTGCGCCTCGTTTTGTTACCAGGACTTGCGGATTCCTTGGACTTGCCACCGGGGCACTCTAAGGGCTGGCCCGGGGCATCCATGACATCTTATACTTCCGACCAAACTTGGCGAAGAGCGTGTACGGAAACTACAGGGCAGCAGTAAAGAAACTTCGGCCCTGGCGCCGAGCCCCCAACCTTCTCTCGAGGGCTTGGCGGCAATTGCGGCCATGCAGTCACGGTGGGTCTAAAGTCCGGCACGGAGACGGATGCTTCCTGCCTCCAGCGTCTACCGGCCCCTAATAGAGGCCGAAATCAACTTACTCAGGTACGTGCAGTGGCACCGGCAGGGCAATCTACCACAACAAATTCCAGACATGAAGACTTCCGCAACTTACTTATTTCCACCCCTTGAACACCAGGCATGATGCCCGACCTGAGCTGGCGACAAGGCGGACCGCTGTGTAATCCGATTACCTGGTTCCCTCGATGCTCAATGGCTGCCCTAATCCTGTCTCACGCTTGGCACCCAGTGGATGTGTTTTTTTCGGCTACGTACCTGGAAACAAACTGCCCTTATCCGTACAGCTCCGCCTTCTCGGTGAAGAGAACGGATTCTCTATTCTCTCACCCTGAGAGATTCGAATTTGTTTGACTGACCTCGCGTATCGACAAGTTGGACGAGCAATTCCAGGTTGCTCAATTGCTGCTTGCTCCTTTCGGACTTGCCCAGGGATCGACTGCTGCCAAGCCCCGGCCCCCGTCTAGATCCGCCCACCGGATGCCTTGCATCCACCCAATGCTCGGCCGGCCCGGGATCCTTTTTTCTTACAAAAACAACCCCTACTTTCCCGAGTTCAAACTGCTGATTGCAAGCCAATTGGATTTGGAGCCCATATACGAAGTAACCGCGCGTGCCGTCGACAAATACAGCAAGATATTTTGTGCCACGGGGTCCTTACACACCGGATATTCAAAGGAAGACAGCGACGGGAGTTGTTCTCCACGGGAGGAGCGGCGGTCCGGCCAACGTGGGGGTCGAGCTGTGTTTCTAGAGTTACATGCTCTGATTGGAGTCTGGCGGAAGGCACAGGAACATTTTAGCTCAGCTGCCCAACCACGAACAGATGACGTCGGCACGGGCCAGACTGCCACTGCATTGCCGGACTGCATACGGAGGTGGATATGGATACAGCTCACAGTCCTACCTTCGCTAACTGACAGACTGCATGACTGGAAGTTGATCCCGTGACCCGCTCTCGGACCTGAATAACGGGCTCTAGCCAGAAGCGTACTTCAGCTACCAAAAGATGCGGGGAATGATCTGTGTTGCCCCTGTTGGGTATTCGTACACCAACGAGGACGTGGGGGACTGCTTCCGGTTGGTGAATACAAAGTTCGATTCATGAGTTCCTCAATTGCTTACTGAGAGCCTCGGAGTCATTTTTCTGATTTGCTCAATGCTCGTTCGAAAGTCTAGCTCGAAAGTCAGAGTGTAGACAGACCAACCTGTGCATCGAGGACTCAGGAGCCCTCACTAATGGATACCTAGGTATACTTTGCATGCTACGCTAGCTAGGTAGATATTTTGTAGCCCTCTTTCTCCATGGAAGTTAACTGATGCATATGGCACCCAGCTAGATATGCAGTTTACTTTGAATGAATGCCAGATTATGTCAAGGTGCGCCAAGTTGTCAACTGATGTCTAGATATGCAGTTTACAAGTGAAATGAATGCCAGATCAATGTCAAGGTGCGTCAAGTTGATTGTCAACTGATATCGAGCGTCAACGGAGTTAGGGTTAGGGCGATTACGCTATTCATATAGCGGGATGTTTTCCCGTTTTGGGAATCCTGGGATTGGTCACTTAATTATCGACGCGCACGGGTCCTCGCGTAGCTCCCCTCTTGCCTTGGCTCTCAAACGCGAATTTCTCCTGACTGACGCGACGAAGCGTCGTATCATTCATGAATTGCAAGCAAACCCCGAGGACCCAGGACAGGCCAACAGCTCGCCCCCGTGGCCCTGACTCTGTATGACTGGGCTCTCCAGTCTTGTCCTCCGTCGAGCAGCCGTTTCCCTCGACAGGAACATTGTACACGGTGCCGCCCGGCCTGCCAATCCGCACCCCGTTGGATTAAGTCCCACCTTCCCCCCGAGCCCAATGTTGCGAAACGCCGTGGCCGAGGCCAACAAGGCCGCTGCCGCGAATCAGCAATCTCGGACATCCGCCAACAGGAGTCTGGAGAAGCAGCTTTCCCCTTCGAGCAGCCCGAGCGCCGTGCCGAAGAAACCCCAAGAGAGTGTTGCCAGCATGCTCTCCAGGCCTCGACCCCCTCCGAGCTCGATTGGCCCATCGAGGACAGCCACAAGGGCGGATGCGCTACAGAGCCGACCTCTCAACGCCACCCGGCCTAACCGCAGCAGCGTCAACGGCACGAGTCTCGCTTCTATCTACAGTAAGTCGGACTCGTTTCGGTCAGAACCCGACGTGATCGATCTGCTCGATCATACCCCTCCTCCGCCATCTGGGTCGCGAGCAAGCAATCAAGCGCCTTTGGTGGACATTTTTGAGAGCGACATCGACGACGATGATAACCTGGACTTGGACTTCCGGGCGAATCCACCATTGCCCTCGCTGTCTCGTCCTCAATCACGTCCAGCCGCTTTCAAACCCAAAGATGACCCTCCGCCGAGCACCACTAGCACGCTCTCCTGGTCGCAGTCATCTCCTTCCCATCTCGCCCCTCCAAAACCCCGGATTGCAGAAAAAACCGCAAAACGCGAGTCGCCGGATAATGGCATGGTGGAAACCCATATCATAAAGAAGCCCAAGCGAGAGCCGTCCAAGCGAGAGCTGCCCAAGCACTGGGCTGGATCATCAACGAAGGCGCATGATCCTGAGAAAGTCTACGAGGCTGCCGCGATGACTCCAGCACCGAAAGCCAAGGCCCCGTTACCGTGGAACACCACTGCCAGCGCGATAAAAGCACAAAAGAAGCAGCTGAAGACGCAGATTACGGGAGCCTCCAAAGCTGAAGCCTCCATGGATGATATACGTGAAGCAATCAAGTCTCACGTTACTGCAACGACCTCAGCCATCACCCTTAGCAACGAGCAGCGACACGTCAAGAGTCTCGTCGTCGAGAAGGGGCAGAGTGTCTTCTTCACTGGTCCCGCTGGTACGGGCAAGTCCGTGTTGATGCGAGCAATTATCCAAGATCTCAAGAAGAAGTATGCCAGAGACCCGGAGCGGGTGGCCGTCACCGCCTCGACGGGCCTGGCCGCCTGCAACATCGGTGGCATGACTTTACACAGCTTTGCAGGCATCGGCCTGGGAAAAGAAGACGCCAACACGCTAGTCAAGAAGATTAGGCGTAACCCCAAGGCAAAGACCCGTTGGCTCAAGACCAAAACTCTCATTATCGACGAAGTCTCAATGCTGGATGGTGACCTCTTCGACAAACTCTCGCAGATTGGCAGAATTCTTCGGAACGATGGCCGGCCATGGGGCGGTATCCAGCTGGTTATCACGGGTGACTTTTTCCAACTGCCCCCGGTACCCGATGGCGGCAAGCAGAGCGAGTCCAAGTTCGCATTTGACGCTGCCACCTGGAACATGTCAATCGATCACACTATCGGCTTGACCGAAGTGTTTCGGCAGAAAGATCCTGGTAAGCCGATAATGCTATATGGACAGCTTTTACAGATTTCATGCTCACGAATCCGCAGAATTTGCTGCCATGCTCAATGAGATGCGTCTAGGCAGGATCAGTGAGCAGACAGTGCAGAAGTTCCGGGCTCTCAGCAGGCCTCTTCAGTTTGACGACGGCCTTGAGGTCACTGAACTGTAGGTCGTGACGCACACTACGCTATAAAGCCCACGAAGCTGATCCTCTGTACCAGATTTCCCACGAGACACGAAGTCGAGACGTCGAACCAGAGACGGCTCCAGAGCTTGCCTGGCAAGTCGTACCGCTACGAAGCCATGGACACAGGGGACCCAAAAATACGAGACAAGCTCCTCGCCAACATGATGGCACCTCCAGTCATCGAGCTGAAAGTAGGGGCTCAGGTGATGTTGATCAAGAACATGGACGAGACACTCGTCAACGGGTCTCTAGGAACCGTGGTTGAGTTCATGAGCGAATCGTCGTTAGGGATCAGAGGAGTGGGAGATGATTCTGATGTGGAGTCGGACGCAAAAAAGAGAATTCGCGCCTTTGAATCTGCCCTTTCCGAGGGCTCGAATCCCGACAACAAGTTGTATCCGATGGTGCGGTTTCACGCGGTCGACGGGTCGCAACGACATCTCCTTTGCGTCCCTGAGGACTGGAAAGTGGAGCTCCCAACAGGTGAAATGCAGGCATCCCGGAAGCAGCTGCCCTTGATCCTGGCGTGGGCACTTTCAATTCACAAAGCCCAAGGACAGACCCTGGAGCGTGTCAAAGTCGACCTTGGCAAGGTGTTTGAGAAGGGGCAAGCCTACGTCGCGCTCAGCCGCGCTACCAGCCAAGAAGGTCTTCAGGTGCTACGCTTCCAAAAGGACAAGATCATGGCTCATCCTCGAGTGGTCGAGTTTTACAACAAGCTGTACAGCGCCGAGGCGGCCGTCAAGAAAAAGGCGGCCGGTTCCATCACGAGCTACGCGACTAAAGTCACTAAACAGGAAGCCCTGCCACGGAAATTTGCAGGTCAGCAAGAGGATGTGTTCGACGAGGACGAAGAAGAGGCCATGGCTGCGTATGGTTGAGGCCATTGTATTGAGCCCGCATAACATGGTGTTGTAGGGACGTGGAGTTACGGGCATTTTGCAATCTCTTGGGCTGAGCCTGCCTTTCCCTTATTAGGGACTGTTTGGAACGGCTCTTGCTACTACCTACTGTATGGGGTACGTGATGTGGGGCGTTTTGGGGCGTTTCGGTCACGGTGTTCGTCATAACCTGGTTGAGTCACGTTGTATATTTACAAACTTTGAACGGGCAGCCGTGGCAGGATGGAACCGCAGCTTATGGTAGGCTTTTCATAGACCGTCGACGGCAAATATATCCCAATGCGAGGTTGATGGAGTACTGGCAAATACGCTGCGCGATCACTGGGTTCTAACTCATTACCAGTCTTTGAAATCGCGACATACTTCTCGAGGGGCGTCGCTGGGGTCAACACCAAGGCCGATATCAGCGATGATTGGCAATATGCTCTCATATCCTACGCCTCCGCACCTGCAGAGGTTACACTATTAGTTGTACGTTAGCATCCAAATTTGAGCATCGATCCAACTTGTCGCAGTGCGGGTAACCTGAATGCCACTCTTCTCTTGCTGTGTTGCCAACGCTTCCGGTTGAACAGACGCTGTCTCTGGTTCTACGGCAGGTTTGCCGTTCTCTTCTGGGTCCGGGTGCTCATGGATACCATCGTGACTGACTTGGGCGCGTAATCTAGGTAACGCTGCGCCAGGATTAGCAGAGCAGAAGACAGTCACAGCTTGTAGGGAAAGGGGAACAAGCTCACTGATCAGCACACCGAGGGCCTGTAGCAACAGTGGCACCCAGAGAAATATGGCAATGACCTGGCCGAATCCCCACTCATTGTCCTCAAAGTCGTCTCCGGAGATGCTCTTCATGGCGTCCCGCTTGCGCGACATTTGCACCGCACAGTACAGACTCCCAATAGACAGCCCAAGCGACAGCAACCCCACTGTAAACGGCTCGCGCTCGTCAATGATCAACTTCCACAACAAGAACAGAATAGCGCCAAGCACGACCAACCCGGCGAGCCCCGCAAGGGAAAGCCCAAATATGGTCAGCCCCCGCCTCCACCCGTCGGTGTTGAGGAACTCAGGGAACGGCGCCGGAAGGTTGGGCAACGCATCGGTCGGCAGCTGGCCACGGAAATAGTCAAACCCGGGAAGGACAGAGCCGTACGACGAGCACGCGGTGCCCAGCTCCTGGACGGCGGCCCACGTGGTCCGGGACGTGGTGCGCAGGCGGCCGACGACGCCCATGTACAGGGCGAACTCGGCGAGACAGCAGACGGCCGTGACGACGACGCGCTCGAAGGGCCTGCGTTTGGACTTGGACTGGCGGACGACGACACCCTGGGCAAGGCTTACGGAGAGCAGGGAGAGGAATTGCATTGTCAGCAGGGACTCGAGGAAGGCGATCTCGTAAAAGGGCGCGCCGCGGATGCGCACGATGGCAGCGATGGCGACGGGGATGGTGAAGCCCGCGTTGGCGTCCCAGAAGTTTTTGTGTAGCCTGACGAGCGGGTCGAGCATGTTTCTGCCCAGGGCTGAGGGAGGGGAGAACTTGTGGAGGCAGGCGTAGATGGCGACGAAGATAGGGCCAAAGACTACGGCCAGGGCGACCTGGACGAGGTACGAGATGTGTGCCTTGCGGGATGGGCTTCGAGTCAGTGGACATTATGCACCGGAATACAAGGCCCTATGGCAGGAGTGTGTATCCTTACCCCTATACCAGAGAGGTCGGGGTTCCCGCTGCCCCAGAAGAGCTTGCATATCTCGGGACACGCACTAACTGTTCCGGTGATGTTGAGGGAGCCATCCAGTGCCTCATTCAAGGAAGTCGGTGATGGTACTGGATGTGAAGCTGACGCAAGCTGAAGGGCTGCTCATCTTAGTTCAGGTAGGTCAGGTTGTTGTCGTAGTCTGCGGAGGCCGATGGTCAGTTGCTGCAAGAGTCAAACTCCTGCTGGGCTATTCCCAGCGACTGCTGCCTCTTGCGTATAATACGATGTCGCCTAGGACGGTTACCGGTTAGCAAGCTGGAAGACTTCCCAGGGACAGGTTTGTGATATATGAAGCCAAGAACGACAAGGCTGTGAGCTGCTTGTAAGTGTGCACATGAGGCACTTTGACGGGCTCCCCGCCTCAGCTCCTGTCCAGCCCGGGTTTTTACGAGTCGTGGTAAATACTCGGAGCCTTGCGCTTGGGACGGGATCGGTTACCACATTTACTTTGCATGCTGCCATGTAACTGCTGTATGCCAGCAGCGGCATGAGGAAAGGGGCTGACCTGCACTGGCTATTGGTAGAATATAAGCGACAAGACAGCTTTGGGTTAGAAGTCTGCATGTGTAAGCTCTGTCAAGCCTTGCCCACACAGCGGTATCATAACGTAGATGCTGGAAATTTGAACAACATTTCCTGCCGCCTCACGATGTGGTAAAACGAGGCTGAAGGAGTTTGTCTGATCGTGTAGACAATCAGCGGGAGATGATGGAGGACGGGGAGTAGTCTGCGCTGCTATCCGGCATGGGATATTTTAAGCTGGGAGAGAGCAAGAGAGGACTTCCGACCCGGACAGTGGTGATGTTCCAAGAGCATTGGGCAGTGGGATGGTTCCAGGATTGCCTCAGTTCGCCCGGAGTATTCGTCCTTTCTATACGGATAAGGTAGAGCTGATGTTTCTGTTAAAAATCTGTAACGTTAACTTTACCTCCGTACTCGGTAAGGTACAGATAGCTGGGTAAGGTACCTCCCTGGTTTCCAGTTGACCTGCGGTCCCGCGTTTTCTGACTGATAAGAAGTAGCTTATCGATAAGCATAGTCTGACTAGCAACCTAGCGCCAAGTTCAACCACTAAGATAGCGAAAGTTGTGATACATTTCATCCGAGAGCGACTGCAGCCAACAACGCAACCGACTTCAATAACTGAATTTCCTTCGGTGCAAGGCACTGCCTGCCTTCGATACACTTTCACAAACCTCAGAATCGCCCTGCGCAGGTTTTAATATTCGAACAGTCGGACAAGGCAGTTTCTGTTCCAGGCAACGATCCGAGTCTCGGACTAGCCGCCCGCCATCCGCCATGGCGACCGAATTCATCGGCGTGCAGATGCTGGTAACGCTGCACGGCGATCCGCCAGCACGTCTCAAAGGGACCATTAGTGCTGTAGAAGCCGGCGCCAGTCTGACTCTAAGCAACGGTTAGTGATTTTCTCTTTGGTCTCTTGACGCCTGCCTGTCCGGCATGTTGACTTGGCTTCGTGAACAGTCTGGATGCTCAATACCAACGAATGGCGCCCTCGCATCACCATCTCCTCAACAGAGATTGCCGATCTTGCCGAGGTACCAAGCGCACCTCCGCCGGACCTCTCCAACCCCGTTCAGAAGAAAGCCCCTCCGATTGTACCTCATATTCCCCAGCCGGCGCCCAAACCAGCCCTCGTTGATCCTGCCATCCTGGCAGTGGGAAAGCCGGCGCCAGCTACATCACCGGCGCACCTGCCAGAGACCCGTCTCCCACCAATCAAGATAGAGAAGCGCAGTCAGGACACAGTCATTGTTCCCGTAACCCAAGCCGAGGGCACGACGGAGGATCTCACCCCTACCGTTCGCACGGCAACTCTAAAGGGGTCAAAGGTTGAGGGCGATGGTGCAGAAACTGAGTCAGCGGAAGATAAGGATGCTACAGGCGTTGTTCTCGAGTACGATGAGACAGTTCGTCGGAAGAATAGGCGGCGGCAGCGGAAGCCGGGGAACGCAAAGACATCTCAGGAGGATGTTGAGGCGTCCCCAGCGCCTTCAACGAAAACAGCCGGCAAAGGGAAGGGCTGGAGACAGACACCCATCCTGCAAAGCACAGCATCCTTCCAACCGTTCGCCTCGCTAAAACGAAACGGCACTAAGGGTCGCCAGGCCCTGGATAACGGGTGGGCATCTGAGGACGTTACGGATGTTCAGGAGATGGGCGACTTTGACTTTGAAGGAGGCCTGGCAAAATTCGACAAGCAGAATCTGTTCGAGCAGATGAGAAAAGACGATCAGGTCGATGAAGCTGACCGCCTGGTGTCGCACAACCGGCAACCCCGTCCCAAGCCCGGCACGGCCGGCGGCAAGAATCTCCACTACTCAGAAAATGTGCTGGACATGCCTACAACCATACTAAAACCGCCCAAGGACAGGCCCGCAACCAAGGAGACACCCAACGACTTTTGGAATAGCGAGGCGGATGACGGTGTACCCAACAACAGCGAGCGACTGAGCGGCAGAGACCCCGGCATGGGCAGCCGGCAGGGTTCGCGTCGCGGAGAGAATAAGGTTCCGGCAGGCCGGCGTTCCCATTCTCGCAAAGCCGCCGAGCCGACGAGAACCGGATCTGGCCCTAGCAGAGTAAGCTCCGGTGTAAGCCACTACCGCAATCAGTCTGCCAAAGGGAGCCGGCCAAGTAGTCGGCTTTCGTCGCGCGCCGCGGCCGCTGACAAGAAGAAACAGCTTCCGACACCAGCCGTCCCGCAGGGTCTCTACTTGCTGCCGTCGAATCGCCGGGTCGAGGCTGTCTCGCCATTGCAAATGTTCAATATCGAAAACATAGCGCATAACGAGATCGGGTTAACAGAGGAGATGATGACGGAGAACGCAGGCCGCGGCATTGCCGAGGTGACACTAAACGCACTAGCCGACCCTGCCATTAAGGTGCGGCACGCTGGCAACGTCGATCCGGCCACGGGCAACCCACCCCCGCAAACCGTAGTGGTTCTTGCGGGCAACAATAAGTCTGGAAGCCGCGCCATCGCCGGCGCTCGCCACCTGCGGAACAAGGGCATCAACGTCCTCGTATGCGTTGTTGGCCTCGAGCGCGGCGAGAGGGACCTGCTCGAGGAGGTTAAGCAGCAGGTGCGGCTATACAAGAACCTTGGCGGGCGCGTCTTTGCAAAGAGCGACTTCTTTGAGCATTTGCGCAAGATCAGCATCCCCATGTTGACCATCGACACGCCCCGCACTTCGCTGAGCAGCCTGGCGAACCCAGCCCCTGTGATGCTCATCATCGACGCGCTCCTCGGGCTTGCCATCTCCTTTGAGGAGCTCCGAAACGGCGATCAAGCGACCGTGTACGAGCTCATAGAGTGGGCGAACCGCAACGAGGCGTTCGTGCTGTCCGTCGATGTGCCGACGGGCATAGACCCGACCACAGGCAAAGCCAGCGTCATCGACGGCAGCAGGCTGTACGTCAGGCCGCGGTACGTCGTGGCCATTGGCGCGCCGAAACGCGGCCTGCTCGAGGCCTTGATGGCGGCGGATAACGATGATGCCGATACCGTCCTCGCCGGAGAGCACGCCGCTTTGCCGGATGACGCTGTGTCGGACTGGAAGCTCTATATCGCGGATATGGGCTTGGGGCAGGCCGTGTGGAAGAAGGCCGGGACTAAGATGAGGAAGGGCGTCGATTTTGATAGCAGCTGGGTGTTGGAGATGAGGTATCGTGGGTCGGTGAATGACGAGGATGAGGAGCTGGCTTAAGAGGGTTGTCGGGTACTGTGCAGATGGGGGCTTTGTTGTCAAGATATCTTGTGGTTGGACCTTACGGCGATGATGGCATGAACAGTGCATATTGCATTTGGGGCGGTGCCTTTATGGCTTTTTTTCTCTCAACCAGCAAGGCGTCAAGTGGGGATTTTGTTTTTTTCGCGGTGACTTGGCTTTGCATTGCATCGGATTAGGACGGATAGCCTACGTGTAAGAGAGGCATGAGTTACCTTGCCTAGATAGATGAGCTTCATTCGAAGGGAGAGAGCTGATGGAAGCCCTACACGGCTTTCAACTCTGAGTTGAGTCAGCATTGGGCAATAGCGACATAGCACGAGGCTCAGTCATCGATGTGATTGCCAGACGGAAAATGGCGGCGCTTCTATTGCGTAGGTGGCTCAGGGTTCAGGGGCAACTCTAGACCGGAATCTTTGACAAGATTGACTTTGATACTCTTGCTCTTGGCTATATTTCTTGCAGTTGCCCGTGACATGGTTGTTATGAGTAACTCTTGCCGCATTGTGTGTATATATGCTCGGAGCCCTCATTCATATGCTACTTTGAGAAGCTCTAGAGCACCATCCTAGATGCTTTAGTATGCACTGTATCCCTTCATCTATGTTTATTCTCCCTGGGCACGAATAGAAGGTTGGAATGATAGACCTAGAACGAAGTAGGAGAGTACTTAGTATTATAGGCTGTAGTCCGATAGTACGAGGAGTATTACTAGTCTGTAGTATCAATCACCAGACTACTACTACTAAGACGTTCCCGTCCTCTCCATCAAGATGTCAAACAACCCCCATCTCCCCACCGCCGTCGACCCAAACCACCACATTGCCAGGCACCCGGTCGCCCATGTCCTCAAAGAACCTTCTGACCTCGTCATCCGAATACCTCAAACTGAAATGCGTCAGCACAAACACGGTCCGCGGCCACCTCCTCACAACAGGCTCCAAATCCGCCCAGATGGTATGTTTAGTCTTGTCCGCCTGCGCGCGGTGCTCCTCCCTTAGGAAGCTGCACTCGGTAATGACCACCTTGACCCCAGTATCACCGTCAGCCCGTTCCGAGCCATCATCATCCCCGGAACCAGCCAACCAACCGGGTGCGGCCGCGAGTGTGGCGGCCGTGGTATCCCCGAGAAATGCAAACACAGGCGTCTGTACGGGGCGGGTAAGTTGCACCCCTTCCTCCTCGCGTAATCGGCGCAGCTCCCGCCCGGGAAGCGACCGGTACTCGTCCCGCAGCCGGTGCGTGACGGCGGAAAACAGATAGCCCAGGCACGGCACCGTGTGGTCGCACGCAAACGCCGTTGCTGTCCAGCCCTGCTGTGAAGAGGACGATGATAACCGGCGTAAGGAGACCGTGTCGCCCTCCCGGAGGCCGTGCGTGACGTGAGTTTGGAGCATTGATGCGAGGTCTTTTCCCTTTCCATCGGACTCGGACCCGTTTCCTTCGCCTTTGCCATCACCATCGCCATCACCATCCCTGCTACTACTACTACTACTAGCACTACTGCTGTACAGTAGCCCACCCGTTTCGCTCAGGATGGTTTTTGCATTAACAAAGTCGTCAAACGCCCGCTTCATCTCGGCGGGACAAAAGATGTCGGGCGGGTCATCCCTGTTGACAAACGCCGGCGCGAGCAGTGTATGGTCACTATGGCCGTGCGTGAGGAAGATGTGTTTGGGGCGCAGCTTGTTTACGCACAAACCGGCGTCGAGGAGCAAGTTCAGCTGTGGGATGACGAATGACGTGTGCCATGCCGCCCGGGACCGGCCCGTGAGCGTGAGATGGTGATAGGGCTTGGGAAAGCGCCATTCCAAGATGTCGGAGCGGGGAGATTGTGGGAGTGGCGTGGCAAAGTTTGCGGGTGGCATGGCTAGTGCTTGGGGTTATATCGGTGTTTCACAGCCGGCATGATACTCATGAAAAAAGTATAGTATCTATACTATATCGAGGTGAGCGGCAGCAAGCGGCAAAACATCGGATTCGATTGTTGAGTACTAGTACGTACTAATAGTCACTCGGTGAACCAACATTTTCAATCGGTGTCCACACGGCGTTGTAATTCAGAAACTGTGACTCAACCAGGCGGTACTGTAGTCGGTGACTAGTAGAACAAGTCGGGAGTCAATACTCTCCGTTTGACGCTTCCCCCAAGTTGCCCGATGGTCGCTCGCGCCTTAATGCGTCAGTAAAGCAGCCAAGTTCCGATCTATCCCGTACACTCAAGCAAAAACGAGAGGGTACTAAGAGAAATCATTGAAACCGGTTGGCTTGTTGTGGAGAAGAAATCTATTGTTCTATCCCTCTTAAGCTTTCGCAGCAGGCTCCTCAGGCTCCGGCGCAGGGCGGGCAGGGAGTGTTGTAGTAGTCCCCGGGTTCGGCTCTGAAGCCTGAGTAGCCTGAGCGGCCTTCTTGAGCCGCTTCTTCTCCTTCTCTTTCTCCCTGGCCGCCTTCTTCGCGGCCGCCTTCTCCGCCTCTAATTCCTTCTGTTTGCGAAGTTCCTCGCCACCGAAAGCCTCCCGCCACTCCTCCACCTTGGCCGCTGGGATCGTTGAGAATAGGAGCTCCGGCGTGCCGATGGCATGGCCCGGCTTGAGTGCATTCGCCTCCCAAATATCGGGAATGTGCACTGGAACCCGCTGCTCCTCCTCGCTAGCCGCTTTGAATCCAAGCTGTCTGAGTATTGATTGGGCCTTCTCTGGCATGTATGGTGACAGGACGTTGGCCAGAAGATGGATGAGATTGAGGCCGAAGCCGATGACGGCTCGGCAGCGAGCGGGGTCCTCGGCCAGAAGCTGATTGCTCAGCTTGTTGTCTTGCAGAAGCTTATTACCCAGTGCCGAAATACTAGGTTGCACCGTCAGAACATGCAACTTGAAGGAGTGCTTAGACATGGACAGTGGAGCCATACCTGAGAACCGTAGCCAGCCCTGATCTCAGCTTCAGCGCCTTGAGGCTTGCGATATACTCTTGGAGCAGCTTGTTCACCTCCTCCTTGGATTCTTGAAGAGCTGGGAAGCCCGAGAGGTCGTACTCCGGAACCACACCTTCCATTTTGGCCTGGCAGAATTTGATGACGCGCTGGCACAGATTGCCCAGGTTCTTGAGCAGATCGTTGTTGTTCGCATCAACGAATTCCCTTTGAAAAGGTCAGCTTATCTGAGCCCATGGCAGCTAATGTTAGAATCGGCAAGACATACTCCCATTTGAATTCCGAGTCGCTAGTTTCGGGACGTCTAGACAGCAGGTAGTATCTCCAGATATCTGCGTCGATTCCCGTGTCCTGAGCGTTGTTGCCAAACACACCGACTCCCTTCGACTTGCTGAACTTGCCTCCCTCGTAGTTGAGGTACTCTGTAGTAGAGAGGTGCTTAACCTTGGTCCAGTTTTCTCTTGAGCCGATCTGAGAGGCTGGCCAGATGATGGTATGGAATCTGCATTGACACCTGTCAGACCCAACCTGTATGCGCTGCCCATGCAAGAAGGATACTTACGGAACATTGTCCTTGCCCATGAACTGGTACAGGGAAACATTCTCCGGGTTTTTCCACCATTTTTCCCAATTCTTGCCTTCCAGGTTACCAGCATCGGTGTATGTCTTGGTAATTGAAGGGTACCCGACTTAAAACTTCAGCATTCCACGAACACACCATAAGGTATTTGGGAATGGGGAAAACATACTGCAGGCATCGAACCAGACGTAGAACACCTTCTTGGCATAATCTTCGTCGGACAGGCCATCGAGCCGAGTGGGGACTGCGGGAAGAAGCGCGGTCAATCGAAGGACTGGCAATCTGGGGAAGACATCAACATACTTGGTACACCCCACTTGAGATCCCGAGTGATGCCGCGGGGCTTCAGGCCTTGATCCAGCCAGGAGTGCGTGATGGAGACGCAGTTCGCGCTCCAATTCTTTTCAGCCGATTCGAGCCATTCCTTGATCTCATCCTGCAGGGCGTCTAAGCGGAGATAAAGGTGCTTGGTCTGACGCCTTTCAGGGGTGGCGCCATCAAGCTTGCAGCGGGGGTTTATGAGCCACCCGGTCGCCTTGGTCTCCTGGTTCCCAGACGCGTCTCTATCTGGCTCGAGGGGGTCAAGGAGGTTGCCACATGCATCGCACTGGCAAATTTTGAATTAGCAACTTAGTGGACGGGAAGTGGGTGATAGGGAAGTATCAAACCTGGTCGCCGCGAGCGCCTAGGTCGTGACAGATGCTGCACTCGCCCTCAACATAGCGGTCTGCCAAGAAGGATGAGTGGTTGGGGCAGTAGGCCTGTGTCGTCTCACGCTGCTCGATGTAGCCGTTCTTCCACAGGTTTTTGAATACAGACTGCACGATCTCGGTGTGCTCGGGAGTGGGCGTGCGACCAAATACATCAAACTCAATCCTAAACCAGTCGTATATGCCCTTGTGGATTGCGTGATACTTTGCGCACAATGTCGCCGGGTCGATCCCTTCCGAGAGGGCCTTTGTCTCGGTTGCGGTGCCATACTCATCGGAGCCGCAGACATATATTGTCGGCAGACCCCTCGCACGGCAGAACCGAGCAAAAACATCTGCGGACTGCACCCTGATGGTTAGCGATAGAACCTCTTTGAGTGCCCGCACGTGTGCGAACAGGGGTGCCGAATGTGGCTAAGATGAGAGCATGTATAGTGAACTTACCAGAACACTGCCGATGATGTTGCCTAGATGTGGTACATTATTGACATAAGGCAGAGCACTGGTAATCAGAATGTTTTCCTTGCCAGGCAAGGGGAGCGTCGGTTCTTTTGGTGCACCCATCTTCACTGAAATCTGTGTGTGGTCGTGAAGGAGATTTGAGGGAGTGGTATGTACAGTTCCGCAAAACCTCAGGTCTCAAAGTCGTTTGGGAGTTGGGACGCATTGTGGGCGGGTGGGGTGAGTCATGGCAGGGCCACTTTCCAGCCGAGTCGAAACCCCCAAAGACGGCTAAACCCCGGGAGATAGATTGACCCTGAATTTGGGGGCAAATCTTAGCCTAGGTGCTTCTCGAATTACAGGACTGTGACTAGCGTGTTCAATCTTATCTTAGACATGGGAATTATCAGTTATCGACTAT